AAGGTTTGCAGCAACCTTCCCCACACTAGTGTCATCCAGGTGTTTGGGAACAGAATTCCCATTGGCCCAAACCACCATAAAGACTTCTCAGTGATGACAGACATTGTAGTCCAGAGCACCTGAAGAGCACCAGGTTGGCCTACAAAAGTGTGATATATTTCATGTATTGAAAGCCTGTGTGACATAGTGTTTAGAGTGTTGGAGTGGGGCTTGGGCTATCCAGATTCTAGCTCCCCTTCAGCCATGCCATTCTTTGAGTGACTTTGGGCCAGTCACAGACTCTTAGTCTAACCTACCTCAGGGTTATTATGTGGATAGAATGGAAATAGATCAGGAAAAAGGCACAAAATAATAAATACCCAAACAAGAGTTGCATTGAGAGAAAGTTAGCCATGCTTAGGCCCCACTGAAACCAAGGAGGAAGACTTCTGCCTAAAATCCTGGAGAGCCACTAACAGTCAATGAACTCAAGGAGGCAGGCCAACATTTGCTTTGGCATACAGCTGTCATAATCCCTTCCATGTAGACTGACATTCCTGATCCTGCCTAATCTTGGAAGCTAAGCAGGGTCAGACCTAGTTGCAATCTGAATGAGTGACGTAATGTTGTAAACTGCCCAGAGAGCTTTGGCTATGGGCGGTATAGAAATGTAATGAATCTTTATCATCATCCCTGGCCATGCTGGTTGGGGCTTATAGGAATACAGTCTGGAGGCCAAGTTCACCAAGGGTGGAGACAATGCCATGCGAGGTGGACCTAGCACTTGTGCTCCTCAACCAGCTGAAGCTGTACAAATCATGGAAGAGTGAACTTAGGAGCAGTTAGCCAAGTTTTAAGGCAGGTTCCATGCAACACAAAATGGAGTGCAGACACTGCAAATATAAGCATTGCTAAAGCCTGAAATATGTAGGACAGCCTTCCCCAGCCTGGGGCTTTCCAGATGTGTTGTGCTACAACTCCTAATATGCTCCAGCAAGTGTGGCTGGCTGGGGCATTCTGGAATTCGCAGTCTAGAGCATTTTTGCCAGATCTGCTTACATAGGAGTTATCACTTTCCAGTGGTTCATTGATTCAACGGTATGTTTAACATTTTTCCAGCTTGTAAACGGCAGTAGAAAAGGGTGGTAGTAAGTCTAGAAATGGATATCCATGGTTAGAATTTGCTTCAGCAAATTGCTGGTTGCTGGAAAACTTCAAGAATCATTTATAATTGCTTTGACTGGTCTGTATGGTAAATTGTCTCAGGGGTGGGCAATCCAAAAGCTCAAACTGGCTTATTTGCTGCAGGGGAGCACCTAATTTTTAGCTGTCCATTCCACCAAAGGGTATGAAAGGTCATTCTGCTTGTTGTATTTGGCAGAATAGTTGAATATTTGCCAGAGCAAATAAGCTACCAGTTCCAGTGGACTCATGCGAATTCTTCTGTAAGTTTAAGTGTTAACAACATATTTCATGTCCTCAGAAGTAAGCAGTCTGGCATGTTAATATATTCAGCTCAATTTAGGGGCTGAGGATGCTGAGCAAGTCATTGGGCCTGTTCCCTGCCATATGTGTTCTAAATGTTAATCTGATTAGCTTTTGTGGTTTGAGATGTTGGTATTTTAAAGAAAATTATATATAATTTAGAACTTTATAAACTATGAGAGCTCCACCTTGCTCTTTTTGTGCCTAATATACCAGCAGAAGTTAAGGATGCAGTTCACCTCTTCTGTTGAATAGCAAGGTCTTTTAACAACTAAGGGCACAATCGTATGGTCAGCAGACACTGTCTGACCGGCCTTAGGAAAAGGCAGCATCCCTTGGAAAAGCCTGTCTTTCTGCAACAGCTGAAGCCAGAAGGCCGTCTGAGGGGCAGACACTGAAGGGAGCATTCTAGAGAGGGGAGCAGCGAGGTCCTGAGTCCAGGCAGCACCAGAGCCTCCTCTCCTTGAGAGGGGAGGCAAGGTATTTCATTGGCTGAAATCAGCCTCCTAAATGTTTCTGAGGGGATGTTTAAAGCTTCCTAGTTTCTGTGTGCCTCCCACCCCGTGGATCTCCCAGGTTTGGAGGGTCATGGACATACCCAAAGGCTCATGCCCTAAATAACTGATAAGAAATGACCCATACATTAAAGGAGACAGAATGTTCCAGTGTAACTGGTGGACGCATCTCATGCTTTAAATGTGGTAGTGAGATTTTTTCATGGTGCACTTTTGTAAATGAAAGCCATGCTATCTCCACACACACACACACACACACACACACTCCCCTGCCTAAATGGTTTCTGAGCCAGTTTTTAAGCTATTATAGAGTGCTTGTGGATTTTTCCATAGAATTTGCACTATAATTGGGTACAACTTCTCTCTTCTTGGCACTTAATTAAAAGAATTTTGAACATACCTGAACTTGTTGGCTATTTAAACAGACAGACCAGAATGCTCAAAGGGTTTCTCTAAAAACATGTTTGTAGCTCTGTAAATGAAAAAAAAAAAAAATGCAGATTCAAGGAGTCAGCCATGCCTTGCCAAAAATGTGTCATCTCATAAAGCTTTTTGCCATTCAGTGCTCCTGCTGTCCAAAAGCCTAATGTGTAATTTTCAAGTTACCATTTTAAATAGCATCACAGAAGAGATGACTGAACGGTTTAGCAGCTCTAATGACTGAAAGAAAGCTAAGAAAGAGTTTACTTGGAAGATGCAAGAGGAAAGCAGCCAAAAACATATATCCCTTAAAATAGGTAGTTTAAGAGGTTCTGGAAGCCTATATATATATTTATTAGATTTCTTTAGCCAGAAATGCTCTAGACAAGTTCACACCACAAAGCACAGAAAATTAGCTAGGTGTAAAGCTTTTTGTACATTAATAATACTGAGATCCTCCACATTCATTTGTAATCTTCACTGGAAAGATCAAATATAAAATATATAAAAACACTGCACAATTTCTGCCATATTCTTGAGGATGTCAACTGGGGCTTCCATTTTAGAGCAGATTGGACTTTTCATATTACACACATCTTTACTATGTACTTTGCTAAAGGCCATGATTCCATCCTCTGTTACGTCATAATATTCCTTTTCCCAGTGTTGTCAAGAGAAAAAGGTGCTAGGAAAAGAAACCATATCAACAGCATTGATATATTAATAGTTTCCCTAATGCAGTCTTTGTATAGAAGCTACCCGTATGAAAAAGTCAATTGTAGAAATGTTGCACTGCTTAAGGCAGGGGTCTCAAACTCACCTTACCTGGGGGCCGCTGGAAGTAGAGTCTGGGTGAGGCTGCGCCGCATCAAGTATTCCACCACCGCGGTGGTGGTGGGCCGCTCATCCCATGGCTGGCCCGGGCACTGCCAGCGCTTTGAAGGCCGCAAGGCCCTTCCCCGTGCCCCGCCCGTCCTGGCAATTGGCCCGCGGGCCGCGAATTTGAGACCCCTGGTTTAAGGTAAGCTGTAGTAGAAGAGTTGTCCCAAGCACTTCTTATTAAGAGGCATTAAAATTAATAAAGTTTGCTCAAAACACATTGGAAGCCATCTTTGTTGTACAACTGTCCTCTTATTTAGTTTGGGCGTTGAAACAAACTATTATTTTGTGGAGCAACTTAGAGATGGTTCCCATAGATTATGATAGGCTCTTAAAAGTGCCAGTCAGTCATTTAAGCAGGGGAAAGACCAACTGTAGCCCATCTTTTCTCATTATGACTGGGTATCTGACCTCTCATGTGGTTTAAACTAATTGTAAATGTGGTTTTGGGAAGAAAACTACTGAGCTTGGACTGTCTTCTTTAGTGTTAATTGTGTTAAGAAATTCCAGGGAACACTGCTCTATTCCATAATCAATGATAAACTGGCCATCCTGGAAAATTATACTTCTGTCTCACAAGACATGAATACCAGGCCTGGCCTTGCTTAAAGACCATCCCATAATAGAAAATGTCTGTTTAAAAACAGCAGCATGCTATCTAGCAAAGCTATGCTGCAACAGAAATTGCAGCATTTAGACCCGGTAACAAAGCCAGATGCCATCACGAACTTGGCTTGAACACTGTTATTAGGGCTAGAATGAAGTCTCAGCTACATGAAGTCTTACAGGATACAAAATCCCCTGGACCAGAGACCATGTTCGGAGGCAATCCTCTAGATCTGGAGCTTCAACTATTTCATTTAGAGCCCTGAATTTCTGAGATCCCAGTTGCCCTTTTAGTCTGCTGGCCTTGGGAAGATGCTGAAATAAAGGTACAGGGACCCTAATGATCTGTTCCTACTGGATTAGCTGGCTTTTTCCCCATACATGCATCATCCTTTGTTGCTCCAAGCCTTGAATCTTTCTGCCTGACTTTTATTTCCTGCAATCAAATGTCATCCTCTCCTCTGACCATACAAACACAAGTGGCCTTAGAAGACAAGCCCCTACTTTTGCCAATTTACCTAACCCCTGCCATCTACCTTGAATTATCTTCTTTGGTGACTGTTTGCAAACTTTGTAATCACCAAAGAAGCAAGATTGGAGTGCCATATGGGAACAGAGGAAAGTACCAACCTTATGACTGTGCAGAAAGAGATTCTGTTCGCCTCCCTACTCTGGCTTAGTGGGTGAACTTTGCCACGTAACCCTTCCCCTTCAAATACCAGTGAGAGGAAGGGTGCAGCTTAACAGCCCACGTAGGAGCTGCGAAGTTAAGGGTTGAAGTTTTGGCCAAGCCCCATTTCTTTTAGTGTGTCTTGTTGGTTCTTACAGCGGTAATTAGCTTCTTCCCAGATTCCTAAGCAAGCATTTTTGTTGGCAAAATGGAAGCAAAAAGACATTAAGAAGATGTAACCTATAAACAAAAACTGATAACAGATTTAGCATTCTAACTGCTCTGGATGTTTGTTGATGTTTTTATAAACTATTCTTCAAAATATAAGGATTTACTGGGCTAAGACTTAATACCAATATTAAGTTTTAACACCAGTGTTCAGTTAATGTTAAGTAATGTTTAATACCAATGCCTGTATCAGGTGTGACAGACTGCATTTTCCCCAGGTGGATGATTCTTCACTTCATGGAAAAAGAACGATTTTGCCCAGAATGTTCTTTTGTGGTCCAGTGGGAAAGCTGGTCATTTTGATGGTATATTAAATAATAAAATGTGACACAAGAAGGAGTCAGTATATGTCAGGACAGACTAACATTTAAAGAGGCATTTATCAGGTTGAAAGTATCTGTACTGTGTTTAAGAGAAAATCGGGACAGCCTCCTAGGGCACAGCAGCTATTTCCTGACATATATCTCAATTTTTGAGTCAGCTTTTAAGTTACAGAGAGCCTGGATCTAGAAAGAAAAGTCTGAAAGATCCTCTGCATCACAAGAACAAAAATGTCCTTGTATCAGGTTTGGTGTTACTTTTGCAGAACTTTGTATCAGCTGTACCATTAGGGTTTAATTTACCTGTTCATCCTCCAGTGGGATGCATGCTTTAACCTTCCAACAAAGTCCTCTGCTGTCTGCATAGGGCAAAGCTGTCAGCCTCTGTGCAAGGGAATGAGTAGATATAAATGGCTCAGGCATTATGAATGACACAATCTAGAAACCAGTTGGAAAACATATTGATCTAGCTGGGTACTCTGCTGTTGACCAGAAAGTCATTGTACTTCAGCAAAATTCCTATGAAGACTCCAGCATAACATAGATTCTGTTTTTTCCAATAGTATAACTAAACAGCATAACTAAAAAGTATTTTCACCACTAAAGTCCTTTTAAATAAGAACAGAGTGCCTGACAGACCTACTTTTGCTTCTTGCATTTTATGGCTGTTGGGACTTCCTCATTACAAAAATAAATAGATTGTGTTTTCTGTGTGCGGAGGGGGGAATTGTGTGTAATTAATTATGGGGAAAACATGTAGGGAAGTGTGTCTGAAGCAACAGTTGAGGAAAACATGCATCTAATTAGCTGAGTTCTGTTCATGGTTTTAAGGTGCCAGAAAACGGCCTGTAGTGCTTTACTGCAACAGCTGCCCCTCTAGAATAACCATGTTGCTACATGGCTATTATCAGAGGTGTACTTTGGGTCATTTTGAGATAATAGCAAATACACATATTTGCTGATTCTAACGCAATGCCAAAAGAATGCCAAAAAATTCATCTTGTTTTTTCCTGGTCTGTTACAGACAACAGTGATTGATTATGTGAAGCCATCAGACCTTAAGAAAGATATGAATGAAACCTTCAAGGAGAAGTTCCCTCACATCAAGCTAACACTCAGTAAAATACGAAGGTATCAGTACTATGCAACTGCCCTTTAGTGTATTTGGTAGATGGAGGTAAAATATTAACAGTAGATTTTCTGAAACAATGACCTTCAAGGACACAGAACAAATGAGCTGCTTGCTTTGAAAAGAAGGCTGAATTAATAAGATAGGAAGCATGTGGGCCTAAGTATGTACTACTTGCCTGTGGATGTTTCAGAATAATTATAAGGATCTGGAAGGTTAGGACAGAGGGATGCAAATGCTGCTTTGAAGGCCACAGAAGAGAAAGAGAAAGGGGAAACTGGGGGGAGTTCTCACAATACTTGATGTAGCCAAGTGACAGCCACTAGACACGTCATGAATGTATTTTAATGGATAAAAGACTATTCTTCTAGTATTGCATCGTAGAAGCAACATGAACAAAAGCTTCCTATCTTGCATTTTCAATTTCTCACAAGGCCTATTGGAAAAATGAAATAAAGCAGAGCCTTTTCTAATCTACTGCCCTCCAAATGTGTTGGTCTCCAACTCCCAGCATCCCCAACCTGCCTAGGCAAAGTCTCATTTTGTTAGTTCATACATTCAGAGCTGGGATGAGCAAACTGTGGCCTTTTGGAAGTGATCCATTCAGGCCTCTGGCAAGAGCAGCCTTTTCCCAGCAGCGCAGTGGAGGAGGGGAAGAAAAATGGTGAGAGAGAAGGGTGGCAGAAGGAGAGGCAGGAGAGAGAAGGAGTGGCAAAAACAGGTGCTCCCATTAGTCATGCAAAATCACTTGCAAAATTCTTGATTAGAACATGTTCATGATTCAGCAGAAGGAGCAACTGAATTAAAAGAGAATATCAGCTAAGGATCACTAATTATTATTTGCCAGATTTCAGAAGTTCAGAAAAGGTTCTGAGTTGTGTATAAAATACATTGCATACAGGAAAACTCCAGAGCAAAAGAATGGATGAAAATCAAGCTACCAGTCTTACTGCCATTTCCCCATCGTCATTCTACCAGTGCTGTTTCTGCACCTTGGATTAGCAGAATCTGAAAAGGAAGCAAGCAAAACTCAAGAAGATAAGAGTAGGGAATGGTGAGGGTGGAGGGGAGAATAACGGAAAGCTGCTGTTGGATTAGAACTTCCAACTGCTTCAAAGTCTTATAGGTATTCTAGTTCTTTGCTATGCTTTAGATTTTTTTTCTTCCGCCTATCTTCTTAACCAGCATGGTGGAGATTTACAATATGAGGCACATGATGATATATGCACACGAATCCAAGATGCTAATAATGGGCATTTGAGTGTTTAGAAATTAAAAGAAGACTTACCTTATTGGCAAATAATTTGTAACACCTTGATAACATAATGAAGCATAGACCAGGTGTGAGCAATCTTCAAAATTGTTGTATCTACTCTGTTTTTTACTAGAACCCTAAAATCCACCAACCAGAGCTAGGTGCAAAGATAAGCACATAGAATAAAAGGGCAGGGTGGCTTTGACCATATTCTGTGCTTGGGAATCCAAACCCCTGCTGATGCACTGCAAATCTTCCAGGAATCTACTAGTTGGATCCACTCTACCTTTTGTCTACTTCCCTCCACCACTGACATTTGTTTTGTTGAAATTTTACAATTTAAAAAATTGGAAAAAGACATTTCAGGTAACTAGCCAGCACATTGGGTAGTAAGTATCCAACGGTGCTCTAGCATGAATATTGTTGCATGGTCATAAATTAATGCTTTGTCAATATAACTAGCACTGAAAAAGCAGCAATATTGCCACTTTTCAGATTACCCTAGTATGCACCAGTTACATTGCACACATTGGTTTACACTGACACCACAACATTAGTGCTGGCGTGCAGTAGGATACTACTCCTAATGCCTAATTTGCTTCTGTAAGCCTTCTGAATATTAAGCATTGCTAATCTAAGCTTTGATTTTCTTTGGCAACATACTGTCTCCCTTTCAGCCTAAAGCGAGAGATGTGCAAATTAGCTCAAGAGGAATGTGGCTTTGAGGAACCCACTGTGGCCATGGCTTTCGTCTATTTTGAGAAGCTTGCTCTCAAGGGAAAACTCAACAAGCAGAACAGAAAGCTCTGTGCTGGAGCGTGTGTCCTGCTGGCTGCCAAAATTGGCAGCGACCTCAAAAAACATGAAGTCAAACATCTTATAGATGTAAGTTTGTCTAAGCCACCAACTTTTGCTTCAGCTGGTAGATGTGAAAGAGGATGGGCGGGACAGTGGCACCAACCATAGGACTTGCTAAAAGTCCATGTTGTCATTATATCATGTATTTGCATTGCTTGAAATAAGAGGGCCAAGAGGATAACAAATCACATTACAAATGCTTGTTTCAAGTACTAGCACACCACTTGTATCCTAATATGCCATGTTGTGTCTGTTTGACTGTCTTACAGAAACTGGAAGAGAAGTTCAGGTTGAACAGGCGAGAGCTGATTGCCTTTGAATTTCCAGTGCTAGTGGCCTTGGAATTTGCTCTTCATCTACCAGAGCATGAAGTGATGCCACATTATAGACGTTTGATCCAGAATTCCTAGCACAGGCTACCCTTCCATGAAGGGGGAGGGGTTTAACAACTATTTTCTATCGAGCTCAAAAGAGCAGAAGTTACTACTGAAAATGGAAAAATCAGATACAGATATCCCAACACCATTTGTTCTCTTTTCAGTGCAGCTTTTCAACAACATTGTAAGGTTAAAGCAGCACATTCTTTCAGACTCAGGCTAGAAGAACCATTTACTCAACGCAAATGATGAATGAGTTGTGTGTAAGTAGAAGAACTTCATACCACATGGACCAAATGAGAACTTTCTTGTGTTGTCCATACCATTCCTGCAAGAATGAGGATTAACAGCGGCCTTCACACTTCTTTTTGACTATCCCATTTACTTACTCGGACTTCATTGATTTTCCTATAAGAAACTGGTTTCCAGCTTACAGAGGGATCTCTAAAGCAATGACAGGTTGTGGTAGATAATCTTCACTGTGTCAACAATGTGCCAATCTATTTTTGTATCCACAATTGAAAGTGCAATTTTTCTGGTGTGAGTGGATTGCTTAGCTGCAAGTGAAACAAAGAACAGGCTTGGAACCAGATGGCATTCTTGGGTCATTGCTAAGGTATTGTTTACTAAGACCGGAGGACAACTTTTTCTCTCTTTGCTTAAACAAAACTACTGAAAGGGAGGCATATGGGTTCATTTGAATAACCTCAGATGATATTTTGTAATCCCTGGTTGTTTGAGTTTCCTCTCACCAACTTTTATTTTTGTAATGATTATACTTACTACTACAAAAAGAAGAAAAAGACAACACAACTGAGAAACCAAGAACCGGTCTTTCACTTTTGTACGTAGTGCCATTCAAATGCTCAGCAAGGAGGAGAGATGGCATTTTGCAAGCATCTTGTTTGAAGCCACATGCGTATTTCTAACCTCTGCACTTTACCTTCTGTGGAGATGGTTAGACTTGCACTCTGTAGTGTTTGTATTTTGTGCTCTATGTTAGAGTGCATTCTGAGGCACATTGATGGTGCTGTATGTTTAACAGTGTTTTCTAAAACTGTCTTGTACAGCTGAGGAGCAGAAATGGCAACTTAGGGCCTTGATAGCAGACATGCATCTCAATGTGCATAGTTTTTGTTGTTGTTGAATTATTGTTGTTTTTAATTAGAATTGACTGTACAACATCAAATTTGAGAGCAAGGGCCACTGAAATTAATATGTCTTTTCATACTTCTCAGATATTCTGCTATTCTGGAATCTTATAGTACTTAACTATGTTTGTAAATTACAAAGTCATGGCTGGGAAAGCGCAAAACCCAAACAGAATCCTTCCCCTCCTCCACTCTGTTTATCCTGTTTTCTAAATACTTGTAATGTGTGTATAATTATATAGAAAAACTTATGAGAATATAATGACAGCTGGATATGCTTGGTAATATACTAGAGGACATGCATCAAATAATTAAATTACTATTTTTATATATAGTTAATGTACATGTCCCACTTTTTCCAGTGCTGATTCACTCGACACAATCCAAGATTGGCACAATAATTTCAATAAAATCAAGTACTTTGCTGTTTTATAGTGTAATACAATTCACCACTCTTTTTTTTTCTGTACCAGCAATTAGCAACGTATTGCAAATAATACAGGAAGGAAGAACAATAAAAAATTCAAATGCAAATATCTGTCCTCATAAGAAAAGTCCTGCTAGATCAAAACAAGGGTCCATCTAGTCTGGTATTTTGTTCACACAGCTGCCCGCAGGATCCCATGAGTGCAGCAGCACTCTGCTGCCAGAAACTGATGTATTCTGGTACACGCTTTTTTTCTACCAGGTACATTACTTTAAAAAAAAAAGACAACAGCTGTAAAATTTGAAATTAATAACTTTATTGCTAGAGGTGTGCTGCCTCTTTTGCAAAGTCAATCATGTTTTTCATGTTCTTCATTGCCTAATTGCTCCCTTGAAATCAACCACCAGTTAACTCACATTTATAAGTTCATATTTTTCATCCCAATTGGGAAGCTACAGCCAATTTGGAGTTCCCTTGGGCATGTATTCATATCAAAGACAGACTTCAAAATGCGTATTTTCAAGTATTTGAAACCATGTTACATTGTTTGCTTGTACAATACAAATATATACTAAAATATTGAAAGATTATTAGCTTAGAAGAAGAAAATAAAACACTGCTGTTGAAATAAAAAAACCTACCATTCCCAAAATTCTAGCAAACTTGGCTACGTTCCTGTTGACAGGACTGAAGCAGGAAGAAATTGAAATGAAGAGAGGTTACATTTTCTGCATGTTCATTCAGCTGTAACCCAATAAATACAGTATATCACAGGAGTGAGTACACCCCTCACATTTTGTAAATATTATATCTTTTCATGTGACAACACTGAAGAAATGATACTTTGCTACAATGTAAAGTAGTGAGTATACAGCTTGTATAACAGTGTGAATTCGCTGCCCCCTCAAAATAACACACAGCCATTAATGTCTAAACCGCTGGCAACAATAGTGAGTACACCCCTAAGTGAAACTGTCCAAATTGGGCATTATTAGCCATTTTCCCTCCCTGGTGTCATGTGACTCATTAGTGTTACAAGGTCTCAGGTGTGAATGGGGAGCAGGTGTGTTAAATTTGGTGTTATCACTCTCATACTGGTCACTGGAAGTTCTACATGGCACCTCTTGGCAAAGAACTCTCTGAGGATCTGAAAAAAAGAATTGTTGCACGACATAAAGATATGGCCTAGGATATAAGAAGATTGCCAAGACCCTGAAACTGATCTGCAGCACGGCCAAGCGGTTTAACAGGACAGGTTCCACTCAGAACAGGCCATGCCATGGTCGACCAAAGAGGTTGAGTGCACGTGCTCAGCGTCATATCCAGAGGTTGGCTTTGGGAAATAGACATATGAGTACTGCCAGCATTGCTGCAGAGGTTGAAGGGGTAGTGGGTCGGCCTGTCAGTGCTCAGACCATACGCCACACACTGCATCAAATTGGTCTGCAGGGCTGTCATCCCAGAAGGAAGCCTCTTCTAAAGATGATGCACAAGAAAGCCCACAAACAGTTTGCTGAAGACAAGCAAACTGGACATTAGTGGAACCATGTCCTGTTGTCTGATGAGACCAAGATAAACTTATTTGGTTCAGATGGTGTCAAGCGTGTGTGGCGACAACCAGGTAAGGAGTACAAAGACAAGTGTGTCTTGCCTACAGTCAAGCATGGTGGTGGAAGTGTCATGGTCTGGGCTGCATGAGTGCTGCCAGCACTGGGGAGCTACTGTTCATTGAAGGAACCATGAATGCCAACATGTACTGTGACATACTGAAGCAGAGCATGATCCCCTCCCTTCGGAGAGTGGGCCGCAGGGCAGTATTCCAACATGATAACGACCCCGAACACACCTTCAAGACGACCACTGCCTTGCTAAAGAAGCTGAGGGTAAAGGTGATGGACTGGCCAAGCATGTCTCCAGACCTAAACCCTATCGAGCATCTGTGGGGCATCCTGAAACGGAAGGTGGAGGAGCGCAATGTCTCTAACATCCACCAGCTCCGTGATGTCATGGAGGAGTGGAAGAGGACTCCAGTGGCAACCTGTGAAGCTCTGGTGAACCCCATGCCCAAGAGGGTTAAGGCAGTGCTGGAAAATAATGGTGGCCACACAAAATATTGACACTTTGGGCCCAATTTGGACAGTTTCACTTAAGGGTTTACTCACTTTTGTTGCCAGCGGTTTAGACATTGATGGCTGTGTGTTGAGTTATTTTGAGGGGACAGCAAATTTACACTGTTATACAAGCTGTATACTCACTACTTTACATTGTAGCAAAGTGTCATTTCTTCAGGGTTGTCACATGAAAAGATAAAATATTTACAAAATGTGAGGGGTGTACTAACTTCTGTGATATACTGTACATATTCTGTATTTTATCAAGACCAAAACTTCTTGCAATGCACAATATTTTAAACATGTTCTGTTTTTTAAGAATCCACTTCATTGTGAGTCTGGAATGAAAACGTATGAGTAAACAAGCACTGGGCTGGACTTCATTGTTTGCTTAATTTTGCTGGGATAGTCTTTGATTTCAGAGTGCAGTGATTGCCATCTGTAGACCAAGGGAGTGTTCTGTCCTTTAAGCACCACCTAACCCAGCACACAGCTTTTCAGCAATTTGCGAAAATGGGTGCCCCTATCCCAGTTCTCTCCCCTCTGAATTCCCTGATCCCTTCTGAATTTACTGATCCCTTCTGAATTCTGGAGAGACTGGGGGACACCTGACACCCTCCTGCAAACTGTATGGTCTGTTATTTCTGCACCCTCCAAATCGTCTGTGGAGGGTTGAGAACCCCTTCACTACAGATTTTCTGGGTGTGAGGAAGCAGAAGGTGCTGCAGGGAGGAAAGAGGAGGAAAATGTCCCATTAGCTGGGTGGATGTTTATTTACATGAAGTTGGCTTTCACCCAAGTACAACTCGAATGAGAATTTGCTAAACACTTTTGGCCAATGAGTACATTTGGGAATTTGAGAAAATGCTGTGGGCATGGCCACAAAATGCCTAAATCAGTGGACTGCAGCTTTGATGTTCTTTACTCTGTAAAAAACATTTGTTTTGTATCTATTGGACACCACACTGTGATGTCTCTTTAATAAAGGATTGTCTACTTAATGTAATTTCTGGTGGTGCAATACAACTAATTCTTCAGTTAAACATACGTTTTGGCAATGTCCAATGTTACACAGATTAATTTTGTACTAGAACAGTCTTTAATATTCATTGCTATACACATCCATACATTATTTACCTGCATAATAGAAATTAATAAATGGTCAGTATAAATGAATTCTCCATGCTGTTTTGACAGGTAAAAGACTGTTGTTATGACATGGGAATATAGGACATGGTGGACTGAGGACCCAACATTGCTCTTGATTATGAATGGGTGGCATACATATGCCAGCTTCATGGGTACTGCACTGGGGATGCTCGGCTTAAATTATTCTAGTGCTTGGACAGAAAGAAGTACCATCAACCACTTGCTACCCTATTTTCTTTTTCCCTCCCTCCTTTAAAGGTAATCGTGCGGACTGTATAACAGGTGCAGACCTTTGCATAGCTAATTTCTACTCTAATCAGAAAGTGAGATCTCGGTGGGGGGGGGGGAATGAAAATGCACTTCTGAACTTTTTCAATACCTAAATGTAGATGTATATTGGATCAATCTTACCTGTGTCACTCATAACTATTCTTCCATTTTACAGTATAAGCTAAATTCTCAGTTTAAGTATCACTCGAACTGTTGGAAAAACCCTGCTTTGATTTGCTGAAATATTCAGCTGTTCCTCTTCTCCCCCCAGGCTTTGTGCAAAGGCTCCTTAAACAAAATTGAACATTGTAATTATCACTTTGTAGCATAAGATGATCCATACTGATTAACATGAAAATGTCAAGGAGCTAAACCTGATAAACGATGCTATAGCACTTCTCTTTCTCCACAACTGCATTATAAATGAAATGATAAAGGAAAAAAATAATATTTTTGTGTATCATAGCCAACAAAACTAACTTTTAAATATGTTTTGAGACTATATGTACTGTGCACTGTCTTGTATGGATTAAAATTTTGAAAAGTTATTCTCTCACACACACCCCGGACAGGTAAAGTTGCTCAAAAGCCAACTATAGTGTACAAAGCACATAGCAGTGGGGTTGGGGAACTGCAGGAGCAATAAGGATTGCTTAAATCCAATATAATATTAAGATCAAATGGTTGCTGCATCTTGCTATACTGCTACCAACCACATTTTGTCTTAAATGGAATGTCTGAATTTAGGTAATTTAACCATGGGAGGCGCAGAACTTTGGGCTTGTTGGAACTATTTGGATTTTTTTTACTAGAACCATGAAGTATGCTACTCATTGCTACCTCAGGGCAGTTCAAAATGGCAACTGTCTTTCCAGTCCCAAGGCATTGCCTTCCCCAAGATAGCTGGCCTCCTATACTCAAGGGACTGAAATCAATTTTGTCTTATTAATATGGCTTTAACTGCAGTCATATTAGGAATGTTTATTTCCTGTTGGAGCCAACTACTGAGCAATTGTTTTGCTGCAATAACTTTATATATATTAATGCAATACATTTTTGCATTCATGTATTATTATGCATGATTATGAGCCATAGCTATTGATAGAATGAATGTTCTGCATGCGAAAAGTTCCCAGCTCTAATCTTTGGACTCTCCAGTTGGAAGAAAAACCTCAGCCTAGGAGTCTGGAAGGCTGTTACTAGTCAATCTGGCCAGTCCTAAAGGAGATGGGAGATTGCACTGGTCCACCATAGGACAGACTGTTGTGTACTGAGCAAATAAAGTCCTAAACATACCTGCACGAACATCCTCCATGTGTTGGGAGAGTCTGGACCAATCAGGCATTCTCCTTCATCCCTGCATATCTTTGCCTGTATATGTCAGTGCACATAGAGGGTTTCTTCTCATACAGAGTCTCAGTCTCTCACATGATCAAAATACAGGACTAGGAAAGAATGTAGGAGTTGGATTTTGCCCAGTCCCACATCCCAGTCACATTGAAGCATATTTGGGAAGGCATAGTTCTTCTGTTCCCATTTTCAAATTGACAGTTTGCAAGCTAACATGAAGGTTGCATAAACATCTTTTAGTTCATGCTTTCATAATGTCTGCTGAAATGTTTGTCTTTTGAAATTAAGCTATTTAGGGTTTTGGTCTATGTGTGTGTGTGTGTGTGTGCATGACATCAACTCATCATTGAATAAAGCATATGATTTGTTCTTTTTGAGGGCATAAAGAATGACAAGGACATATCTGAGTTCTCTTTAGCAAGCAGCTGTCCAAAAGCAAATTGGCTGGGGGTAGGGAGAATAGAAGGACACCATTTGCTATGGAAACATCTACAGCAGTCAAATGAAATGGGCTTGCAGACAACTTCAAAACAGTGTACAGGGTCAGTATATTTGCATGTAAATACATACAGTTAAAACAAAATCTAATATAACATGCTAAAATTGCACCAAGTTCCAATTCAAGATGTATAGATATTTCGTGTAAAACAAGAAGAAGAAGACATGGATAAACAGGAATAGATTGACTTGTGCCTAATTGTACATTCAATGCAGTTTTGATGTGCTAATCAGATTTTACGCCAAAGGGCTTTCCATGGACACACATTTCTGGTCTCTGGATCTGAGATACTCATAGAAAGGAAGAAAAAAATGTGTCTCAAGCCTGAACTAAGTAGGTCAGAATCTGACTTCTTGCAATTTATGCATGTAGAAAAACTGGATATGGTACTATCATCTTACAAGATATACTGGTTGTGGGATTTACTGGAAATAGCACCTGTGTGTTCACAGTGGTTCAGGTCACTCAAGCCCTTGGTCCCCACAAAATACAAAAGCATTACACAAGGAATGTAGTTTTTCTTGCACTATAAGCTGTGAAGGATATTTAGCTCCTTGGAGGCCAGCTCACAACTTAATGGAGGCTTTTACAGAATTGTTACCTCTGCAAGGCACATCATAAATAATCATTTTGCTTGTGCTTTCATATACGGACTTGCAAATTCTAGTCCTCAGTGTACTTACACTTAAAATTCAATAGGAATTGCTTATAATCACATACACATAGGTACCTTAACTACTATGCTTGTCCATGCACAGACTAAAGGAGAGAGGGCCTGCACCTCATTCTCTGCTTGCAGGCACAGACAGGCATTCAGAGTCCATTTAGGCTGCAATCCTAAAAGCTAGGGGTGGGCAACTTGTAGCCCTACACAGGTTTTGGACAACTTTCATCAAACCTGGCCAGCCAGCATGGCAAATAAGGATGAAAGGATTATAGGACACAAGATCTGGAAGGCCACAAGTTGCCCATCCTTGCTAAAAGCTAATTTTAACCAGCATGCCAGTGCTGGCTAGGGAAGTTGGGAGTTGTAGTCCTACTCATCTGAAGGGCACCAAATTAGAGTAGATTAAGCAGAGAGAGGCCCAAGGGCACCTTGGAAACTTCACAGCTGAGCAGTAGTAGTGCAATCAGGATAACAGTTTGGGCAGAAGGACAGAGTCCACGCAGCAGAATGAGGGAAGGAAGAAACAGTGGATGCAGTAGGGTTGGCTGACCTCCATTTGAGGCAAACAATCACTCCTTCCAAAAGACGGCAGAACTTACCACTTGGTTATCAAATGGCTGCTACATCAAAAATCATGCCATGGTAACTTTGCCACTTCATCTGTTTGCCTTTTATTACAGAGATATACTGGAGCATTTTCACCATTCATTTTGGGATATTCGAAGAAAGATCAGACTGGGCTGTACCCAGTTTAGTTGAAATCCTTCTGCATATCTGTCATGAAGGTTAATCAAGCCCCAGATCCCGAAAATGCTATTAGTAGCATTTGGTAGCTCAGAAGAAAAAAATAAGGCTGCAATTCTGTACACATTTACCTGGGCATATGTCTAATTGAGCTCAATGGGCTTTATTTCAAAGTAGATATGCATAGGATTGCATTACTAGTAACTTGCCGTTCGTCTATCTTCGTTGTTTCTGCTGTGAGTTCTGACTTTTATTCTCAGGTTTCTCAGTCACTGACACTTTACTCCTGATGGACGTATTTGGTTATTTTCTCCTTCTTCCCTCTTTTCCCCTGAGTCATGTGTCAGTCCTTTCAGGGTAAAGAAGTAAGCCTTCAGCAAATCCACCAAGCAAGAGACTGGCAAGAAAGCACAGAAGTAGTTTTATTAACAAAGGTCGACTTGGTGAAGTCACAATAAACCCATTATCAGGTGGGTGCTGCCAAAAAGTCATTCATTTGCATGCTGAAGTAACAAGAACAACCTTGGGAAAATTTGCTCTTGTTTTCTGCGGCCGCCAGACTGCACCTCAGAATGACAGTGACACTTCTGTTCCTCACTAAGGAAGATGATGGCATTCAGGTCATCTCCATGGAATAACCCTGATGACTGCTATGCATTTGAAACAAGTGTAAGCCAAGATGGCTGCATGCAGCTGGGAAAAGGGACAGTTCAACAGCCAAAGATGCCACAGCATGGCTGCTGGAGAGTCTTGCCAGTTGTGCAGTCCACAGACTCTAAGCCTGGGACCCAGAACATTTAGGACCATGCATGCTGATTGAGTATCGATGCTGCAGATGTTCATACCTTGCCAGATCTGCTTGGTTTTCCTTCCTACTCCTCCCTCTGATAACTGTCCCAGAGCTCTACAGAGGAATGATGATAACCAGACTGGGACTCTTAGAAACCAGAACCTACTTGCAAGATAAGCTTAACAGATGCAGAGCTGAACATTCCGGTTTCTTCCTTGCATACAACCAGAAGCAAGGTCCTATTGTTCTTCTAGAATCCCCCTAGTCCTCTCAATCTAATGTAAATCCGGGGTTGGGTTGCAATAAGATTAACACAGAGTATTCTGAAGTACTGGTGTGGATTAAGAAATAAATCTGTCTAAAAAGTTCAGGGGATAACAAGATCCCTAATTAACTCCTTGAAATGCATACACCTCCATCTTTGAGTCAAATCCTGCTAAGGGAGACATCACAGCCTTTAGGAAATTGCTATATCACATAGATGTTTTCTAAAATATTGTAATCTTCAATACAGGCATTCATATATAAAATGCATGGTTTAATGTTTATGTGCAGGACAGAACTGTTTACATCATAGCTGTTGAATCACAGACATGGTTCAAACTTGACCATTTTGGTGCTTCCCAGATGGCCATGCTATCAACTCCTTACTCCATGACCACCAATCGTAGAATAGTAGTATTGGAACAGCAGGTCCAAACCCCCTGCTCAATGCAGGACTGCAGCTTAAAGCATCCCAAACAGAAGGCTGTCCAGCTGCATCTTGAATGCCTTCAGTGTGGAAGAACCTATGACTTCCATAGGTAATTGCTTCCATTGCAGTACTGCTTTTATAATTAGCCAGAATCTGGCTTCCTGTAACTTGAGACCGTTTTTCCATGTTCTACACTCAGATGATCAAGAAATGATCCTGGCCCTTCTCTGTGTGACAACCATTCTAGTACTTGAAGAATGCTATCATATCTTGCCCTCAAGGTTAAAATAACTCTTCTCAAGGCTAAACATGCCCGATTCTTCTCACAGGGCTTTGTTTCCCGAACCCTGATCATCTTTGTTGCCCTCCTCTAAACCTTTTCTTCTTTGTGGTCTCTGATTTCTTAAACTGTGGTTTCAGAACTCCAGATGAAGCCTAACAAGTGTTGAACAGAGGGAAACTAGTACTTCACATTATTTGGATGTGATACTTCCATTAATGCAGCCCAAAATAGTTTTTGCCTTTTTTTGTAGTTAAATCACATTGTTGGCTCATATTCAGTTTGTGATCTTCAATTCCAAATTCCTTCTAGCTTGTAATACTGTTGAGCCAAGTATCCCTTATTTTGTAACTATGTATTTGGGCTTTTTCTATAACTTGGTATTTGTCCCTATTGAATTTCAATTTGTTGTTTTCTCCCCAGCATCACAAGGTATCAAGATCACTTTGAAGTCTGTTTCTTTCTTCCAGAGTATTAGCTGTCCACCCAATTATGTGTGATCTGCAAATTTGATAAGCATTCCTGCACCTCCTCATTCAAAACATTAATAACAATGTTGAGGAACACTGGGCCCCAGACTGAATGCTACAGCTCCCCACGGGTTACCTTTCCTCAGTTTGAGAAGGTGCCACTGATGGACACTCTTTGACTGATTCTGCAGGCAAAAAATAGCTATCCACCTGACAGCTGTTCCGCCTAGCTCACTTTTAGCTAGTTTGCTAATTAGGATATCATGGGGCACTTTCTCAAAAGCTTTGCTGCATTCAAGATATTTTATGTCCACAGCATTCCCAAACTCCACAAGGGAGGTTACCCAATAAAAATGGGATCAGATTAGACTGGGAGGATTTGTAATCATGACATTGTTTTCAAGATATTTGCAGATCTACTGCATTATAATCCACTCCAGAATTTTCCCAGGTATTGATATCCGGCTAATTTGTCTGTAGTTCCCAGGTTTCCTTTTTGAAGATAAGTACAACCTGAGCCCTCCTCCAGTCATCTAGCACTCATCTTCCATAGTTTGGTGGTGGTAGAGCATCTCGGCAGGGTACTCCCACCCACCCCCATTCTAAAAGGCTCAAATACCTCCATTAAGATTTAATTCACAGCAGTGATTATTATTACTTTGCATTTATAACCTGCTTTTCTCCCCTCTTGTGAGGAGCCCAAGGTGGCTTATATAGCTCCATTTTATCCTCACAGTGACTCTGTAAGGTAGGTTAGGCTGTGAGTGACTGGCCCAAATTTTCCCAGTGCGCTTCATGGCTGAGTGGGGACTAGAACCCAAACCTCCCAGGGTACCAGCCCAGCAGTCTAACCACCATAAATACACTGGCTTTTGCCTTTTGCCCCATTCACCACTGAAAGTTATTCCACGAGCGCATCTCTGAACTGAATTCAGCTGTCAGACTGAAAGGGTTCAAACCCCTAGTTTGTCTAAGCTTGCACCCAAGGTGGCTGCTCTCCAGTTGGTGGATCATCAACTGCAACCCCTCCTGCAGTCCTTACATGCTATAGCACACTCTCTTCCTGAGGTGTCTCTGACCCTCAGGAGCAGCACTTGTGCACAAAGGCATGAGGAGACTGCAGGAACAGTAAAGACTTAATGCCATGCCTGCTTTAGGGATGCCAATATCTTTCTGGAGTCAGAGGAGACATGCAATGATCACCAGGACTAAATGCACACACACACATCTTGCTTTTCAAAGAGCTCTCGGAAAGTAAAAAAGAACAAGTGTAAATGTAATCTAATATGCAATTATTTGAAGTTACTGTTATTTGTGCTTTTTTATTCTCCACCTTTCCAGAGAGCTCAAGATGACACACATGCTATTTCTCCCACCTTTGTTATCCCCAGCAAGGTTGGGAGGCAGGTTAGACTAAGGGAGGGCAAGGGGCCTGACATCATCCAGTAACAAGCTTTCTGACTGAACAAGAATTCAGACCAAAGTCTCCCCAGCAAAAGCTCCGATCTGCAGTCATTGCACCATCCTTCATGATGTTGGAACTTGTAGTCTAACACATCTGGAAGGCAACAGGTACGAGAAGTCTGTACTGTACCTCTGTTTTGCTTTGGGCAAAATTTTGTGTCATGTAAGAGTCAGAAGTACTTGGCATCTCTTTCAGTCAAAACATTAAAGCAAAAATAGCAGGTCTTATTCTTTAGGAAACTAAGCCCAAAAAAGGCTTGCCAAGAGAACTTCACTATAAATTGGGTAAAGTTAATTTCCCACCCATTTATATAACACTCTGTCAGGCTAGCATGATGTGCATTACAGTGGTGAACACTGTACATTTACGGAAGGCAGTTTCCTGGCTCCTGTCTTCTAGCAATGCCATTTCCTACCCTACACTGATTTTGCACAGCACTCAGCCTTAACAAAGGGATTTCAAAGAAGCAAACTTCAGTGACACTGTCCTTTAGTTCTCCAAATGTCAGCCCACACTTCATTTTCCAATGACACATTTGAGAAGGACCAGCAAAGTGCCAGCTCAGCTTCACTTCCCCTTCAACAATTAGGTGGTATGACCTTGCATTTCTGCTCAAAAGCTTAGTTTATGAAACAGCAAAGCTCCTTAAAGAACTTTTTATAAATAAAACAAACTTTTGTACCACTTATTGTTAAGAGGGCATTTTTGGACATGGTAAACATGTAAAGCTGACAAAGCTGTCTGGATTCTTAATAGCATTGTGCTCACTTAAAACGCTTAGCTTCACCAGACTGCTTTGCAAATCAAGCCAGTGCCATTGTTCCTGAAAAGGCAGGTTCTTATATAACCATTGTAAGAACAGACCATTTTTTAATTATACCATTATTCCTTGTAAGCCCAGAACATTCAGGGGTTGCCTGCTGGGCAGTGCAGCCTGACACCCTTTACCTTTATGGGAAAAGATAACAGAGGCAGGCATACTTGTATTTAAAGCCACTGAAGCCCATGTCCTCATCACACCTAGTGGGGGTAAAATCCATCCTTTCATTCTGTGTGGGGAGAAGCACTTGTTGTCACGACTTTACTGCCACTGTCTATTTCACGGGAGAGCCTAAGTTCTAGCACTGCAGAAGCAGGATGTGTGCTTCTCTCTCTGCAAAGGCACAATTTTATATTCCTCTATCATATCATCCTTGTGTTCATCTCAGGGAGGGGAAGTAACAGCCTCAAGCACACAGACAGAACACATCCAAAAAGCATGTGTCTCCCCACTGCACAATGCTCTTCCTGGAGGCCACAGCTACTTGTCACAACCCCCGTGCATGACTGCTTCCCTCTGGGTCGTCCATGCTCCATGGCTTACCAAAAACTGACACAGATTGCCAGTGCTGAGGAAGAGAGGAACTAACTGGCAGCCAAGAGATCGTTGGGTGAACGTCTAAGTTGGGAGGCAAAATTGCAGACTGCAGTGTTAGAACTCTGAAGGGCTACTCTAACCTCTGTGCTCTGTGGTTTGGCTGTAAGGGTGTGTGGCTGCCCTTTTGCTTTCTTGGAAGCAGCAGTTCTCATTTTTCAGAAGCAGCCCAGATGGCAGCAGCAGGAAAGGGTGTGGATGAAAAAAACTGTGCTGCACAGAGGAGATGTAATTGACCTACAGACTATCCAAGCTCTGGTGTAGCACCAATTATTTTTTCTTATCTAAATGTCTTTTCCCGCTGCCTTATAAAGCACTATTTAATACTCCTTTGCTGTGCATAGCCTACACATCTTCTTTAAGACAGTGGTTTAAAAAAATCTACCATGCTGCATTCATCTTGGTGTAAAAAAGAGTTAGTTCTAGGCAACTATACTGGTGCTTGTGTGTGCGTGCATGCGTGCGTGAGTTTTACTTTGAAGAAACAAGAATGCAATAGGGAGATCCAACAAGAAATGTAAAACAACAATAGTGCATGATTCTTTTTTTTGTGAAATACATACCAACAAGTTGTTGGTACATTCACTGTAATCTCGAAGCAAAACAGGGACAGACTAGCTGTGATAACCTAGAAAATGAACAAGAAAATTGCATTGTATTACATCAACTTTCTACAAGTTCATCTATAAGAATCAAAACTTTATTAATATCTATTGTAGGATTAGCAGTGAGTGAAGAACAGCTTTTAAATTCACACTTCAGTCTTTATTTATGGTACAGTCTTATGATCTTGAGAATGAAAAAGCAACTCCTATGTGTACTTACATTGAAAAAAGTCCTATAACTTCCAGTATTCCACAGTCAGCCATGCTGAAACTTGTAGGTCTTTTTGCGGGCAAAAAACCACATAGGATTGTGCCTGAAAATGTGTTCTTACATTGATTCATTTTCTTTTTTGGGGTATTTCAACCACCACAAATATTTTGATTCTTACTGTAACAAACTATATATTTTTGAGCCCCCAAATTGTTCAGCTAGACTGATGTGAAGCAAATAAGGCTGCAATTCTGTACACCAAGAATGGAGAAGGTGTGGCCCTCTGGATGTTGTTGAACTTCAGCTCCTATCATTCCCCACTATTGGCTATATTACCTAGGACTGCTGGGAGCTGTAGGCCAGCAGCATCTACAGGAGAATAAATTCTCCATCCCTACTATCAGATTTACCTGAGGATAAAGTCCCATGGAACTCAGCAGAACTTACTTCTTAGAATACATTATACTGGTTTGAATAATTACCACAATGCACTTATAGAAGGACTCTGCAATCTAAAATAGCAACTACTGCTGAGACCAGATGCATACTGAGAGAAAACAAGGAAAACAAATCATTCCTGTATGCCAATTTTGGTGCTTATTTTTAAGAGACATAAATGGGGTGGGGGGAGCAGGGCATTTTGCTATAAGATTTGATTAAGCATAAACCAAAAACAAATTGTTCCAATCTCCAAATTTATTTTATAACATTACATTTATAGCCCACCCTTTCCTCTCTTGCAAGGAACCCAGGGTGGCTTCCACGATCCTTCTCTCCATTTGATCCTCACAACAATCCTGTGAGGCAGCCTAGGCTGGGAGCCTGTGACTGGCCCAAGTCACCCAGTGAGCTTCATGACACAGTGGAGACTAGAACCTGGGTTGCCCAAGTCCCAGCCAAGCACTATGCTGCATGTGCTTGATTTAAACAAAGAGCTAAAAAATAACCCCTGGCCTTATTTTCAAATAATATGAGAAGTCTATTTTATCTGAGGCCACTGGCAAAAAGGAAAAAAGTAAGAGTGCAATGCAGTGTTGGGTTTAGACAAGAGAAGCTCCACTGCACAATGAATGCTCTGGGAAATGTTTGTCAAGTCCCTCTCTCAGTCCAGGTTCTTCAATCGCCTGCTCACGTCCTGCCTCCACAGCTGCTGCAGCCAGGTAGGCAGAGGGGAAGAGACCTGCTGTTGTTGCCATTAAGGCACCTGAGTAAGGTGACGAGCAGGGAGCAGGGTCTGGGTGGGCACAAACAAAAGAGTCCCTTTCCATCTCGGGTGATAATGGAGAAAAGCGAGAGAGCTCAGCAGCAGAGCTCATGTTTTCTGTGCTTGAACCTCCCATGGGGGAATGCTGTGCCTGAAACCCAGGAGAACAGCTCCTGGTCTTGTCAGGTCAGGGGTGGGCAACCTTGACCTAACGGGATGCAACCATCAGCCTAATTTCAAAACTCTCTGTGTGCAATCAGTTCAGACTGCTGGCAAGGGCAACCTGTCCCTTCTGTGGCAGCCCAGCTGCAGAGGAAGGAAAAGGGAGAGAGAAAAGCCGGTGGCAGAATGTGCAAAGGGGTGACGCGGGAATGTTACTGGGTGCAGGGATGGGCAGGTGAATGTTGAAAGGTGGGACAAAGGCAAGCAATGGGCAGGGCCAGGGCCAGAGGTGGCTACCTCAGTGCTTTGTTGTAGTTATACAGCAAAGTTCATAATGTGTTTGGCTTGGTTCTCAGGCAGAGGTCTTTCCCAGTGCTGCTAGTGCTCCATCAGATGGAAGATCCCACAGACCAAACCTGGTACCTTATTCATTTGAAGCACATGCCATGCCCCTGACAGGTCATCAGGATATTTCAGAAGAGACTGAAAATAACTGACCATTTCTGAAAAATATTTGTCTTAGCTCAAATAGATGCAAAGGAATCTTACATTTGGGACTTGTACCAAGTCAAAAGCTGCTTCTTGCAGCGATGTTCTTGTCATTAAGGTATTCTAAAAGACAGCCTTCCTCATTTAATATTGCGTAAGTGATAAGCCTAGTGCAGACATAACACTGGTTCAAGACATAACACTTGAAAAAATATTTGCAAATCAGAACTCAAGCTCATGCACATTTCCATTCCTCATTTCCTGAGCAACTCACCTCCTCCTTTAGCAGCATTAGCCATGATTTCACAGTTTGGGTGCATCCGTGAATGTTACCCTTCCAGACTTCTTCCCATCCCCATAAAGGAGGCCATGTCCCTCCCTCCCCAATATCACTGAGCTCCAGTTCAGAACTATGATTCATGAACAGGGCTGGCATCCATGATTTTGGTGTGCTGTCCCCGTCCAGTAGCGGCTCTCATGCCATGCCCCATGCCATTTCCAAGGGTCTCCTGGCCCTCAGAAGGGGCCTTTAGGACCCATTCTGTGGAACAGATGCCATTTGTAGACATTAGGGTTCTATTCCACAAATTCAGCTGCTGGGCAATTGCTTTACTGCGTGTCACCGACCACATTTTTGAGAAGCCATTCTAAGCATCTCATGATATTAAACAAACAGCAGCAAAGAAAGATCACAAATGTGACTAAACATCAACAAGTAATGGAAAAACTAATACATTCCTGGCAATTGTCAGCAGTTTTGAAACAGGAAATTGCTGCCATGCCACAGTTGCCGCTGTTGCCATTGCTTGGGAGGACAATGGCATTGAAAATAGCACAGAAAAGCTAAAAATGGTTTCAGAGATATCAATTCATCAACAAAAGCCAGTGTTCTATTAGTGCTTCTGCTGCTCATAAAAATATCTCTATACATTTGCGAATATTTATCTATGCTAATTTTCTATTTCTAATATCACTTTTCAACTCATGACTCCATCAGGACATTGACTTTAAAAAATTAAAGAATTCATAGGCCAGATTTTTCACCCTGCTTTGCTGACCCTGCTCCATACACCCCACATAACTACAGTCTTGATTCTGTCACTTTTTCAGATGTTCATGCTGCTTCACAGATGAAGTAATGGAAAAGAAAATGATGGGGTTTTTTTAATAAGGTAGAAAGGAATGAAAAGGAGAAATGAATTAATTTTCCCGGGAAAGATAAAAAGTTATAAAGTTGCTATAGAGGTTGTGCAACAATAATTTGAAAGGCATTTTATTCAGTCATGAATAAAATCAGGCTTTTTAAAAGCCAGATGTCACAGTGTGTGCTCTAATTCAGATGTATAATCACTTCCTCTTCTCACTGAAAGAGTCCAGTCTTCAGATGCAAACAGCAGCACCAGTCAGTTGCACTGGACCCTTGAAAGCAGCCTTCCTGGTGTTCTCCATAGCCAGTGACCATGCTGAATGAGGATGATGGGAACGCAGGCCAAACCGGACTAGGGAAGGCTGCTCTAAATGAAGGAGTTTCTGGGTTATCATAATTCTTTGGAATTAGGGGAAAACCCCAGAACAGAGAGGTAGAGAACCAGTTGATGAGATCTGGAGTCAGGAAATGGTGGTAGAATAAGGAGCAGTGTTTCCCTTCTCCCTGTCCCATTCACAAGAAGTGCCTTTTCCTATTCTTAAAAAAGAGAAACCAGCAATCTCTTCATATACACTTGCATGTCATATGCATTTCAGGTTTTAGTGAGTGATCCCAAGGGTGAGGGGTACAAACACCTGAACACTTTGTCAGGTGCGGGCTCTCCCCATGCACCACCACACTCCCAGCACACCGCTCCCACCTCCATAGCGGCAGGAAGGTGATAAGAGGAGAGCCCAGAAATCAAAAAATTCTCTCCAAGGTTGGAGATTCTTTGTCTTTCCCCCCCATGCTGGGACAAATGTTCATCCACTCAGATCTCTCAGTAACACACTCCAAGTTAGATTCCCCAGCAAATGTTTTTCTTTTTACCAACCTGACATTTATGACTATCAGGTCTTGTGTGTTATTGATTCGGCAACCTTCAAGAGGACTGAAGGAATGATCACACAAATGTGTTTTACCTCCCTTCCCTTCTTCTGGCCTGCCCTTCTCTCACCATCACATCTCCCCTGATCTATACCACCCCATTTTCACATCTCCCCTGATCTATACCCACCCCATTTTCTAAAGTCTCCATCTGGCATTGCACTAAGAGACAAAAGAGTGGAATGACACACAGGAATTGCACCAAGATGCAGTTTTTCAGATAGTATTTGGTTTGAAGAATGAAAACCTGGAAACATGGGTCTGGAAAGGAATACTAGGCTATTGCACTGAGTAAGAATGAAAATTGTACTTTCTTTGAAGAACATTTGACATAAAATAGTGTAATTCTAAAATATCACATTAGCATTTCCTTCCATGCTCAGTCCACCAAACATCTGGAGTTGTACTTGAAAATTAGCAATGGAAATTATTCCCAGACCAATTCTTGTTATTCATTCCCTTCATTCCCCAATTATGTTTATGAATCATTGTTCAGCTTAAACTCCCACAATATAAATAACTCGAGAGCAAGACTAAATGAGAAACAAAGTCACATCTTGGAGTGCCAGGAAGGGGATGGAAAGAAATCTATGATGCAGAGGATAATTCTTAATGGGAAGTTTAGATATGATAGATCCTGGGATTCATTCCTACTCTTGTATCAGGAAACAAAAGTGCCTTCGTGAGATGGCAGAGGCAGAGACACAGAACAGGGAGTTATAGGATCATGTAGTGTGCTTATTGAAATTGATAGGATTATGGTTGGTTAGGCATTGAATATTAGAGAACATCTTGTTTTGATCCAGTCTGCATCTTTCATAGTTAATGAGACAGCCTCATACAAGGGTGGGATGGGGACAGAAGAAGAGGATGATTGCATCACTACTTATTTATTACATTTATACCATGTCTTCTATGTTGATATTCCAGGGAGTACAGCTATAGTTCCCACCTGGTCTCCTATCTAAGCACTGATCAGATAAAAATGTCTTTAGCTTCATCAAACTGCTGCATCATCTACCTTCAGAAAGTGAGCTGGGATCAGATAAAGATGATAATGACTGGTATATGGGAATGACTGCTTGTGTGGGCAGGAAATTAGGGCAAGTGCGGCTCAAAGATCACTGCCTAGCTGTCATGCACATCCAAATCACACACTGATATAAGACTGGAGTATAGAATGGCTCAGTATTGTAATTTCATTCTCTGGATTGTCCTTGTCTTGTCAACATTTACACTGTAAACATAAAGCAGGCAACTTTCTTCTGCTGTTCTCTATTAGCCTTCATGCAAACTGGTAGTGTTCAAAGTAATGATCACTTCATTACTATTTTTTGTGTTAATTGCATTTAGCTACACCCCATAATTCTATTCTTGCCTGTTGTATGTTATGGTGCATCTTCCATCATCTGCATACCTTCTACTCTCTTTAGATAACTATGACCAATTACTGAAAGCCATAAAATAATAAGGTTACACAATATAATTTTGTACTTCTTTCAAGAATTTAATCTTGTTCAAACTATTTTAACTAGGAACTGTAACTTGTTAGAAAGGTTCCTATTGATCCTGTATTCATTGGTATCAGGGCAGATAATTTTACTTCCTAAATTAATGATAATGTTATACAGCAAGGTGTTGTTAAGGAGACTGTATTGAAGGCTCTGCAGCAGTTCCAGTTCTGGATAATTAGTGCTGGATGCTACAAAGCTATTATCAAGTGGTCTCTATGGGAACAAACAGAAAGCCTACACTTAAAGCTGCAACAAGTCACTTCAATCAATCCTTTCCCTAGCCTCTTTGTCAGATATGGAAATGGTATGGAAGTTGCACTAGCAAATTCTGATTCAGTACACTAGAACAATCGATCATTTCAGGCGCATGTGTATTGAATTAAAAGTGCTCAAGCCACAATCCTGTCTTGGGGAAAGTGAGGGAAATCTATGCCTTGCCAGACTTTGTTAGACTCCAATTCCTATCAGCCGCAGCCAGCATGGCCAATGGTCAAAGGCAATAATAGTTGGAACAACAACAGGTTTCCTATTTGTGTTAATGCAAAACATACTAGAAGTCAGTCCCACTGAAACAAGCATAGGATTATGAATTACTGTTTTGTTGAATAGAAAGCTGGAGCAGGGAGATTGTGCCCTATTCCAGTTCAGTTATCAGTATGTTAAGACAAAGTTGCCCTCTACATCTGTAGATCTCCCCAGATGTTGACAGTGCAGGTAATGCAACTCAAAAATGTGATGCAGGCCCTACAAAGTCAGCCTATATAAAAGGACCACAATTAAAGTTGCTAGCTTCAGTTGGGAACACCCCTCTTATGCAGTCTTTCGAGGATGCATGTGACATACCAGCTTCCCCGCCCCAGCATCCTTCAAATGTTCAGTCCCCATCATTGCCAACCAACATGGCCAATAGTCAGGAATACCAGGAGTTGTAGGCCAAAACATTTGGAGGGCATCCGTCCGGAGAAGGATGCAACAGGATTGTGAAGGATTGTAGATTCACAATCTATGACAAAAAATATCCCTAAACTCAGGGAAATGCAAGTCTATATTCAAATTTAAGACCATGTAAAACTAAATGGAATCTACCAGCTCGTCTAGCAATCCCCTGTTCTTCCTCTTTGGAACAGTTTACCTAAACCTCCCTGATAGTGTCCCATTCAGGCAACTTGTCAGGCCAGTTCTGTTCAACTTCAGCAGTAGCTTCATCATGTGCCTTCAGACAAACCATTCTTTGGCAGTCCATTAAAGCTAGAAGATTTCTACATCTATTATATCATCATCATCTGCCCTTTGGTTGTTCCATTGTAAGTTCAACACATACAGTGCCAGCCTTATTTCACAAATGCTACTTCCATGTAGCTACATGTGAGCAACACTTAAATTTCTTTGTGTGTCTCTACCAGTTGAGCGAAATGAGGCTGAACTGTGCTAATGATTTCAACTTATCCACTGCATCTGTTCCTTATTTGCAAAGTCATGTTTAATAAAAAGCTTTCTGAAAACAAGATGACTTAATGTGAAAAATCAAAGATATAACAATGGCTAAAAAAACAAAGATATACCAAACATGCTCAGCAACATGACAGTTAGACCTGTGATTGAACTAATGTGTCATGGAAGAAACACAGATCAGAAAGAAAGTTTCCTGTCACCACTAGATGAATTATGCACTGTAATGTAAGTAAAGTTCTGCAAATAACCCATTAACAAAAAGACTTCCATACCTCCTGGAATCATTCATTCATATCCATTTCTATACTAAGAAGTATGAAAGTGGTTTCTTTTAGGATGTTGTAATTTGTAACAGTTGAAACAGCAATTAATGTAGAAGGCAAAGTCCTGCCAAATTCTCTTTGTACCTCATATATTGTAAATAGTTTAAAAGATGTACATTTTAGTTCAGTCCTGTATCTTTAGATGTTTAGTCCTGTATATTTACTCAGACACACGACCTTCTAAGTTCATTGGGACATTATTAGACATAACAGTCACTCTGTATGCAGTATGACATCATATGCTCCATTCTTACCATTGCTTTAAAAATCTTGCTTTTGGATATCTACCTATGTATACATTTTCACAAAAGAGATACTTTCTCAAGATTTTTTGACTGAACTTCCTTCTGGATTTGTCTGGACTCAATTATAAACTATAGTCTAGGGCTACATTTTTAAAGCCTCAGGTTCAGGTATTTTCTCCTCTGTTCCTCTGGTGCAACCAGGAAGACAAGATCTGAAGCTTTTGCCCCCATTTTACACTAGCCACATTACATGGTGAACCTGACTCCAAATGCAACAGAACAAAACAAAACCCAGTAATCATGAGATGAAGAAGCAATTAGACATTATAGACAGAGTAAAATATGTGATGCTCACAGAGGATGCTGTGCTGGGATGACAAATAACAATTCCTTAAGAAATAAAATTATAAGAATTTCATCAGACCCTTATAACTGCTGTGTAGGTTTTTGTTAGATCAGTGGTTATTGCCACTAACTTCATTTGTGACATAATCTAGAGGTAATTTCTGGGGGGTGGGGGGGGGGGACTGTTGCCAGAAATGAGATTGCCAGCATGGAAAATATTAAGGCTAAAGACTAATGTGCCCAGATAGAGGTATAATTCAAACTTCCAGTAAAATTCCATCAGTTTGCACTAGATGAATATTCATGTTTTTACAGTTAGAGTCTACCCATGGTTTCCTCATCTCTGTAGGTGCATTCATTTGCAGAGGCAATCACAAGATCAAACCTTCTTACACATTAACCCTACAGCCTGGCTTTGACTGGATAATCACAAACGCAGATTACAAGCACTACTCTACACATGAAAAAGAGAAGGAGCCTATCCTTTTGCTGCTCTTAACATCCTGTTTATTCATATAATTAAGGCGGATAGACAATGTGGCTGGGAAAATTCACATTAGACGAACTTGGGAATGGGTTGGAGTTAGCAAATAAATAGATGTTCACTTTTCCCAAACCCCTGACCAAAAGAGAACTATAATAATCTTACCTTTGCTAGGAAATTCCAAGTCACATACTGTCCTGAGGATGAGTTACCTTTAAGCTTCATTGTGTGTAGAGTCACAAGAAATCCTAGAAGACCGCTGTGGAACATGGTCGATAATATTATTAATAGAGTTCTCAACATCTTTTAGCAAGAATTTAATATTTTAGCTATAACCAGGTATCACATTATAGTTATTTTGTAAGATAAGAACAGTGGCTAGATTCTAAGTTTTAATGAACATGTTATTTATTATAATTGATGTGCTTTTAGGTTATAATTATGGTCCTATATTGTTTGTACTTTATTATACACTGCACTGAACACTATTTTAATAAATGGGCAGGATATAAATTTAATAATAAATGTGTGCCTTTCAGATGGGGGGACGGTAGGCAACATGGTGCCTGGGGACACCTGCTGTGTTCCCCGACAGCTTTTCTGACACCCCGTGAGGTGTTCTATTCCTCCCATTTTTGGTTTTTCTTTTTCATTAACACATTTTCTTGCATAATCTGCTTCAGAACAAAGGAAGGGTTTCCAGCCACTTCCATCTTCTTTTCCCTTGAAAGCTTCAGGACTACACATGGGACATCCTTAGGAAATGAACATGGTGAGTGGCTGCAAGCCAAAAGATTCCTCTGCAATGTGGCCAACCATTAAGAATGGAAAAAGAAAATGGCCGTGCCTGCATGGTAATCAGCTGGGGGCAAGGCTAAAGAGGAGGGCATTGGAGAATCACCTGGGGCGAGGGTAGCTGGCAAGAAGCCAATAGAAACTAAAGGGGTTGAAGCCAACTGGGAGGACTTGGAGAATGGGTGCTCATATGCATGAATGCAGAGGGGCTATGTGGATGTGAGAGAGGGAGAATGAACAGGTTTAGGAAGAGATTTTGGCAGGATCCTGAAAAAGACGGTGTGTGACTTTTCATGTGGTTATGGTGAGGAGGAGAAAGGAAGGATGTGCACATGTGCATGGTGGATACAAAGGGTGCCTGCATACGTGTGTGTGTGCTCCTGCGTGAATGGATGAAGGATGGATGTGGGAGCATTTGTGCGCAAGTGAGAGAATGAGAGTGTGCATCTATGAATTGTGAACAGGGTAAGGAAGAGCATATGGGTAGTGATCCAGAATGCTAGGGAAAAGTAGACATGGGGGAATGAGTTGCCTAGGAACAGATGGGAGAGAGAACAAGCTTGCTTCTGTGGAGCAGGTTTCTCTGTTGGAGCACAGACCCCATCCTGACCCTGTACTCAAATATTATCCTTTGCAACTAGCCTCCCCTTTCCTGGCACTATTTTGTGGTGGTGCCCAGGACAGTTTCTCAAATACCCAAAGGTGCCCATCAGCCCCAAAAGGTTGCGTATTCTTGCTTAATATTCAGAGGTGAGGTGGTTCCTGCTGGTGGAAGAGGGAAGAGAGCATTTTGATCGATCACCCCCTGCAACCTCCTTTCCATTCTGAAGGGTTCCGAGTCTGTAATATTGCTAGCTTAGGCAATTTACAACAAATAATAATCAAAATTTCTCTGGGTAGCAAGCAGTTGCCACTTAAATTAGTGGGATCTTTATTAAATTTTCCCTTTTTAGTCATCTCAAAGTCTGCCAAATAACAAGATGTACAGGAAAACAAATCCACATGAGTACTATGGTCTAATGCTTTGTAAGCACAGCAAACATGAATTACAAGGGCTAATCTGCTGGTGAGCCGTTTGAAAGATGCCCTTGGTGAATACTCGGCTGTAGTAAACAGTTCTGGCATCATTGTGGGCCAACATCACATGAGAACACTTGAGGAACTGGTCAAGGAATAGGGGAAGTAGTGAAGAACTAGAAGATTAAATTCTAGATTCTTTTCAGCATTTCTACACCTTGACTGGCTTGAGTCAGAAAAAAATGGTTATAATTAGCTCAGGTTTTGCATGCCTCTTTTAATTAGGTCTTAGAATTGGAGGTCAATGTTTTCTTATTCTGAAATGTGCAAACCTACTCACTTGGATCAGGTAGCTGCTTACCTGGCCAAGCAACTGCTATGAAAGCTGTAGAAGTACAGAAAAGGAAATTCCAAGGCACTGAAGAAATCACCTAAGGAATGAACTATTACATTCAATTAGAGAAATGTTTTTAAATACCCACAATTAACCTTCTACATGGAAATGTCATTTAAACTGATTGCTGTTAGTTTTAAAACAGGCTTTTTATAGCTTCTTGGCTCTTTAATTTGCCATGCTCCTGTCTCATCCTTTCGAGCAGCATCTGATTCTTATTATCAGTTCAGAAAGAGGTTGCAGAAAAGGGAAGTGTGCATTTAGTGACCACATTTCTACTTGAAAAATGATTGTGTTCAATACTGCAGTTTCCAACAGCCATGAACTCCATTCACAATGCTTATATTCATGGTCATAAGGGATTCATTTGTTTCCACTAAACATGTTAATTCTTTTCATTCCATACTATGCTACAGGAAACATTTGCAGGTATTGGCTGTTTCCCTCCATAAATCTGAATTGTGGTGCAAGAAAAAAAATGAAAAAGGAGGACAGGAACAATAGAAGCAACAATTTAGGCGCAGGGGATACCATTTCAGGGTTTCAAAAAGGATAAGTCAGAGAGATTTTAGCAAGTTTTAAAGGTGGACTCAATATGTTTAAGAATAAGTTGCACTGAAATGGTCTACTTTATCAGCATTTGTTGTGCTAAATTTTTGACACCTCACGACAATCCAAGATACCTGTTTTCCCCAAATGATAATGATATCCCATGCAATGCCCCATTGCCCCTGAAAATATTGCCTTTGCTTACATTTTGAGTTGTGCCAAGGCCTGAGCATACAAAAACTCAGGAAACATGTGGATAGGAGATAATTCATCTAGGAAGAATTCATCATGGAAGAGGGATATTTGCAAGGGAGAATCAGCAGTTGAGGGAAGATGTGCATCCTTTGAGATTATACTGAGGTGCATGTATGTAGCAAATCTTACTCCTCTACAGCATATGTAAGAAAATAACAGCAACTCTCCAAAGAAAACCATTATTGTTTGTTTGTTTTTACCTGTTGGGTGGGATGCAAAAGCCAATATTGCCACACTAAAAACAAAAGAGAAACTGCATTATTAGTCTTGATTTCCAGAGTAGCCAACAATGCCACTGATTGTGCTGTCTACCGAAAGTTCAAATGCAGTTTTAATATCTGGGCTCTCTGTCTGGAATCAAACAGGGGAGAGAGACATAAAGAAAAACGGAGCAAGCAAGCCAAGGGTTAGATGCAGACTGAAAGTACCTTGGGGTACACAGGGTCTGGTACAAGTGTACATGCTGCTTGTCTCTACTTATATTCTACTTGCACAGAACAACAGACCCACATACACACCCCATAAGTGTGTAGCACTCTCTCTTCTGAAGGTAATCAAGTGCTCAATATGGTTGCCCCAGAATTTTTCACCATTTTGTAAAGTATGGAGTTCACAACAGTATAAAAAGAGAATTTCTGCTTTACCTGAATGCATAGTTTATATACTGTTGCTCAGAGGCACTAAGGGAAAAAATAAGTTATTTCAGGAGAGGACAGGGTCTAACAGCAGCATTTTAAATCAAAAATACACTCAAACATTCCACTCAAACACACACCAAAGACACATATATGATCAATCTTCCATCATTCTGCATTGCCACTGAAAAAAGTTGCCAGCCAAGTTATCTTAATTCCTGAAAACTCCAAACTGAGTCTTCCCAGGCAGAACTGCCTGGTACTAAACATAAGCAAAAGAATACGCTGCCTTCCTATTAGAAACTGAATCATCTAGCTGGCCTAAGGAGGAAAGGGAAATTATTTGTTGCTGTCTTTCAGAGGATCTGTCATCTGCCACCCTTGAAATGTTGTTGTATATGAGGCATTCACAAGTCATTCAAATGTTCAGGAAACAATTAAATTACCTGTGTGATCCATCTACTGAATCTCTAATAATTTCTACTTCCACTGCTTTGTACTTGTTTTTCATTGGTCATTACAATTAAGGGAACACTACTAGGCCAAGTAGTTACTGAAGTGGTTCACGAACAGGACTGATTAAAGTATAGGTGAACTTTAAGACACGTTGGATTAAATTATACAGAATGGTAAAATGGAGTAATATTCCATTAAGTGTTTCATTCACACTGGAGTAGTGAATGAAAGTAGTCCACCTGGACAGTGGACTGTCTCTCTGGACAGTGACCACATTTCCTTGTCCTTACTAATTTCACTTCTGAAACCTGTCAGGATATAAAGGACACAACAATTCTATTCTTTATTCAGAAAAGCTAACATTATTCTACACTTCCCCACATCTGTTCCACAGTTGCTGGGCTCTATGATAAGGAAGACATTGCTAGGTTTTAAACTGCAGCTAATGTTAAGAACATAAGAAGAGCCATGTTGGATCAGAGCAGTGGTCTACCTAGTCCAACACCTTGTTCCAACAGTGGGCATCCAGCTGCCCACAGGAAACCCACAAGCAGGAACATGAGTGGAATAGCACCCTTCCAGTCATATTTCCTTGCAAAGAATATGAACTGGGGCTAGCATATAAGCATCAGGACTAGCAAGCACTGACAGCCTCATCCTCCATGAATCTGTCTACTTTCTTTTTAAAGCTAACCACACTGGTGACTAGCAGTACATCAGGAAGTAGTGTTTATTGATGCCCTGTGTGAAGTACTTCCTTCTCTGTCCTCAGTCTCCCACCAATCAGTTTCATGAGATGACTATGGGTTCTAGTTTTAACGGGCGGATCTCCCTATTTACTTCTTCCCCTTTTGTATGCTCCCACTAAATAGTCCCAGATGTTTAGGAAGACAACATTTGATTGCAAGTTCATCACATCCTTCATCCTGACATGTTCTCTCACCACATATGTTACAAAAACTTAGCACCTATGTGAAGATTTTGCCATGCCTTCTCCTTGCAAGAATTCTGTCCTTTTAATTTGGGGTTGGGGAGAAGAGCATTAAAGCTGGGGCAACCAATGTTTATATGTGAAGAAATCAGTATTTATTATGGATGAGATCTCAATTAAGCTAGTCACATTATAGTCACACTGAAGTCAAGGTGACATGTTAACCATTCACTACTTTTGTCTGGCTCAAGCCCTAGCTTCATACCCTTCATTTCAACTAAGATCATCTTCCAATTTAGCTTCCCATTAAAATGAAATATACCACGATATCTAACTGTGTGTATGTATGTATAAGGACGAGCAGGGATGATGTTTACGCTCACTGTTTCAGCTTCATGTTCTTAGGTGGACTTAGTTGTAATTAGTTGGATTTGCTGTGATTCTGCTTGGCTAATTTATCCCTTCTATGCATGTTTAACTAAAGCCAATTGGTGAACTAAAGAAAAGAACAGAAAAGAAAAAGTCACAAGCAGTATTCTAATGATGGAAGAGAGATGCATAGTTCTGTTGATGATTTTCTGCTCAGCTGTACTTCAGTCTGTTTGCCCTTATGTACATTAACCATTCCTTAATTACATTATCCACCTCTTTTTCATGGTACCTGAATTTTGTAAGAGCAGCCATTTTTCTTTATATTTCCCTCCTGCCTTGAATACAAGAAAAATAAATCACCTTAGAGAACTAGGTCTCCATAACTTGTGAAATACTTTGTAAGCCCCTGTAAATTAAAAGACATGGAAACAAATATAATTCATAATTCTGGTCAGGAGGTCCTATTGTGGTACAGCTGAGGAACAATTCAAAATCTTCTACAACATATAAGCTTGTGTGCTGTTTTCTATTTGTGTATTTATTTACTTTTCCCATTACAGATCAAAATCTCCTTTCCTGGTTTTGTTCTCACTCTCCAATGCTCTTATCTCTCTAAATAATGTAGAATTTTGATCTGCCTATATGGTTTACCCTTCTATTTTCATGGGGTCATACAATTCAATGCTAGTTGGATTCATTCATATAACGTTGGAAGGAACACAGAATAAAGCTTCTGTTTCTAGTGAAAACAAAACAAACAGACTCTGTTTATGCAATTTGCTGGCTATTGTATTGTGGGACAAAGCCAGAAAATTAGAAACATCTGTCCAAAATCCTATGAAAATGAGGAGGAATGGCACATATACTAGCAAGCTTAATTTTAAATTTTATCTGATTTAACTTACCAACACATAGCAAATGTATGAGAGCCCAAAAATAGCCATCTGTATCAAACTGAAAAATAAAACATCAAAGTACAGAAAAATAAATAGTTCAAGATTTGATTTCAAGACTTGTAGCAAGGAATACTCCAGGAGCTGAAAATACCTTGTTTGAAAGAGCCAAACACTTCATTCAAATTTAATTTATTAGACTTTTGGTGCTATGCTTTTCTTTTCATGTAGCAGCAATAAAAACAATAATAAAATACAGATGTATTTGTTTCTGTGTATGCAGAAATTTGTTTCTGTGTATGCTCATACTTTCTTTAACTGGTATAAGTAATTAAAGAAGGTATGAAGCAGAAATGTGTTGCCTTCAGGAAGTAGTTCTTGATAAAAAGTGGCTGTTTCATTGTCACTACTGGTATTCTACCTCTATTCTGAAAGTGTCCTGAGATTGTAATCTTATTTATTTATCTGATTTAAATGTTTTAGCCTGTCTTTCCATACGAATTGGTCCAAGTGTTTTTATAGTATTATAAAGTCAACAGAGAGGGAAATGAATTTTTAACCGATTCAATCCAACATCAACAGCAAATAAAATGCAATTTCAATGAATTTACCAAGGTGGTTAAAATTTCAGCAGAATGGCAGGTAAACTACCTGTTGAAGACTGGGTTTTGCACCATGATGGAATGGGGGAGAGAGACCAGCCTAAAGAGGGAATGCCAAAACCTAGGTGTGGCACAGATCAGGCCCCCTGCCATGTCTCAACCAAATACCAGTGGACTACAAAGAAGAAATTCTACAAAAGAGCAGGCAAATTCAAATTGAAGAAGACAGTTTCACCGTTCACACTGACTTGGAGGCCAGTGGAAACAGTTAGGTTTCAGGCTTAGGTTTCAGTCACTAAGAAGCAATTTGCTGAAATGAACGCAATGTGTTGCAGGTATCAAAACTTTCCCAAAGGCTTTCAACTCTAGCTGCATCATTGCCTACTCTGGCTATGGTGAATGGGAACTGCAGGCTAACAATATTCCCCATTCTTGATGTACACAGTGAACCAGAATCATGGACCTTACAAACTGACACATTAAAATATTTTTAGTATGTTTGAAGGATCTTGAATCAGGGCTACAGAACTATTTTGACCCCATCACAGTGCTAAGGAAGGTTTGGTACCACACGCTTTGGGATTGCTGGGCCGGCGGGAACACTCTCTGCCCCAGTGTCCCTGACCATTTCAGTGTCTAACAAAGGATCCCCTTGCTTATTTCCAGTCCATTATCAGAGACTGGAGGTAATGAAGGGAAAGCAGTGCAGGGAAAGTCAGGGGGTTCTGACAGGCTACCAGAAATGGTTTGGCAGGCTGCACTTTTTCCAGCCCTTCTTTAAACCTTTGTTCCTATGCAGATGCCCTGGAGAAATGCTTTGCATATATGTAAGAATGCACCGGGAGCATTTAAACAAACTGTTCCTTAGCACCTCTTGTGGTACCCTCCTTGATGGATTTGGTTTTCCATCCTTAATGGTGTCCTCTTCCCCCCTCCCCCTCCCCCTCCCGCCCCCAGACATCCAACCACAATAGTCAGGAAAGATAAAGGGACAATATACACATGTCCTCTTCTGCAGCATGTGGTGAAGTTTACCAGGTAACTATTCCAATGTATGACATACAAATGGGTTGGGCCTTTCACAGCAGTTAAAAGTTTGTTCTAAACAGCAAACATACCTGTGGGTCAAAGAAGGGAAGGCACCCGGATGCTACCAGAAGCATCAATACTCTGCATCAAAGAAAAATGCCATATCACAACAATTTATTGTCATGTCTTCTCAGGTGAAGTATACATTTATATTTCATATTTTAATAATAAAAGTATTTGTAACACAGCCTCCCCACAAAGAGCTTAGGATGCAAACATACTTGTCTCCCTTGTTATCATCATGACAGTCCTGTGGGGCAGGTTAGGCCCAGGTCTAGGTCACCCATATTGCTTTTGGCTAAGTGGAAATTTGAACTTGATCCTAGTTTGATTCTCTGTACCACTGTGCCACACTTGCTTTTTTCACAACTATTATGTTTTACTGCAACTACTACAGGGACAGGGCCTTTTCAGTAGCACCTCCATCTTTGTGGAACTCCTCCTACTTTCTTGAAAGAGATAATGAGCTACCTCCATATTTGCTTGAATATATATATAAATATTATTTTAAACTACCTGTTATTAAAAGGTTAATAGTTTCCCTGTTTTTTCATGAGACTGTGTTGTATTTAAAACGGAATCAGACTTATTCATAATAGACACAATGTAAATTGGTTGTACTCTTCAGAAAGGTTTAAGTAAAGACCCATAAAATTATGACACACCTGTAAAAGCCCACATGACACCCTGTGAGACAACCTACAGAGTAACATAGGGTTGGAACCAGACTAAGGTTGTTGATATGGGTTTTCCTTGAAACATCTGGTCTTAAGGAAGTCATGTTTAACTTGCCCCACTGATTTCAATGAGATCCAAATCTTCATCTGGGTCCACCCCATTGTCTTCTGGCAGCCTGAAACTGGTGTTGAAAGCTTCTTTGTATTTTACCATTAAAACTATGTCCTACATAGAGCACATGATGAATCAAGCTCTAGCTCTCATGTCTGCCTAGAGCACCAAATTTTCAGTTAGTCAGGAAGTTAGATCTGGTGGAATCCCATAAATTGAAACACTGGGCATTCACTGAGAAACTTACCTGCAGATTTTGGGAGCGGAGGTCTGCTATTAAGAAAGCAAATAAAGTGTCATCAAGAATAACCATCACAAGAAAATTGTATCATCATCATGCATACATCTAGACCTCCAGCATTTTTCAAGATAGGTTTTCCATTACTATGGCACCAGCAGCAAAACTAGGGAACTCAATCCAAAATAGCTTTGAAAATAACTTCTAAAAAGCACATGCTGGACAAGGATTAAAGACTGTCAAATGTAATCCAAATGAAAGATGCTAAGCCATTCCTGTTTTACTTCTCTCAGGGAGCATCCAGAAAATTTAACTTCTTAGTTTAAGTACTGGGGCATTTAATATTTAACAAATTAAGTAAATATATTGCTATAGTAATAATTAAAGTTAATTACTATTAATAGTACTATTATTATTATTATTATTATTATTATTATTATTATTATTATTATTATTATTATAACAACATTTCTATGCCGCCCCTTGCCGAAACCTCGGGGCGGCTTACAACATGATAAAATACATTGAAATACAATAGTACATAATAAATTACCATTAATTAGCCTTTAATATTAAAGTATTTTATCCTTGAAAAAGATAACTTCCAAGTTCCTACTTTCCCAACCTTTCCCACAGGCTCAGTGTTGCAAATTAAATGCACAGCCTGCACAGCCAGCACCCTTTGTGGCCAACTGGTAGAGATCAGTGTGGGCTGAAATATTCTGCATATGTGAACTTGAATCAAACATACTCGGGCAGTGCTCCCAACTGCCCTCAATATATTGAAACTAGTAGGCATTAAGTGCCAAATCTCATGCTTTAAGGCAGGATTATGTCAAAAAGCCCACTCACTTTCTGAAAATGCAGCAATGGAATGTTTTTATGGATGGCATAGTTCTGAGTCAGATACCACTGTGCGAGTTCCACAGTTGTAGCACACGTATCTCTCTTGCAGCCAAATTATTTGTATGAAACATTACACGTTTTTTCAAATTTACAGAGTGACCTGTAGAAATGTCTCCTGCATCTTCAACTGTGATGTTGATTATGGGCATCCAATATGGCCCCCCAAAGTAATTTTTTTCAGGTATTGTAGTAGGATAAGGACATGTCCGGGCAATTGAGTTTGGTCCTGAATAGGGTATGTCAACTATGTCTCCTACCTCCAACCCACAGTGGCACAACTGTTTTCCTGCTCAGCCCTGATACAGGAACAGGGCAGTTTCTGAAGCTGCTCATGCTATTGTCACAGTTCTGTTTCAGGTTTCCTTAGTAGCTTCAGGAGTATTGAAGGGGAGAAAATTGAGATTTTGGATTTCTCCAAGAAAGACTACTGGCTGGTGACTAGCTTCTTTTGGTGCTGGACATATGTTGCTGTGAAAGTTCTACCTGCTTTGAAACTTGGGGCAGGCAATCTGCTGCCTTTCCGATGTTTTGGACTACAACTCACATCAGTTCTATCCAGGATGGAAAATGGAAAGGAATTATGGACAGTGTAATGAAAACCATCTGGAGGACAGATTGACTCCTTCTGCTGAGTTGATAAACGGTTGTCTTGAAGGTTCTAATGCTTAGAGGAGGGCATGAAGATCAAGATGATGATTCAGTTTGTATGCTGTCCCACTAGCAATAGGTTCTCTGAGTAGCTCACGTCATTATGATGTGATCAAACCCATTTATTAACAGTGGGCTGAACCAACACCGAATTAGCTTTTCTTAGATCTTATTGAAACCAACAGGGCTTATATTAGTCTTGATTAACTTTCTGCATGGATTTCAGTGGGAACTAAATGCAATCAGTTTAGGGAGTTATCATCACCTGCTTTTAACTACCCACTTAAGCAGCTCCTGCATTTTGGAAGACCTTCCAGAGCAGAATGGGATATGGCACAATAGACTCCGCTAAGTTAGGTGGATTGGGGAAAATAAAGAGGCACTTTCTGTTTAGGTAGTACTGGATATGGCCATTGGCCTGGATCTAAGCTAATGTTTTGTTTTGTTTTTAATTTGCTGGGCCTTAAGATTATGTTACTAATCATACTGCTTTCTTTTCCTTCTCCCTGAAACATTTCAAAGTACACACTCTTCGCAGGGAATGAAATAATTTAATTCTCAATTTTAAAATGAGAGCATTTGAAATATTCCCCTTATATAAAAGATAAATTAAGTTGTTAACTGGATTATGTAACAGCTTCAAAAACACAGTTGGCAAATTTAACCATTTACAAAGCCCTACTGTTGACGTAACATGTTATTAGTTTTGCCATACCTCTTTCAGCACAAATGTCTCAATTCCATAAGTAATAACTTCTGCAGCATTGTGTAAGGTAAGAAAGATAGGAATTGGCTGCCAGGAAAGAAAATGTAACCAACAAGATTAGCACTGTAAATTATCCGAAGTGCTCTGCACTTATGTATCTTTTTGTTTGGCTGGCTTAAAAACCAAGCATTTCTGATGACCCCCTAAAAGTCTTGGCTGAATGTCACTTATGAATCACTGTTGCAATTTGGTGGTGAGCAATTTTGTCACATAAATTTTGGCACATGAACACAGTGCTAATATCCCACACACGGAAATTAGTGGCATCTCTCACATGTGCACAGTTTTTAGCTCTTCTATATGAAATGCATTACCTACCACTTCAAACTAAGATCATGATGATGATGTAAGGTAGCAGAACAAACAGGAAATCAGCTTCACATTCTCAACACTATTTTCTAGTAGCAAATGGCAGTACCTTTTTGTAGATACTGGTATTGATATAGTTACTTAAGCTTTGGCAGGTACTGGGCTTTCTACACAAGGCTGTTAATCTAGTATACCTCAGTTTTGTTGCAGAACTGAGATCCAAGCTCAATATGAATAACATATCCTGACCTGCCTTTATAATATCTATCCTCTAGGTGGCACTGTGGTATAGCAGAACAACATGAGTAGAAAAAATTTTTTCTTTCACTCATTCCTCTTGTTCTTCAGAAAACAAAAACACTTTGCCCACATTGCTCTTTAGAAACAGAAGCAAAACTGGAGGGTCACCACATCATCTAAAGAGCCCATAAGCAACCATGAATATAGAATGATACATGATAAATGTTCCATGTAGAAAAGCTCACAGTATTTAGCACTGGCAGTATAGAGAGAAGTGAACCATGGAAGAGGAGGATCCATATGAACCAGTGGTACTTTAGATGTGACATTTGCAACAAAAATTTCATTCCTTCTCTTCCCCAGTTGTCCATTTCAATTCCTCATTACACAAGTCAGTCAGGATTCCATGATGACAAACCATACTCAGTCCTTGGGCAATTTAGAGGGGCTTTAACCTCTTAGAATTTTTGCTAAATATTCTAAATAATTCTGCAACGCTTGGCATTCCCCCCCCCCTCCCAAGACTGCCCACACCTATTTACTGTTATTGGGGGGTGGGGGTGCTGTTTTGACTAAATGCAGAATGGTACTCACAGCCAAAGCATCAGAAATAGAGGGAATGATGTGCAGTAGATTCTGTCCTGTTAACTAGACCCACTTTACCACTTGAAAAATGGAACAGTGGTCAAAACTGAAATGATACAGAAAAGCTGCAATGGTGAAGGTCTAAGGCAAATTAACTTATGTCAGAAAAGTGCCTAGGGTAGTATCTCTGACAATCAGTTTTATATAAAATGGAATTTGTAAGTTAGTGGCACAGTTTTACTAGATATCAGGCACACCTTGGAGATTACTTTTCTGTGCTTTGATTCTCTATATTTTTCATATAATCGGTCTATCTGTTGCTCTTGAATTGTTTTGTTTAAAACGGAAATTTAAAAAGCTATCTGTAAATAGATTCTAAGAAGTTATTTGACTTTTAGGAGTACTGTAGCCACGTAAGGTTCTTTTTTAAATATGGGGAAATTCACAAGAAACATTACTAAACAAGAAAACTGAACAAGGCACATGGATAGCTAGCTGCTGAGTGGTTCTCACCGAGATCAAAATACAAGGAGCAATTCCTAGTTCCATTGTTGGGCTTGTTATCTTTTTTGTTGCTGGGTGAGAAAGGGAAGTCATCATCTAAGACTAGTCTTTTAAATCAGAGCTCAATAAGAGAAAACCTTAGAATAAATAAGAAAGGTGACACCAGAATTTACATTCTTCCTTTCCTGAAGCCAAGTTAGCACACACCTACACACGGCTTCCCCTCCCTTATGCTATTGGCTCTTCCAGAGCCAAGAGAAATGTCTTTTGCTGCCAACAATGGCTCCAGATTGCCCAGCTCAGCTAACTTTCACCAGATGTTTATTGTCTTTGATGATATTTTTTCATAGCTTTAGTCTTGAGACATTTGTGCAAAGACGGGATAAAAATGTTTTATTAAAAAAATCATGAAAGAAAGCTCTGTGCTGGTCCAACCAGCATAAGCAACTTCCCATCTCTCCAAGTACAGTATTGCACCAGTATGACTCAAGCAGATGATGATTCAGAAAAGATCTATTCAATTGTGAACATTAGGAGAAGAAATAACCAGTCATATCTAAGGTCCAAATCAGCAAGCAGCATGTTGAGAAATCTTTTTTCACCATCACTCTGCATTGATAGACCCACTTCACAGGCAAAAAAATGAATCTGAAAACAAGTTATTCTACATGAGGCTGTTAATTGGCTCTTAATGGACTATATCTACTTTTGCTTTAGTTGTAGAATTGAAATCTGAGCACTATATGAAAAGCATTTCCTTTCTTGCTACATAACATTTAGGTGGCATCTAGCACAATACTATAAATATGGAAAAGAAAATAATTCTTTCTTTTGCTTTCCTAATTAATGCTGCATTTTCTCTGCTCTAAAAAAAGACTTGCCAAAAGTGCTGGAGAAGCAGAACTGGAAGGTCAATGAAGCAAAACTGGAGGATCATTATATCCTCTAACCTGTAAATACCAATGAGTAGGTGTCTCAGTCTGAGCCATGGGTGGCAAGAGTCAAGTCAGATATATCAGGAACCAGGCAACAGAACCCAATGCAAGGCAGAGTCCAACATGGTCCCATGTCCAGTAGCAAAGTCCAAGTCATAGTCAGAAAAGAGGCCAAGGTCAGGTACCAGGAATATGTCATGGAACAAAGATGTGATCACAAACAAGCCAAAGATCACCCAGTAAGATGACAGAGAAAGAAGCAGGTACTTTGGAGCAGGATAATCAAGTGGAATTTAGGGGCAGCAGCAGGTGTGACAAAGAAGGCAAGGTAGTGAGGTATCAGAGCAGGGTAGGTCAAGGTGAGACAAAGCAAGATAGGGAGGCACAGCATGCCATAATACAGCAAGATCAGGAGGAATATGTTGCTGCAAGGGTCAGGCAAAAGCTGCAGTGACCAAGAAAACCAACACTGCTGAAGCTACATCCTTCTGCCCCAAATTGTCCCATGTGCTTTTGGCTCTAAAAAATGGCCACATCTGCCTGCAGGCCTGAAATGTCACTACTCCTTTCTTAGGTGTATGGATGCATATTAAGACCTGTTGTGAATCCACTCTGAAAGCAGAAAGCTTGGATGTTTGGGCCATTACACAAGTTGCAAAAGCTTATACCACATATCTACTATGAAGACTAAGTCAAAGTAAAGATAGCAGCAATCCAAGTCATTTGGCACTCATACCAAAAAGCTTAAGTCATAGTGTGGCAGCCTGAAGTCTAACCTAAGAATATTTAGGGCCTCTGTAATGTATTTAGTGTTTTAATAAGTAAGTTTAACTTTAGTTACGTCCACGTCTTTAATCTTAGCATCTCATTTGTAGTGCACCATTAGTATTAATCAACAAAAAGGATATTACATGCATTTTAATATATCTTACCAATCTGGATAATGCCCTGGAACCTGAATAAATAATGCCCACAAAAAGTGCAGAAGCTGGAAGCCAGGACAATACCTCAGACCTGTAAAAACAAATTGAGTGTGCAGTTACAACTGTGGCAGTTCTGTTTACAGACAGCATCCAAAGACAGCCCCTTGCATTCCCCCCTCCTCCCCGGTATAACTCCAACAAAAGAAATATGTGTACACTGACACTTTAGTCAGGTGTGCGCCATGAAGAAAGCTGCAAGACATGCATCTTATCCTTGTGTCAGCCCATTCCCACATTACAGGAATGTTCACCTGCAGTGAGTTTTGAGAGTTCAAGAATGGATTCAAGAGCTTTCTGGGCAACTGTCATGGCAACATGCCTTAAAATGTAACTCCTGGTTTTTCAAAACAGGGACATTTAAAAGCACTGTATCTTCACTTCCATTAGAACCTTAAAAAGATGAGCCTTTCCAATAAAACATCTGATGGCAGATACGTTATTTCTCATAAGTCACTCATGGTACAATCCTATATACATTTACCTCAGTCCTACTGAGCTGAATGGAGCTCAATTCTGAGCAGACATGCACTAGTTTGCATGGTGAGGCTACAATCTTAGACATGCTTACCTGGGAGTAAATTCTGCTGGGCTTAATGAGGCTTATTTCTGAGTAGACATGCATAGGATTGTTTGGTTTCCTCATTTAGCTGTGTACCATGATGCTATCTGATGAATAACACAGGTGATCTTTTTTAGAAAGGGCATTTATTGCTGCTTTTATTTCCACTGCAACTATCCCAAGTGGATGGTTCTCTCTTTTTGGTATACTATAATATCTCTTAAGGTTGTTGGTCATAATGGAAATTTGACTGGATTGGACTGGATTTTAATTACATCGCTGGTAACTTTAAATGAAATGCCTGCTTAAAACAAACAATGCCATCTGAGCTGCAGTAACAGTGGAAAAACAGCCCTAAAGCTTGAGAACAAGATCTCCTGTGTGGAAAACAGAGATCATTGACCACAGTGTGAGATGCCAGGAATCCTTGAAATGTGCACATTTTCAATAAGGCCATATAAAATGCAATGGAAAAGTCTGTTAGGACTGTTCCCATGATGTAAGTGCAGAATGTCTATGATGCCAAGATGGTTTTTCCTCCCCAGGGCTAGAAAAGAATGTCTGGCCCTACAGGAAATGCTTCTGTAACTCTCAACACTCTTACAGGCCAAACCATACAACAGCCAGGCTTACAGTCTGCTATAGTGACTGTGCAGACAGAACGGGTGTGTGTGTGTTTCTTGACATGCAGAGAAGAAATATGCAATATTACAGGAGGGGGGAGGGTCACTGAATTGCATAGCATGCCAGCACCACAAATCTGGATTAGCTGTTATGGTATCCTGGTTTGCATGAGTCAAGTCCATATAAAACCAATTTAAAGATGCAGTATGGATGCACTCATCACCTAATGCACAGTTTGTTCGCTTGCTTGTGCACCCACTGAAATTGGTTGAAACTGAAAGAATTACAACCAGTTTCTATCATTCTTTCCCATCTGCGAGTATACTTGTAAAATGCAAATCACCAACCCCTTAAAATATTAGGGCTGAGGGTATTTTGTACTTTTACAAACAAGGCTGATGGGAAACACTGGTACCAAAGAGGCCAAGAGGAAAAGTCTCTTTAATCCGAAGTCTTGCTCCTGAGCACTTCAGCATTACTGCTGGTCAGAATCCTTGATAATTAGACTCAATTTTTCTACAAGTTAATTTTTTTGCAATCCTCATGGTGTTTGTGTGTGTGTGTGTTGGGGGACAGATCCATGATAGCAATATATGTTAAATATATGTTAAAAGATATAAGACACAAAGATTCAAGAAAAAGATTTTTAAAAGTTGCATTTTCAAATTGCATATTTTGCAATAAGTTTGCTTTAATATTGATGATATCAAAATGTTAAAATAAGTTGAACATAATAAAGTATATGCGAAAAGTTTAGGTGTGGTATCCTCTAGTTACATGAATAATCACTTAATTAGATACATGAAATCCACACCTCAGATTGGGGCCTGAAAAAAGGGCCAAAATGTCTACGAATTCTAAGAGAAAATTCATAAAGAGGTTGTGAACAAAGCCATGGAGCTCACTGGGCAACTTTTGACCAGTCACTCTCAGCCTAACCTACCACACAGAGTGCCTGTTATGAGGCTATAAGGGAGTGAGAGAAGCCACCTTGGACTCCTTGCAGTAGGAAAAGTGGGAAATAAATGCAATACAATGACAATAATAACTGGAGGATATTTTCTCCCAAGAAACCAAACAATGATACTCCTGTACTATGTGAACTTTTCTGTGTCCTCCACAAATACATAATTACTCCAGAGGGTACTATGGCAGAGGGTAATAATACTTAGTGACAGGTGCTCTGTCTCATGAGAGGCAATTGTCTGCCAGTTTGGGAAATGGTATCATCATCTGGCTGATATAGCACCCAACTCTGTTGCTTTTCATTTTAATTCAAGAGTAGTCTGAGTTCCAGGAACAAAGCCCTGAATGACATGATGGACTGGATGGGGGCTTTACATAAGGTTCTAGCCTATGTTATCTATGCTTTGGTAACCTCCCATCTGGACTACTACAATGCAATCATTATGCAGCTGTCCTTGAAGGTGATTAGAAAACTGCAGCCGTGTAGGATCCTGAAGCCTACCTCCTTACAGGGTGAGAAGCAGAGGGCGCAAAATTCCTGTTGTGCATCAGCTTTACTGTCTCCTTATTTGTTTTTAAATTCAGTGCAAAGTACTCCTCTTGACCTTAGCTTTTTAAAGTTATTGAGATCATATATGCATCTAGCTTGGAAGCAAGTGCCACTGAGCTCAGTTGGACTTCCTTCCAAATAATTTGTTCTAAGATGGAAGCTTCAATTTACCTGAATCCTGGCTCCCTCCAGAGTCTCTCTTCTCCTAAGCAGCTCCTCCTCCCTTCCTTAGAACTGTGGGGCATGTTAGACTACTGGGCTGGGACTTGAGGGATTGGGGCTCTAGTCCTTGTTCTGCCATGCAGTTTACTAGATGACTTTGGGCCAGTCACTGATTCTCGGGCCAATCTCTCTCACAGGGTTGTTGCTCAGATAAAAGGGAAAGGAGGAGGAGGATCATGTAAGCTATCTTGGATTTCTTTCAAGATAAAGGAAGAGAAGATATAAATGTCACCAATATCATCATTAACCCCTCCTTTATGCACTAGGAAAGGCTCAGAGCTGGGAACTGTCCATGTTGTTTGCCTTGCCTGGACTGACATCTAGTGGACTGAAGCCTTCTGCTCCAAGGCAAATCACCCTCAAATGCTGCTTCTGTTTTCAGCAGAATGTATCAGGGTAACAAGAAAAGACAGGCAGCCACCACCAAAAGACAGGCAGTTACCACAGTTTGGGGTTCCAATTGCGCCTCTACTAATATATATCTCCATGAACCTCTGATGTCCAGCTATTCTTTACCTGCTTTCAGATACAAATGAAAATCACACTACTGGTGTTAAACAGCATGGGCTTTATCTTAGAGCTGCTTTAACTCTGCAACACTGGACAGTTTTTTAAAAATCTGAAATAATTTTGCTTCTCAAATGCATGGAAAATAGCTAGAGATTTCTATGATGTACAGGGTATACCTTCTTATATAATTATCAAACTAGACCCCCATCCCAAATAACTATATATTACTAAAAAGATACTCAAAATTATTCATTCTTGTGAAGTTACCAGGCTAGACAGACAAACAATATGGGTACACAAGTAATATTATACATGTTAAAAAAATTTAAAGCAGAATTCTTCATTCTAAATTGCAAGAGGCATACATTTGCCTCCTAAAGTTGAAAAATCTGTTCTTGACACTTGGGAACAAATCAGTTACACCACTGCCACATTGATTATGCGAGTAGCATAATGGGGGAAAGGAGGAAAGTAAAAAAGTGGTCTTTTTTCATTATAGGAGAAAATACATATCAAACATAAACAATATACTTATTATAGGTGCACAGAAAATGAGAGGGTTTTAAATTTTCCTATCACATTTGAATTTGCAGCATTCAAGTGGGACACGTCTCCTGTTATTTGCTAATACACACCCCATGGCATATAAGTCAGGCTACCATAGCATGCAAGCTACAACGGTATTACTCTTATGTTGCAGTTTTACAGTACCTTGAACTGCTGCCGATCTCCACCCAGCCAATCTTCCACGAAACGTGTAGGAGAAATCCCCCTACTAGAGTCTGCCACCTTCAATTGCAACACAGACAAAATCTTATTTTCTATATAATTTAACCCAAGTTAATTATTATTCATGTTGGAAGATCTTCCATGAGTGACAGGCAGGCTGATCATATGGTACCTTGGGTCACTGGAGTGGTGGCATAAGGATCCACAAGGACCATCTCAGAACAGAATAAAGGAAGCATATTGTGAAAGCTGTAGCTCATTGTGGAAAGTTCTGTAGCACAGCTCAGAGGCACAGCACAGACTTGGTATGTAAAGGTCCCGGGTTGAATTCTTGGCATCTCCAGGCACAGCTGGGAAAGAAGCCTATCTGGGCGCAGTAGGAAATACTGTGTGTCAGAGCAGAGTACACTAAGTGAACAAGCTGAATGAGAGCAAATGGTTTGGTCCAGCAGAAGGCCGTTCCTGGGGTTCTGTGTGCTTTGTAATAATTGACAACTTCAGCTGCCGCAGTGCCAGCAGTAGCTAAAATGAGGGAAGAGCCACCATATTTTATTCTTTCATTTCATTTCCATACTGCTGCACAGCGGAATCTCTAAAAACTAGAACCCACATGACAGGTCTCAGAACTCCCCTTGTCTAAGGACATTTTTACAAATTGCACCTTTGCCAACATATTTGACACAGCTGTCACCTCCACTTTTGACTAGAATGTGTGTTCATTTAAGCAAATATTGATATGAACTGCTGCCAGCTGCAGGAAAACAGCACAAGCTCTAAGTTTTGTAACAATCTTGTTGGGTGACTCTACACAAATCGTTATTGTGCCTCAGGCCTATTCCATGTGTATCAGATGTGGATGACCTACTTTGGTCCAGGGTTGTGGATTGGATGATTCCATAAGCCAAACCACCAGTCCAGATGCTGTCAAGAAAGTTGTGGACCACTCTCAAGTCTCTCCCACTCCCATGAATGCATCCAGCCCATTCTGCCTCTTTTTTGCTAAGCAGAAAGAGGTTCCAGCCAAGCTGTGTACTTCCTTCCTGCACCAGTCACATCTTAATCAGAGTGCTATGGCACGGGCTGACACTCAGCTGCAAGCGTGACTTAGTGAGGGGGAATCTTCTTGCCATAACAGGTGAAACATGCTTCAAGAAGGCCTCAGAAACTTTAAGGAGGTAAATGTTCTTTTCCTAGGCAAGCTCCTTAAGTGGGTAGTGGCCCACCAGGTCCTAGCACTCTTGGATGAAACCAGTTATCTGTCTCCATTCCAGTCAAGGTTCAGGCCAAGTTTGGCATGAAAACAACTGTGGTTCCTCTCTATGATTACCTTTGCCAGGACAGTGACAGCAGGAGCATGACCCTACTGATAACACCTAGATATCTCTGGGGCTTTTCAGGACCATATCCTTCAGGAATGACTGTCAGAGCTGTGAGTGGGGAATACTGCATTGCAGGGTTTCACTGCTACCTCAATAGCCCCAAGAGGCAGTATTTGAGGAGTACTGCTTGGCCCCATGAATTCTCCAGCACAAGGTTCCTCAGGAGTCAGTTTTATCCCAGGTGCTAGTCAACATCTACATGAAACTACTGAGCTGCGTCATTCAAAAACAGACAATGCACAGCTCTGCTATTCCTTTTTATCTCTGCCCGGTGAGGCTGTGGGATGTGTTGAACTGCTGCTTGGCTGCAAGAATGGACTGGATGAAAACTAATAAACTGAAGGTTGAGATGCTGTTAGTGGGTGGTTCCTCTGACCGGATGGTGTTCAGTGTGTTCTGGATGGGTTGTATCACCTTGAAGAAGCAGGCTTGTAACTTGGAGGTTCTTTTGGAGCCACCTTTGTCACTTGAGGCTCAGGTGACAATGACACAATGACAGTCTCAATGACACAGAATGCCTTCTACCACCTTTGGCTGGTATCTCAGCTATGTTTCCATCTAGACAGGAATAACCTGGTGTTATCTATGTTCTGGTACTCTTGAAGTTAGATTACTGCACTATATCCCACATGGAGCTACCCCTGAAGATTTTTCAAAAGCTGCAGTTTCAGCAGTTTTCAGACGATCTGGACATATATGACCAATTCTAGCCTGCTTGCACTGGCTGTCTATATGCTTCTAAGTGCAATCTAATGTGCTGGTTTTAATTATAAGGTCTGACAGAGCACCTCTCCCAAGCATAGTCTACCCAGCTCTGATCAACATCTGAGAAATTGCACTGAGTGACATTTCTAAGAGAGGCCTGTAAGGTGGTGGATGTAGCCATAATGTGAGCTAGAAAATAATGAGAGCTTTCTTAAGTGTTTTGAGGGAGAGAAGGTTATCAATACTTGGCAAATGATTCTCCTTCAGCTACAGAGAAGCACAAAAAGAAAGTGTGTGCATGTGCACATTCGTGTGTGTGTGTGTGTGTGTGTGTGTGTGTGTGTGTGTGTGAGAGAGAGAGAGAGAGAGAGAGAGAGAGAGAGAGAGAGGGGGGGGGGGGGGGGGAGGGGGGGAGGGAGGGAGGGAGAGAGATCAGCTTTTTACACAGAAGATGCTGGGAGAGCTAAGTTGGGGTGCAAAGATCATGTCACAAAACTAAACATCCAAGGTCCTCTAGGTAAAAGCAATTCTACACAACACTTACATTAGCCCCTGTCTGATACAGTTATCTATTAATTAAGATCATTCATTTTAAATTACTTTAAAAATTGTACTTACCCCTGAAAAAGGGTAGGGTAGGTGAATTTCAGGACAGAGAGGACATACTAGAAAAGAAATGCCAATTTAAAGAACATTACTTTTTTTTAAAGACAACAGCAACAAAATAAGTAATTCTTAAATATTAAGCATGTTCTTCTAATGTCAAGTTTAAATTAAATTCCTATTCTCAGTGCACACTTAGGGTCAATTCTGATGTTAAAACTCCCTTCCTCAACATGTTTTGAAAGTACACTCAGGTATGTGAACCAAAAATGGCTGAAGTGTCATGTTATTGTAAAGACAGAACATGAGAACAAGACCCAGGGATACCGAAGATATTAGGAACACAGGAAATTTTCCTAGGATGCAATTCTAGGCATATTTAGAGAGAGAGAAAGTTCTGCAGCTTAGAACTCACAGTGCCTTTCCAGGATTTCAGGCAGAGAGCAGTGTTTTCAAATATGGTACCCGTTATATAAATCTATCAAACACATAAATAATCTCCCCATTATCTGCTAATTGACCCAAAGGGTGTGGAACCTTTTTCTTGTTGAATTCTACATTACCTTGGTTGAAACCTGTTGGGATTCATATGCCAACAGTGGGTGCAGCCAGAGCAAAAGGGGATGGAGCAAAAGTCAAAAATGGGCAGAATTACAAACTTTACTTTTGATGAGTACAAAACCATACATTCTCCTTCCTCAGCTTATGCAAAGCTCCCCTCATCAGCTTCACTGAGCGGGATGGAATAAACAGTATCAATTCCTTAGAGGGGTCCAGGGAGGAAGTTTGGTCCAGACTAAGAAGCCAAGAGGTCCAAATATGGGCTAGAGGTCCCTGAACTGGTGATGCCAGGGTCTGAAACAGGCACAATCTGCCTGCAAAACAAGTCATGTGCTATAAAAATGACCTATCATACCTCACCACAACAAAGATGTGCCTGTGTACTGCATGATAAATACAGTATATGGACAGATTCTAATATCTGTCTCTATCATTCAGATGTTACAAACATGTATTCCTTTTTCTGACAGTTTGCCCTTGCCCTCAAGTGGTCTTAGAAATATGAGCATAGGAGCCTATCTCTTAGTATACATATACATGTGTGTGGGTGCATGCACATGCGTGTGCAAAAATAAAAGCAATCAAATTGGCACTTCTTGGTTGCATAAATATCCACCCCATTTGTTGTGGCTTGGCTAAATAAGCTCTGGAACAACCAACTGCCTCCAGAAGTCACATACTGTAAACAGTTGATGGAGTCCGTCTGTGTGCTATTCTAGTACCTCATGATCTCAGATCGAAGACTGGAATGGAGGGTCACCTTCCACCAGGACAATAACCTTAAACACCAGCCAAGGTAACCCTGAAGTGGTGCAGAAACAAGAATCGTAATGGCCAGGCAAACCCCAGATTTCATTAGAATCTATGGAAGACTTGAAATTTTATGTTCACCAATGGCCTGCATTCAAACGGAGAGAACTAGAGCAGTTTTGCCAGGAAGAATGGGCAACCACTGCAGGATCCAGATGTGCAAAGTTGTTCAACTTAACCAAGAAGACTCACAGCTGTAATTCCTGTCAATGGTGCTTCTATCAAGTGCTGACAAGGATACAAGCAGCAAGTGCCAGTTTGTTTTTGCTTACTTAACTTTTGAGTCACAATACAAAATATTGTGTATCATCACAGTCTTGGTTACATTGTGTGGTAACAATGCCAAGTAAATCAATTTCACTTCCAGGCTGCAACATAGCAAATTGTGGAAAAGTCAACGGGAGTGACTACTTGTGCAAAGCACTGTAGATCTTGCTGGATTGCAACTCCCATAATTTTTCACCATCGGCTATGCTGGCGAGGACACGCTGGAGTTGCAATCCAACAGTATCTGGACAGCTACATGTTCCACAGCGCTGTTGTAAACTATCACACTGATTCCATAATAAGCTGCAAATTTTAACAAGTGGTATGGCAAAGAGAGTTCTGTTCTTCAGTGAAAAAAGTGTGATGTAGGCTAGTCATTCAATGAACAAGCTGTTTGGGATTTAACTCACTGAGCAATGGGTACAATTTTAATTAACAGTAGCAGCTTTGGTTGATGGACTGTATAGAAATGTACTGAATAAATAAGTGTATAGTTTGTTCCCAAACAAGTGTGCTTAGGATATAATTTTTATAACAGCAACGATACATTTCCTGTGAGCTCAGCATAAATAAGAATAAAATGCAGGATCAGGCAGCCAAAAAAATTAAGTTAATTTGAAAGACTCGTTTTAAGGGTCTGATCAAGCACTATATCTTAAGTCAAAATACCTAGTTGTTTTAAAGAGAGCTGCAAAGGTCTCTCCATTCTAACCTTAACCTTAAATAATATTTGTAGCTTATGCAAACAGTCAAAACATACTTTCAAACTGCCAGTTTTCCTATCATTGAATGCATGTTTGTATATATTGCAATGTGATAACGTCATGAGAGCTATTTTGCAGAATTTTTGTTTTAACTTTCTGTTAGCATTCCACAGCCTGTATGCTTATTTCAAGTGCAATAGATTTGTTTCACTTAATTTTCCCTGTATTTCGTTGTAGAGAGAGAAAACTTTTATACTGCTGATATAAAAGTGATTTGATTTGTTTGGGCTGAAATTCTATGTACACTTACTTCATCAGGAAGTAAGCCTACTGAAACCAGTAGGACCTACCTCGGAGCTGTGCATAGGATATTGTGCATTTTTAGGCAGCAATCCTAAACTCACTTACCTGGGAGTAATTCCCATTGACTTCACTGGTGCTTACTTTTGAGTAGACATGCACAGGACTGCTCTACTAATGGATTAATTCGCCGTAGGCATGCTTGCATCTCCCTTCACAGACAAGACCGTGAAGGCAAATAGATCCCCTTTTGCCCTTTCCAGCCCCCCCTTCACTCCGGTTATGAATGACAGGCGTGGCTTAAAGATGACGTGTCTGAAGCAACGTTGCGATGCTCAGTGAGAGTCGTCCTCTGATTTCACCAGAGAAACGGAAAATCCGTGAGCAGCTTCTCGTAATCTCCCGGTGAAAAGGAGTAGCTAACTCACAGGAAGCCCTGGCGGTCCCTAATCCTGTCATGGATCAAACCAGAGCACAGCATCCAAAACCGGCCGTTTAGAAAAGGTATCAATAACTGGCAAATTAGACCAGTTGCAGTGGCTGCAAGGTTAGCCTCCCTTGTCCTCACCTTGTTGGTGAAATAAGAAGCCAAGTAGAATAAACAGAAGGCAAGACCAGTGGAAGATCTCTTTAAATACATCAGTCACAGCATTTCCGCAGTCCGGGGACGGCAAGGCACTTGCTTCCTGCCACGGACCGCTACCCACCGCTTAAGAACAGCTACTGAATGCGGCTGCCATGACAGGGACACGTTGCTCTCGAGCTTGCTCCAATCGGCGCGAAGACAGGTCCGAGGAGCGGCCTTCTTAAAGGGGAAACACTCCCTCGCGCGAGGAGGAGGAAGACGTCGCATCTTCCAAATGCCCCTGCGTTGGCCACGACTTTCATTTTTGGAGCGGGATTTAGAACTACCAGCGGGATATAGTTTTATTTCTAATAGGCGGGTTGCTGGAAGTCACTCTCCTTAGCCTGAGAACGGCTTGCTGCTATTCCCTAGGTTTTCAGAACGCAAAATTCCCAGCAGCTAAAGTTAAAACATATGTCGCATCCTTAGTCCAATCGAAGTTCCAATCTTTTCAATGGGTTTGCGCTAAGTAGGGCTAAGCTGGATACAGCCCAATGTTTGTCCCACTTTTAAGTGGATTCATCGAAATGAATGGGTCTAACGGTGAATGCATGAGAACAATGGGGATCACCTAACTTTAAAAATGAAATGAAGAAACCCAAAAGACGACAGATGTATACAAAAATACAATTGGTGGTATTTTTACCTTACAAAGATAATTCCTTTTCAACAAATAAAATAAGCATTACAAATAAGGAATCTGCTTTTCTGCACTGATACTAATCTCCACTACCTTTAAAGAAAGCAAAAAGTCTTGTGACACCCAGAAGTCAAGCACATTTATTAAGATTTGGTTGACTGAAGTCCACATTATTAGATGCATCATGTTCGCATATAACATAAAATTTATTTTTAAGATGTATTTTTTCTTTTTTACTTCAGCAGACTTTGTTCATAGGTAGAACTTTGCTAGACATGAAAGATATTGACAAACTGGAATTTGTCCTGAGGGTGAGAAAAATGATGGACTGAACACCAAGCCCTATGAGGCAAAGTGGGCTATGATTAGCCTTGTAGGAAAGAGGGTGAAGAGAAAATTGTCATCGTCAAACATTTGGGACCACCAATTAGCTTATGGAGCAACTCTACCAACGGTACAACAGCATAAAACCCAATATTTAAAAACTACACAATCTAACCAGTATTTGATTCAAATACTGTAACAAAAATTATGTTTTTAGACATCCACAAACAAAATATGGACAAGGGGGTAGAAAGTCTGACTTCTGAAGGAGTGGAATTCCACATATGGCAAGTGGAATTCCACATATGGCACGCTATGTGGTCTTTCACATTTAAAATATTAAACTCCCTCATATTAGTAATGTCTAGTTCTATATGCACAATTCTAAGATCTGTTTCATGCTTCCCACCCATAAAACCAAAGCAATTGCAGTATACTAGAAAAAGCGTATGCTTTCTGACTTCTCAGCACGAAATTGCTACAGTTTGTTTTTCCTGCCCTTAACTTGTGTTATGGCTGCATTTAAACAGTCTTATGGCAAGATATTCTAGTTTTAATAATATATTTATTAATTTAATAAATCCACCAATACTCAATCCATGCAACTGTAATAGACAAAATAAACAAGTAACTTGTTTTAACAGCTTTTGGGAGAGTTGGGAATAGCAGCAGAGAAAGCCAATTCCAACAGTGCTCATTTTTTCAAGTGACACACATCTTTATGGCAAATTTACACATTCACAGCACAGCGAGGTTTTTATGCAAAGTCTAAACCTTATAACTTAGGATTAATATTTAAAGTGCATACAGAACACCACATTCTAGAGCTTGCTGGAATGGGGCAACTGCAGTTGGGTGAGATCCAGAGTAGTGCTTAGCAGAGTTGTGTTTCTTAACAGAAGGAAGTGATTTTTGTAACCCCTCCTTCCCTCTGCAGTCTCCTTAAAAGCTGTTCAGGAGCTGACACAGGAGGAAAGCCTGTCCCATGCCCTATGCTTCTGGTGAAGAGTATCTACTAGAACCTGGTGCTTTCTGAAAACAAGAACTGCTCAATTCATGGAATGACTAATCTGCATCCAACCCATTGGTTGGATGCCACCTAAAAGGTCTGCTAAAGTAGTGAAGATTAGGAAACTTTCTGCCAGGAAAAAAGACTTTAAACAAACATGACATTCAGTGAAAGCATCTGCCTGTGCATTATGAACCCACCCCAGGATATACAAGTGCACTTATAACATGGGACAGCCCACTTTCAGGCAAAGCTAGTGCCCAACGGGGCATTCCCCCATGCTCTCAGGTTTGCTTCTACTACCTCCACATGTCAGTGGGTGAATCCACATGGAAAGCATTCTGTTCAGGAGAAAAGAAACTTGTGTGTGACCCACAGACAAGCATGTTATCCATGACAAGCATGCCCCACATTACCCAAGGGACATCTGTTTTGTCCCTTACATGCCACAGAACTGCTTGGGCTGGACTCCTGATTTTGTTAGGTTGAAAGCTGAACAGAAGTTCCCATATCAAGAGGGAGGGAGGTGGAACATATGATTTGAATTACAAGAGAATGCCACAGGGAACTCAACAAGGCAACTCATTTCCCACCGGATAAAAAAAGTGCAAGATCATGCCAGAACCACGGTTTTCCCCGCAGTCATTTAATCACAGAAGCAGAGCCAGGTAACAATGCTCCCTCTTGTTCTTCGAGGGGAGGCTGCTGCCCTCTTCTCAGGCGCTGAGGCTGGGCTGCCATCTCTCAATTGCCCTGAATGAGGGCAGCGGCGCCAGGTGGGCATTGAAAGAGTGGTTAGTACCAGTTGGTGCAGGAAATGAGGTAGCGCACGTCATCCAGTAGGTCTAGCAGCCAGGACTGCGGTAGCGCGGGCAGCTCCAACCCTGGCTCTCGATCGAGAGGAGGCTGGGGCGGCACCAGAGGGCTCGGGCTGCAGACGGCACCTTCTTCGGTGGCCACCTCTAAAACCGGCGCGGTTGCGGTTTCTTCCTTCTCCTCCTTCTCCTCCCCATGTGATGGGCTGGCGTCGCTCATCCTTCCTAGGCGACGGCGACCGCCCTTTCTCCCTCCGCGTAGGCGCGCTCAGAAACGATTTATCCAAGCCGGTAAAACGCCGCGTCCCACCGTCGGCTACAACAGAAGCCCTCCGAGTGTCCCAGATCGCGCGGTTTCTTCCCAGGCAAGGCGCAGCATCAGATTAACCGTCTCTTTAAGCAGCCGCCGCGCTGGATGTCTCCGCAGAGCCTGGACGTGCAGCGTTTCTTGTTGTGCCAACACCTCCTCCCCTCGCGGAAAGCGCGAGGTGAACTGCAGCAAAATGCCGTAACGCGGCGTCCACAAATACGGCCGTGACTGTGACGTTCTGTTTGTGACGCAGGAAGACGATGTCTGGCGACGTCGCGAAAGTAACGTGAGAAGGAGTGGCCGAAGGTGGAGGGAGCTATGCGGCTTAGGGCCGGAGAAGGTTCATCCTTGCTGGGGAATGATGGAAACCACCGGGTTTTTTTTCTCCTTTGAAACCTGCATAGGCTCGCCCCCTGAATGGTTTTACGATGAGAGAAAAGGAGGTTGAGATTAAGATGGTGGTCTGTATTGTTACAGTTGTGAATGGACACTTTCTCCCTCCATTCTTCAAGTCATTGTTCCTTGCTTTCCAACTTTCTGTGTTTATGAAAAGTTATAACAGCCTCAATATTGTTCGGCCGCCCTGATAATAATCCTAGCAGCACTATTTGGAGCAAGTGCAATTTAACATTTTAACTCGCTTAAATCATAGCACCATCATGACTGCGGGAGTAAAATGGCGTTTGCTTCTGCACCTGACACTCTTGGGTAATGATCTGGAAATCTGGGCTGCGGGGCCAGGGACCGTGATCCCAAGATTAACTGCTGGGAGGGGCACCCAGTCCCGGATCTAGCCATAGGTTTTCAAATGCTCCACATCAAGGGGGGGGGGGGGACAACCACGCTGTCCAATTATTTTCTCAGTTTCATCCACATTTGTTAATTTCTTTGTATTAGGTTCTGCTGCTTTCCCTATTTTTCGTGATTTAAGGCGCAAACTTAGGCAAATTTAGACGAAAAACATCTACAACTGTCAGCAAATAACAGCTAGGTTTCATAAGACTGTGCCTTAAGACAATAAAATAAAGCCAAACGAAGGCAGGTGACCATCATGGAAAGGGGACTAAGTCGATAAAAGCAAAATTTAGCAGCTGCGTCTTGTGATAAAGAAATCCAGCCATTCACATGGCAACAAATTCCAACACTTTTCACTTCTTGGGCGCATTTCACGATCCGATAAACAAATCCGTATCCTTTGCAAGAGAATTCAAATCGGCCATTGCGCTGATTTGAAAGTGGAACTGGATGTAAAGGCAATGGCTGTTCGGCGGTATTTTTTAATGGGTGAGGATCCCGTCTATTCAGATCCCGCTGACTTAAACTGGGATTGGGGCCACCCGAAGCGCCTGTGCGGGTGCGGTTTAGGGCGATCTATTTCAGGACATGTAGGAACTCAGTTCCATAGATGAAAGGCAAGAAATGCGTACAGGGCCGGTGTCAGATTGCAACTAAATCGCGGGTTGGGATATTGCGGGAAACAGCTAAGCACGTCTGTATCAAGGAAGGCGTAGAGAAGGCTCCTGGAGGAAGAGGATTCCAACGGAAGTGGCCATGACGTACAGCGGGAAATATGCTTCGGGGCCCAATAGGCAGCCGGCGCCGGCGCTCGGGGGCGGGGAGAGTTGAGCTCATCGGCGGAGAAACCAGGAGAAGTTTTACTCTGTCAGAAGCAGCTCGTGTCTTCCCGCTCTGCCGCCGCCGCCGCCTTTTCTTTGACGTGGGCTTTCTGTGTGTCTTTCTCCTCGGTCTCCTCGCCACATGGATCCGGTACAAATCGCCGCTGTTTCGTCGCCTGCTGAGGCGAATCCGGGCCCAACTTGGCCGCAAAGCAAGGTAAGGCAGATGGGATGGAGGGAGAAGATGGTCGAGGGCCAGAGCTCGCGATACCCTCAACAGCCGTCCCTAAGCTGGTGCCCTCCAAATGTGCTGGAGCAGAGCTGTCCGGGGCTTTGTCGTCTGAACCTCATGAGACTCGAAGCCTCAACACTTGAAGGGAAAGGCTGGCCTAGAAGGAAGTGGCAGTGTTGTGAAATGGTGGAATGGGTGGCACGCTTCACACGGCATGGATGGAATGCATCACGTCCATTCCGAACAAAAACGAACGGTTGAAGAAGGACAAGTTGTTTTTAATTGGGAGGGAGTTATGTAAATAACCACTGAACGAATTCCCCAGAATTCTTCAGCCTGGTGACATAATCCACTGTGCTGTATAGTTTTGCCTGTTTTTCTTCTTCCCTGTATGAATCAGACTTTAAACTAGGTCAATCATGAAATACTGACTTTGACCCACAGAGCTGGAGAGGCAGATTTTTTAGGCTGAAATGATCCAGGTGTTGACTCCTGTTATTTCCCACTATCTGCCCACAGGGTTGCTATTTTATTGTTTTTCTCATAGGGTTCCTGTACCTTTATCAACTGTGTGATAGGCAGAAATACAATAGAGGTAGGTTATCCTCTAGCCATGGGTAAAGCTCTTCTTTCACTCAATTATATGAAATATACAACAATGCCAGTATGTTCTATGGACTTCCAGATAGCTGCCATTGTTAACAGGGGCCATTCTTGTCCCCCTGTCCCCCCCCCTTTTTTTTACATCCCAGAAATGTACTAGGGGAAATGGATGATAATCCTCTTATATTCTGCCTCTGGATATTAAAAACAGTTTGTGAGAGAGAAATAATAGACCAAAGACTAAGACGTGCTGTGCACAACATTATCTATGCTGAAAAGGTTGTTTGCTATAACTCCTACCCGGTTAGGCTTTTTGGGTAAAGGTCAGGGGAATCAGCAGCTTAAGTAGTGGGCAGTGTGGTGTAGTGGTTAGAATGTTAGACTAGTAGCTAGGAGATTTAGTTACCCTTTCTAGTTGACCTTGGACTGTTGCTATTTCTCTGTGGCCTAGCCCAGATTACACACTTGTTGCAAGAAGAAATGTTTGTGTCCTTGAACTCTTTGGAGGAAAGATAATTACTTGCAGCATTGAGTATTTCTCTGAACACCATAGCATGGATGTGGGGAAGGGTCTCACTATTCTAATCAACTGACTATTAATAAAAGCATGATTAAAATATGTTAACCAGTTAACCATTGTTTATTTTAAATAGTATATTTAAATATAGATCAAATATATATTGTCATACATTTAATAAAGTGATAATGTATAAACTATTTAAATGTATACCCAAATAAGCCTCCTGTATTGTCATTTGTCTCAGAAGAGGCTACAGATGGAGATAGCTATAGGCTGAGAGCCAAATAACTTATTTGCAGTGCAGATATACTGTAAAACCTGTCATTCATGGAAATAGTGCATTAAGATGCCGTAATTTATAAATTAGTTTTATGGCATTGCAACTGTGAAGATCTGTAGAGGTAGTTTATCCTTGATATTGTTGATAATAAAAAGTGTCAAAGTGTTGCATATTTCTAGTGACCTTTCTCTAAAGTGAGTGATCAATATTTAGAGCAGACAGAATGAAACCCAGTTTACAATAACTGGTTCAAATAGCAAGATTTAGAGCTTGATAATACTCATTTATGAAAGAAGAGTTCTTTAAATCTAATACCTCTACTCCCTAATCGGAGTTACCTAGTAAAAAGTATAATTTGTTTCTTATCCTGCTTGAATATTAGTTCAATATGGATACTTGATTTTGTATCCATTAAAATCACATTAGGACACTTTATGTAGTCTCTCAGGATTTTAATCAGGTGGTATTTTGTAGATGCCCATTAACACAAGGAGTACCCATTATCTCAGTTGATTTTGGATGGTGATGAAAATACATGGGGAAGATAACTTGTTTTGTGTTCTTGTGTTTGTATCCTGGTTTGAGTCATCTCTGGCCATTATTTAGCATAAGTGAAGGAAGGGATGCTTCTGATTCAAACATTTATTCAACACATGTATTTATTTATTTTATAAAAATTTGTATGCCATCCAATTATTGCATCTCTGTATGTATGTTGCAAAACAGATCTCTTTCCTTTATAGACATTACGAACATGTTTTGACACTATCCAATTTTTAAGCAGCACAGAAACAGAGTATGGATCATGATTCTCGCTCATTTATATAATGTAAGCCATGGAATCATATCTGTGTTTCTTTGTTTACCTTTAGTATCATTCTTGGGCTATGCAAAGAAAAATATTCAAAATCTGCATCCAGTCTTTTCTATAACTTGAAGGACTTCTTGAAAAAAATCCTTTTTTATCTCTGGAAGAGTTCTGAAAGAAAGACTATGTACATTTGTTGTGGGAAAAAGATCAGTTATTTCATGCACTCTGTGGCATGATGTTTAGTAGGCAAGAGTCTATTCCATCAGGTGCTTGAAACAATTTAATTGAGCTGGATATTCATAAATTGCTCTTCATCAAAATAAATTTCCAGGTGTTGAAATTAAATATATAATAAAATAATGTAGCATTGGTGGTGGTATAATATTTGTACATATTTGTACATATATTATTGTGAATGCCATGTTAGTGATAATGTTTGTAGTTTCTCAGTGGTGAATGGTATCTCTGTGAACCATCAGTTAACTGACAATAAGTAAAAAGAAGTAACTGTTAGAAGTAATGCGAACAATTATAAGGGCAACAAGCATCCCCCTCTCCCCCAGCCCTCTAATAGCTCTGGGGTACTATTCTATGCCTGACTCTTAGGTCTTGTGACCTCAAAACTCAGACTCTGAAGACCAAGCCCCCACCCTGCCCCTCTTGCAGCTGACATGGAAAGAACTGCACGGGATACCCCTCTGAGGACACAACCAGGCCAGTTAGTTTTGTTACTCCAGCCTCTTTTCCTCCCCTTCCCTGGGACTTAATCTACCTGGCCATTTAGGTGAAATACCTGGCATAAGGCACACTGGAGCTGTGTAAGCTTCTGAGGTTGGAGATTTTCTTACATCTGAAGCACGGTACCTTGCAATCCTCCTCTATTTGCTTCTTTGTACCTCTGTAAAAATGTATGTAAGGGAAAATCAAATGTCTTATTATTATCTGACACAGAACATTTGTTTGGTATTGCAGTGCCCATGGGGCGCTCCTAAAAATCCTACCATATCATGTTCCCTTGCTGATGTCATGAGTGAACAATTAGCTAAAGAGCTGCAGCTGGAAGAAGAAGATTCTGCTTTTCCGGAAGTGACATCGTAAGTTGAATTTTCTTACATTTAAATCCTTGTTTACAGACTTAATTGGTGGGTTGTCTTATTTCCTACAGTTTGTACTAGGGCTTCACAGAGCCTTTTTGCCAACTTCTGTCCTGCCTACTGCTGCTGGTGCTGTCACCTCCACTCCTGGTCAGGGAGATGGTAAAGTGAATGCCCATTCTTTCCCTTTGTACAAGGTGCCTTTCAACAGGAGAAACTGAACTGGTTTATTTCCTTGCTTTGAGGGAGCTCTGCTCTCAGTTAAATGAATGGGATCACAACCATCCTCTCACTATTGTTTGGAAGTTTTTTGTTTTTTGTATGTATTGTAGGAGGCATTTCCAGATGTTTCTGACTACACTTCCCATGCTTTAATTTTGTTTTAACATATTCCTATTTCCTTTTCCATATTTTTCTGAAACAATGCAGAAACACCAAGGCTGCATTAATATTTGTTACATTTATTATAGTGTTATTATTCTGTGTTATATCCAGGGTTGTTGAAGGTCCATTTATTAGTGGAGAGAATATTGATACATCTAGTGACCTGATGCTGGCACAGATGCTTCAAATGGAATTTGACAGAGAGTATGATGCACAACTTCGGCGTGAAGAGAAAAAGTTCAATGGGGATAGCAAAGGTTAGTACAATTGGTTATGATAGCTTTGTCAGAATAAATCTTCCTGTTTCTCACTGCGGATTGAGTTGGTGAGAAATCCCTGTTAAGTCACAAAACTTTTTGTGGTTTTGTTTTTCAAGTGTCTATATCATTTGAGAACTACCGAAAGGTGCATCCATTTGAAGACAGTGACAGCTCTGAAGATGAAGTTGATTGGCAGGATACTCGCCATGATCCATATAGAGCAGGTAACTTTTAGGTTTAAAAATGTGTGAAATATACAATTATAAAAGCTTTTCAGACTGTAGGATCCTGAAATGTTGTGAGGACAGGACAACTTAATGAGGATGCTGTGAAGCATATATTACTCTGTCATCATTTACGTATTATAAAGATTAGGGTATTAGGGTTTAAAGTTACTCAGGCTTTTCTTTACTTGGGTATAAGACTACAGGACCAAGTTACAGGCTTTGCAGGAAATGCAGATTTAAAGCTCTGCCTGTGTGTAAATTACAGGTTTGTTAAAAATAAAGCATTTAGTAAGGTCTGGGAACAGAGATGTTCCTTTACCAAGAAGTTGCTCCACTGTGCAAGCTGTGTCTTTCAATGCTAACCAAGAGCCCATTAGTTAGATATCTCCCTACTATTGGTAAATGATATTTTGTGTTTCAAAATGCTTCCTATGGCATGGCTGAACAAATATTAATATGAAGTTATTAGTCTTGGAGGTATATTCTGAATGTGGTATTCTGTTTATTTATAGATAAACCCACCACTACTCCAAAAAAGGGCTTTATAGGAAAAGGAAAAGATATTACTACCAAACATGATGAGGTGGTTTGTGGACGGAAGAACACTGCTCGAATGGAGAATGTACGTTCTAGTCTTGTTTTAGATTTTTCAAACTGCATCTAACTATTATGAAGGGAATGCTTAAGAAGGTATTGACCTCTCATATATGCTGTGCTAACTTTCCATGTTAATGCAGTAATCAATGCACATGTTGTATTAATGCCCATGCTGACATTTAAACGTGCTTTCTACACCTGTTTTAAAACCTGTGGCTTGGATCAAGGTTTGATTATATTCAGAATAGCTTGGCTAACATCAGTGGAGCTTAAGTTAGCTGTGAGTAGTTTAATCCAATTGATTCCAGCGGGTCTGCTCTGAATATGAGTAAGTCTGGAGCCAACTTATTGTTACTTGACTTTTGAAGTGAGGGCCATAGATGTAAATAGTGGGAAGAATAGTATTCTTTCAACTTGGAAGATGTCCACTAACACATTTCAGTCAAGGATTTTGAAAAGGAGATTGATACAGTTTCATAATATAGTTGCTAGCCCTTTGCCTGAATTACTGCAAGAAAGTTCATAGTGTTTAATGGATGAAATGCTGAACCTTGAAATAAGAAGATGTAGGTTTGAATTGCTATTTGATTTTGTTCACTAGCTGTGAACAAAATACTTCCACTTAGGATGTAACTTGCTGTCCTGATCTTGTAGGAAGGGTATTATGCAAATACACATTTGAATCCAAATATAATCATACATACAGCATACCCATTAAAATTAGTGGGTCTGCTCTAAATATGATGAATTTATAAGATAAATAAGCGTAGCATATTTGTATAAGAACTACCCTGTCAGCAGCTTGTTCATAGACACAGAGTATTGCAATGAAAACATGTCATTCATCAAATTTTCCCTGTTTGTAGTTTGCACCTGAATTTCAGGTTGGTGATGGAATTGGAATGGACCTGAAATTGTCCAATCACGTTTTCAATGCTTTAAAGCAGCATGCATATTCTGAAGAACGTCGAAGTGCCAGGCTCCATGAGAAGAAGGAACATTCTACTGCTGTATGTCTTACAGACTCGAGCAAAATGAAAATTGCATAGTTTGTACGGTGATGGTATTTGGCACAAATGTAAAATCATGTTGATACCTTGATACTGATTACAGAACTTGTTTCTGGAAATGGAGTAGTAAGCCCTGGCAAACAGTGCAAGGAACACTTTCCCCTGCGCAACTAGTGTACCAGACTCATTGCTCAAACTCCTTTTTACCTCAGTACAATAAATAATTTTATGGGCTGCTAATTTTTGTTTGTTTGGAAAGCTAACTTATTGCCGCTTTCAATATTGGCTGTATTAGAATGCTGCATCAAAACTAGAAGTTTTGTTACTGAAACCGAATATTGATTCTAGGATTTCAGTTAGACACTTTCCAACAGAACTGCACGCATCTACAATATTCTATGGAATATTGTGTTATAGAATTTACAATATTTTTCTGTAGGGTTTGTTGTACTTCTCTTATTTTCTGCTGCTGCGTTTATGTTGTTTTCTTTTATAAAAATACTGTAAGATACCCTGATAACTTGTGATTGAATAGTTTAAAAATACTATAAATAAATTGGGCTTTAGTTGACATATCATAGCTCTTTTCCTCTTTGCAGATATCAATCCCTATTCTAGAAGTGCTTTTTGAAGTGATGATAAAGCAGTGTGGAGAGTAGTTATAGCTAATCAAGATGATCTTAACTGCTGTGATAGTGTCAGTCTGAAATAATTAGTAAAGAATTAGTATTCTTAACCACAAGTCACCTTTTGCAAATTAATCAAAGGAACATCTTGTCATCTGAATTAAACTAACAAACTTAATGATATGTCTAAATATTTCAGAATATTTCAGAATGTCTAAATATTTCAGAATATTGTGAGGAGTTTTTACCATAACAACCCTATCTCTTTTATTCTCCTTGTACAGGAGAAAGCAGTTGATCCCAAAACACGTTTAATTCTGTATAAGATGGTCAGTTCTGGAATGTTGGAGACCATTACTGGATGCATAAGTACAGGGAAAGAGTCTGTCGTGTTTCATGCATATGGAGGAAGGTATAATTGATATACTTATGGTATTTACATTAAGTAAATATTTACTGCAAATACATTAATTTCTTTATCTTTTTTCTTCTATCTTACTGGTTAAATTTGCTTCTATTTCTGTGCACATATCTAAAATGTCTTTGTTTTGCTTTTCCTAAAGTTTGACTGAGGACTCCAAACCTGTACCTTCAGAATGTGCCATAAAAGTATTTAAAACAACTCTTAATGAATTTAAAAATCGTGATAAGTATATCAAGGATGAGTATAGGTTTAAAGACCGTTTCAGCAAAATGAATCCACGAAAGATCATCCGTCTCTGGGCTGAAAAAGAAATGCACAATTTAACAAGGTATGGAAATGTAGGTATAGATATGAATAAGTAGTAGCATCTTTTCAAGTGCAATAGTTTGAGAATTATTATAAAAAGCCACTTTAATGTTTGACTGTTTATCATATGTTTGACCCTGTTGTTTGGATTGTGTCAAGTTTTGTATTGGTCATTGGTCTAGTTACTCTTTGCTTAATCTCTATGTAGTCATACTACAGGCAACTGCTGTTTTTGTTTAAATGCTTCTGATGATAAATTCTTACCTTTGAATTTAAGACTGGGGCTATATAACTCTTAAAACCTAATTGATCCACACCCTTTTATTTAACAAGCTTCAAGTTGTTGCTTTTTGAAATGTTATAAGTTTAAAGGCCAGGAAGGCTGCTATCCTATGGTCTCCCAGCATTGCCCAGGTGTACATAGGATTCAGGGTTCCAGTACTGAGGTCCTCCAGACGCAGTGTGTAGATGACTGAGCACACCTTCCCAGCACCTGCAGAAAGATGAGGCTGGTGCTGTCTCCCTACATCAGTTCCCCTTCTCCTTTCTTGATGCTTTATCTAGATGGCTGGAAATGATAAGGGAGACACCGATGCCACCGTCTGGTCCAGAATTATTGGATGAATTTCAGTTACTGCGGCCCGATGATGTGGACAAGGTGCTTGGACGAGTACGTCCCACCACTTGCCTTTTGGACCCTTGCCCGTCTTGGTTAATAAAAGATTCCAAGCACGGGATTGGAACCTGGATCTTGGAAGTGGTTAACGCTTCTCTGAAGGAGAGTCGGGTGCCTGCCCCTTTAAAGGAGGCGGTAGTCCGACCGGTCCTGAAGAAGGCGTCACTGGATCCAGAGATGGCCACTACTTATAGACCAGTGGCCAACATCCCGTTTCTGGGCAAGGTGTTAGAGCGAGTGGTGGCGGGACAACTCCAAGCACTCTTGGATGAAACTGATTATCTGGACCCATTTCAGTCCGGCTTCAGACCCGGGTACGGTACTGAATCTGCCTTGGTCGCCCTGTACGATGACCTGTGCAGGGAGAAGGACAGGGGGAGTGCGTCCCTGTTGGTTCTCCTGGACCTCTCAGCGGCTTTCGATACCATCGACCATGGTATCCTTCTGGATAGGCTTGCGGGATTGGGGGTCGGAGGCACTGCTTTGCAGTGGTTCTGCTCCTATCTCAATGGCCGATTCCAGAAGGTGGTGCTGGGGGACTATGGCTCTGCGCCATGGCAGCTATGCCATGGAGTACCGCAGGGGTCCATTTTGTCCCCCTTGCTGTTCAACATCTACATGAAACCGCTGGGAGAGGTCGTCAGGAGGTGTGGGCTGCGGAATCATCAGTACGCTGACTATACCCAGCTCTACCTCTCGTTTTCCACCAATCCAGGTGAGGCAGTGGCTGTACTGAACTGGTGCCTGGCCGAGGTAATGGGCTGGATGAGGGCCAATAAACTGAAGCTCAATCCAGACAAGACGGAGGTCCTGTTGGTAGGCGGTTCAGGCTTCAGAGAAGGTGAATTGAACCTTGTCCTGAACAGGGTTGCACTCCCTCCTAGGGATAAGGTTCGCAGCTTGGGAGTGCTCCTCGACCCGGAGCTTTCACTCGAAGCTCAGGTAACAGCAGCGGCGAGGAGCGCTTTCCTCCAGCTTCGGCTGATTCATCAGCTGCGCCCCTATCTGGAGTGCGACTGCCTCGCAACAGTGACTCATGCACTGGTGACTTCCCGTCTTGACTTCTGTAACGCGCTCTACGTGGGGCTACCCTTGAAGATGGTCCGGACACTTCAACTGGTTCAAAATAGAGCTGCCAGGCTGCTGATGGGAACTGGACGTTATGTTCACATGACTCCAGTTCTCCGGCAGCTTCACTGGCTTCCCATTGAAGTCCGGGCCCAATTCAAGGTGTTGGTGATGACCTATAAAGCCCTAAATGGCTTGGGTCCTGGTTACCTGAAGGAGCACTTACGTCCATATATGCCCAGCTGCCCCCTGAGATCAGCGGGAGAGGCCCTCCTCCGGGAGCCCTCAGTGAAGGAAATTAGGAGGGTGGTTACTCGGAGGAGGGCTTTCTCAGCGGTGGCGCCTAAGTTATGGAATGCGCTCCCCAAAGAGGTCCGCCTGGCGCCGTCGTTATTTGTTTTTTGGCGCCAGGTGAAGACCTTTTTATTTAAGCAGCATTTTAAATGTTAATATCATTGAATTTTATTTGGCCAGGGCGGCTTATTTTTATTCCAATGTATATATTTTAATTGTTATTGTTTTAATTTATTGTGTATTTTATTATGTTGTGAGCCGCCCCGAGGCTTCGGTAAGGGGCGGCATAGAAATGTTTTAATAGATAGATAGATAGATCGATCGATCGATCGATAGATAGATAAAAATGCACAGGGTGAAGCACAGTAGTGATAGAGAATGCCACCACAGCCCCTTAATTTTGCCAATGGATTCTAGTAAGATTCTTGGTTTAGAAGCTTACCTGCCTCTCCTGCAGGAGCCACTTGATTGTGTCTTTATTGTTTGAGTCAAACTGCCTTTATTTTAACTTATTCTAACTGCCTTTGTTGCTTGAGTCAAAGTCAAACAAGATTTGAAGATAATTTCTGATGCGCTGGAAGTTCTTGAATGCACTAATGCCCTTTTGTTCCTTCTTCACAGAATGCAGAAGGCAGGCATTCCTTGTCCACAAGTGGTTACCCTTAAAAAACATGTTTTAGTCATGTCCTTTGTTGGTCAGGATCAAGTACCAGCCCCTAAACTAAAAGAAGTAAAACTCAGTAGTGAAGATATGAAAAAGGCCTACTATCAAGTCCTTCATGTAAGAGCAGTGCTATTATCTTAAGTATGTTGACAAGAGTTCTTTTTGAGAATATTTAACTGAGGATAATAAGCATATATACAGAATCTGCTCTTAAATGTACTTGAAAGCATTACTGTCAGCAATTTTAAAAAATCACAACCCTATACTACAGACGTAGTTTAATAGAAGTAGCTAGAACAAAAATAGAATGTAGAAATTGGTGTCAAGGAGCTATTAAAATGGGTATAGGTTCTGCAGAACCAGTTTTCCTTGGAACTGTATTTCTTCTTTAGTTCTGTAATGATTAGCATTAGAATGCCTTAGGGTTGCAGACTTTTTCATGTAGTAAAGCAGAGATATGGCACAGAAACAGGAGAGACTGGTGACTTTTTAAAATGTGCCTATCAGCCATACACAGTCACACCAGCTGAAAATTTAGATAAGTTAACTGGAGCCAACATTGCAAATGCTTTATCTGTACTTTATTTCAGTGATATGCTAGTTCTGAAAAATAAGCAAATGTTTATTACTGCCATTTCTGTTAAGCATTTTCTGTATTTAGCATTTACTTATCTGGTGTTCAGTTTTATGAACTCTTTCACTGTGTGGAGAGTACTCCAGCTAATAAGCTGCTGCTTTCTTTTAGATGATGCAGCAGTTGTATAAAGAGTGTGGTTTAATTCATGCTGACCTGAGCGAGTACAATATGCTGTGGCACAGGGGACAGGTAAGCAAACACCAGCAAAGGAAGAAAATAACTGTATGACACAGCCCCATATGCCTGTATCTCTAAAAGGACAATTTCTTGTATTTATTCCAGGTCTGGTTGATTGATGTCAGTCAGTCTGTGGAACCAACTTATCTTCATGGGCTTGAGTTCTTGTTCAGAGATTGCAGGAATGTTTCACAGGTAAGAAGCCTGACAATCTTGCTGTTTTATAATCGGTTTTGTAGTTTTACGTAACTTTAACTTTGTGTGCCGATGAATTCCTTCCTGCCCCACAAATATTGAATAATCAGTTCCTTCCAGAGACTTTGTCTCTATCTTTTAGATAAATGAGGGAAGATGCAAAATGAGAGTCAAACACTGAAGGAAGAGTTAAAAACAGTAACTGTTAAATTGTAACTGACTTTCTTGACAGTTGTCTTTTCTTATGTGGCATTGGATCTCATCAAGTGTATTCATCTAGTGCCCCTAAGGGTACTTCTGCTTGTACACTGGAACTTGGTCTTCCCATCTCCCCTTTCAGGTCCAGAAGGGTCTTCAAACCAGATTTGGGGAGTGGGTAGGGGGAATCTGTTCCACTGAGAGATTTGTTGGAGATTGATACAATTAGATATTACCCACTTTGACCCTTTGTTACATACAATAAATATATTGGAAGACCTAACTTATCTTTTTAATATGCGTATAAACATACCTTGACTCAAGACCCTGACCTAGAGATTCTTCTTCCCTCCCAGTAAAAGCAAACTATAATTTAGAGAGACAGCTGTTGGTTAGACAGGGAAGTCTTGTTGCAGATACAAAAAATGCTCTTCCAAGGTATACACTGCAAGTGTGCATATGAATAATAAACATTTTTTTAACTTTTATCTGAAGTTCTTCCAGAAGAATGGTGTATCTGAAGCACTCAATGAGCGGGAGCTCTTTAATGCTGTCTCAGGTTTAAATGTTGCAGCTGATAATGAAGTGGACTTCTTGGCTGAGGTAATGTGGGTATTTTTTGAGGGGGGGGAGAGCAGTGGGAAGAGGTGGAGGCATCTAAAGTTTGTCTTGTTGACTAGATCTTACTCCTTAAAATCTCTGTATACCAGCAAGAAGATCCAGATTATGTAGCCAGAGTTTTCTTTTAGATTTCATGACTGTATATTTCCCTGTCAGAATATCCTGTTTTCCTTTGTGAAAAGCCAAGAAACCCTTTCTTTTGGCAGCTGTCAAAACTCTGTGCTACCATAAATGGGGTGGGATGCACTTTCTCCTTTTCCGAGTCTGTAAAATTTCAAAAAAGGTAGAAGAAACTGAGAGTGGTCCAGTCCATGGTTCAAAACTAGAGGATCTTCCTGCAAAAAACCTGTTATACTCGCTGCTCATTTTCACAAGCAAAGATCTGTTAGTGGCTTTACTCTCCCCTTGACAGCTTTCTGTCAGCTTGCTGTCAAGTAGGAAGCAAAGTAACAAAATAACCTATTTGCAAAGTTTCTTGCAACTACTCAGTGATCAGTGTACATACTTGACACCTACTGGAATTTGGTAGCAGATGCTTACTTCAACATTGAGCAGGCAAGACTTCACATTTTGATTTGTTAGAGATACATCTCCATACTATCAACCGACTTCTTTAAAAAAAATACAAAATATTTGCCCATATTTCTGTTTTGTTTTGTTTTTTAACAATGGTGAACCAGTGTGCCATTTGGGGACTTTGTAGGGGCCATTAGTGATTGCTAGTGGCAGAGAATTGAGAAAAGATTGCAAAAAGAGTGGCAGCAATAACTAAGAAGGGGTTACAAGCCAAGAAGAGACAAATTGGGTTCAGCTGTCAAGTTCCCTGGGATACCTGCTAAAGATTTGAGAGGGAAGGGGTAAAGAGGAACAACCTGCAGTCAGCCCAGTTATCTGTCAGAGGCACTGTAGGTTGTTCCACAGATGACCCACATTGTGTAGCTTATTCACAGAATTGATTGCCAAGTCATAGGAACTCACCCATAATGGAGGTGAGACTGTCTTCCACAGTCTCTATTATAGTCCATTAATTTTGTCTTCCTCTGCAAGAAAAGCCACAAAGTTGAAGATAGTCTATGAACAATACAGATGAGAAAACAGCCAACAAAGTTCTAGAATAGCCCTTTTCTGTTTGTTATGAACTTTCTACAGAATTCATTTTTACTTTTTAAACAGGGGTTTAATTTGTAATTTATCAACAAAGTGTGAAGACTATCTGATACAAAATACAAGTATAGTAGAGCCATAACTTACCAAGTAATAGCTGCTAGATGGTTTCTGACTTTTATCTGTTTTCCTATTTTACAGATTGAACTTCTGGAGAAGATGAATGAAGATCATATACAGAAACATGGGAAAAAAGTGTCTTTTTTTTCAGATGATGACAGGGGTCCACAAACATTTTGCTACAAATAGCACTTCTAGTTGCCCTGAATGATCTTTTTTGTATCTAAGTTTTAGTGCAGTGATTAAATGTCAGCTGCTAAAGGTGAGAGAAATTGTGGTCCACTCAAAATGCCATAAGTGAAACTTAAGGGAATGTGCATTCGTGCTTTGGTGTTTTTAGAAAAGTCCACAAGTTAGTCCTTTTGGATCAACCATGCAGCTCTGTGACAATGAAAAAAATAATCTCCTTTCAATTTGGCATTTTTTTCAGTTGCATTATAGCACAGTTAAATATGTGATATAAATATTTAGAATTTCTAAAATAATGCAACAATTTCAAATTAAACTTTAAAGTAAACTCTAAAAGTGGGTAAGAGTGATAAATGCTTTTTCCCTCCCTTCTACTATATAGTAATATACCTGTTGAGGGAGGGAAGGTTAACCTTTTGTTCTGTTCAGAGTAACTATTCACCATTCAGTTACTATTAAAAATCTCTATTTTTACAAAAACTCATATAATATTCTTAATATTTGATAAATGAAATTTGTATTACTGTAAAAATTAGTCTAATTTTTTTTCTATGATTTTTACACACAATTAAAAATAACCGTTGGCTTGTAATCTGATTCTTTTTTAGACCATAATGTAGTTTTCAAAATAAAATTACTACTGACCATTGTTTCTATTATCAATAGGAAAAAAATGGCCTTTTATTTCTTAAAGAACAATGCTAAAATAGGAGTTAAAATTATCATTAGACATACGTAGAGGAAAAAATACAAAGTGTAAATTATGTAAAATAACTGAGTAACATGCATACATGAAAAGAACCTCCATTATAGCTGCATCCCAGTTACATAAACTTTGATTGTTGGTAGATTTCTATCATTGTAGAAAATATTGTTTTAGGCATAATTCAGAAAACATCCCTTGTGTTTTAAGTGTGCATGTGACATAGCTTCCTATGTAATTCAACATGATGCAATTCATACAACTACTCAATTGAAAAAAGAAAATTTACCTAAGGCCTTTTTCTTGAAATATGTAAGAAACCTAGAGTTATGTTATGACAATAAACGTGTGTAGGTTCCATACAGAAATGACAACATTCTAATCTGATTCTCTACTTCAATATAGTTGACTTGATTCTTGGAGAATGCTTGTGTGTAACTAGAATCATACCTATTCTGATAAGGCCTGTACAAAAGAAGTTAATTTACTGATACAGATTTTTGAAGATGAATGTGTTTAGTAGGGTGGTGAAACTGTTAAATAGTCACCTTTACTTTTCAGCATCTTTTAAATTTGCCCTTCATGATGTAATGAGGGAAGGTTGCTATTTGATGCTCTCACAGTAGTCTTTGAAAATGCTCCTTCCACGCAGAATTGGAAAGAATAATAAACACATCTGATCTTGCGGCTGTATTTGTGTAGGGTTTTTTTGTTCAAGTGTATATACATTTTTACATTAATGTCTGTTTCAAAATAAACAATGGAAGCATTTCTTTGACTTCCAAAGAGCACCCTCTACTTTCAGTTGCTAACACAGGAGTCACCAACCATTTGGGGCACATTTGTAATTTGATGATAGTGTTGTGAACACTCTTACACATGTTTACTATGAAGGGGATGTCCATTCATAAAGTGGCTGCCATGGTGGTCATTGCCAGTCATTAATTACTCATTTCCTAGAATGCAAACTGGTGAAGTTGAAAGAAAAGTAACATGCCCAAGAATCCAAATACAAGTCAGAGATGGGAAGGTCTGAGCTCCAAAATTGCTGTTTAGAACCCAAATAAAGATGGCATTAGAGAGCAGCACTTTGCAGCAAGCTGGTGTCCCAGTTAAAACAAGAATTATAAATCTTAATTAAAAAGCAGGAAGGACAGGGAATCTGTGGGCAGCACATTGGAGATCCTAGCATTAACACATTTGAAAGTAGGTAACTCCATTTATTGTCATTACAGAAAATGCACATAGCATTGCCTACAGTAAGATCAAATAGGCTGTCGGTACAGTGCTTTTTGTTCTGTATCCCAAAGCTGTAGAGCCAGAAATGTTAGCGTGTGCAGAACAGGTCTTTCCTTTTTAAATCACATGTAACTACTAATTCTCAAAAAAGCCTGCTAATCATCTGAAGGAAGACTGTGTGGTAGGAAATATGTTTAAATCTTATGATCAGACTGGTAGTATAAAATTCTGTTTAGTTTGCAAAGATGCTAGAAAGAGTCAATGAGAACACTGTACTTCAAGTGGAACCTGTTCTTAATGTCCCCCTTGGGCTGCCCTAAAAGCATGCTAATCCAGAACATATGAGAAATTAATTTTCACAAATTTAATATTACAATGCATAATTATACTGACCTATAGATGTTCTAGGTATTTTCACCTGAAGAGCGAGATACAAATGTATTTAGTTGATGCAAACCTGTCTCCTGCTTATTTAGTTACAACTGATACTTTTCCATTTGTACAGAATGAATTATTATTATTATTATTATTATTATTATTATAACATTTCTATGCCGCCCCTTGCCGAAACCTCGGGGCGGCTTACAACATGATAAAATACATTGAAATACAATAGTACATAATAAATTACCATTAAATATAACAATACAAAAATACATTGATTTACAAATACAAAATTAAAATTGTAAGCAGAACCACTGCAGAAGTGAAATCTACCATGCATGCTCTTGACTTTTGTCAAGGACTTATTCCAGACTTATAAAGCCTGCTGGAGAGAACCAGCTGATTGGGTGATAGCAGCTGTAGACTGTACCTCTGCTGTTCCTAAAAGCACTGGCAGCACTTTAATTTTAAAAATACTACCATGTTACTTTAGCCATACAGTGCTAGAAAACTTCAGCCACTTTCAGATATTCCATTTTTAGGCAACATGTTAGAATTTGTGATGGCGTCTCAGCTCCAGCTATTCTCACATAAAACAGATTAGCTTGATCCATTACAATCCAGCTTCAGACCTGATTACATGACCAAGGCAGATTTGAAAGCATCCTTGTTGGTGCTGCGATACCTCTGGCTTTTGACCAGCTGGGGTGGGGTTTGGAGGTAACAATTATTGTGGCCCCACAATTGGGAAGGTGAAAGCAGTTGTTGAAAATGGTGCTAGGAGGCTACTGTTCAACCCTTAGGTAGTTAGCCTATGGGGTACTTTCCAATGGTGATGGCATTCTGCAAATGCAGCACTAGGAGAGCTCTACTGAACCTTTCAATTGTGTAAGTGGTTGCCCATTACACCATGTTTATGCAAATACAACTTTAGTTGAATTCTTCCGTTACATGTGGTTTGGAAGCTGGTGCAAATGCTGCCGTATTGGTGGAAACTAACAATGACAAGCACAGTGTCTCCCAGGTCAACAACATGAAACTGCTAGGTGAAATCTGTTTTGGGGCTTGGTGATACCAATATGCTGAGAACACACATTGCTTTATCTCTTATCTAAATCCAGAGAAGCTCTTAAAGTTCTGAATTTTGTTTGGTAATAGACTGGATGATGACTCAGCTTGTCTTCAATAGGGTTGCACTTCTCAAAAAGACTTGTGTTCATAATTCAGCTGCACTAGATTCAGACTTGAATTTGGACACTCAAGTTTCAACAGTTGTCAAGGGTGCTTTTACACAGTTAAGATAGCCTGTGAAATCTGTTTGTTCTGGTAATACCAAATCTGGTCAATGCCATCCAGTTTAATAAAATACATGCAAAGGATTAAAAAAAAATGGTTTTTGCAATCATTGTTACTAAGCTTTAGTAATGACATTTTCTCTATCACTATAATCAACACTTTCATCTGGAAATCCTCTATGGTTGCTAAATTGGGGGGTGGAGGAGGACTCCTATGCCTTTTCTGACACTCCGGCAGAAAATCTGGCAAGAAGAGTTTTTCATGGTATTCAGATGTAAGGATAATGAAAACACCAACATGGACATGCCACAATTTGAATATTTACATAAATTACTACATAGTGATAGAGTCTGAAGTGGTACCATTGAGTCAAGATAGACTGGGTTAATCTGTGGTGGAGAACACTACAAAGGGGGCTGTAGTACCTTAAAGGCTAATAGGTTTATTATTGCATAAGCTTTAAAGACTGGAGTTCATTTCATTATATGCATAAAGTGGCATCTTGCATTGGCAAAAGTGTATACATATTTAAAAAACAGGGAGGGGAAAATGTAGGAAGTTGTGATAATTCAATTAAAGTTCAAACATATGCTGAATGAGTCCGGTGATCATTCACAAAAGCCACGATCCCTTTGCAGGAGAGTAGCAACCTGTTAATAAAAAAATTGGAAAAGGGCAACCAAAGTAATCAAGGAATTTGAGTGCATTCTTTATTTTTTAAAACACATGCAGAACTATTTCATTACTGGGGAAATATAATAGGTTTACTAAATCATGCATGGTATGGAAAAAGTGGACAGAGAAGTTTCTGTCTCTGACCCTAAAGAACGGGAATTAAGACAGACAAAATGCTTCATCACAGAATATATAATTAAACTTTCTTCAGGAAGACCCATGAGTGCTAGTTTTATTTTGCTCTGGAAGGAAATTAGACCAAAGTCTGGAGAATAGGTCTACCTAATCACTATTCGGTATAAAAGATTTTAGACTGCGAACCTATGCAAATCGAGACAGAAAAAAAGGCCTACGGCTCCCCGCATGCCCCAACCAGCTGTGCCTCTGTCGACCTTTTTCTGTCTCAACTTACATGAGACTGCATCTGTAGAACCTCCAGCTTCAGAGGCAGGGTACCTCTGAGTCGAACAGCGGGTGAAAAGCTTTTGTCTTCCAGCGCTCCCTGTGGACTTAAAGCATCCGGTTGGTCGCCGTAGACGAGAAACGAGAAGCCTTTCAGCCTGATCCAGCAGAGGTCCAGAGTCGTATTCATTCCTCCTGTTACTGCAAGCCAGGTATTAGGGAAGGGGTGAGCGAAGGTACCAAGCGCAGCGCAGCGCAGCGCAGCGCTCGGAGGCATTTAAAGCGCGCGCCTCCACAGCTCACTGTTCGCTTCCCGAGGTTGCCCTCCTCTTCTCCGCGGGCCCTGCGCCTTGAAGGACCGGTGGTATTCCGGTCATGCGCAGGCAACGTATAACCAGGAAGCGGTTGCGCGGGGCGGAGGAGTGGAAGGTTTCCGTGCATAGGGAGCGGAGCGCCCGGCGGGCTCGTCTTTCTGTGCCATGGCGATGGCTGCCAGCCAGGAGGACTACTACTTGGCCTTGTGCGCGCGGCCCGTGCAGTTCGAGAAGGCGAGCCCCGTGAACTGTGTCTTCTTCGACGAAGCCAATAAGCAGGTGAGAGACGGAGGCCGTGGGAAGGCCAGGGGAGCGGAGCGCCCGATGGAGCGCGCCAGCCTTTCCTCGCTCGGTGCCCTCTTTGGGCGTGCTGAGGGGGTGTGGGCCTACACATCTGCAGGGCACCAGGTTGGAGAAGGACGGCATCTATAGTGGACTCTTCTTTAGATGGCACTAATACTATAGTGGTGGCCTTCAGTGTTTGGCAGTCACCAAACCTGCTTCTTGTAACCTGCAGTTCGGGCTCTGCTTCCACCCTCGCCTACAATGCGGGCTCTTTTCCTTCCTTTTCGCTGTGAGGTCACATGGGAGGGCAGTGTGGAGGTCTGTATCTGTTCATTGGGATGCTCTAGACCAGCCTTCTACATTTCAACACTCATCAGTTCTAGGTAGCATCGTCAGTGGTCAGGGATGGCGGATGTTGTAGTCCAAAACATCCAGAAGGCACTCGGTTGGGGAGGGCTGTGATATATGGATTAATATATTTAAGAAAATGGACCTTGTCCTGGTGATCAGAAAAACTGTTCTGATCCTGCTGTTATGGGTACAAGAGACCTGTGCCTCTCTGTATCTGAGCTCTCTCTTTCTGGCTTTACCTTTAAGAACTAGTTTACTGCTGTAGCTAACTTATGGAATCGAACAGAATTGTAGAAAATACTAATTAGGATGATGCGGTGTTTGTAAGCAGCAGTAGGATGATGTTGTGTAAGTGTAGAAGCTAGGTATAGCTTGTTATGTCACACAGTTGTAACAATAAGAAAAGTTGCTCTTGCTGATGTTTTCTCTTTTATGCACATATTAAGAATCAGATTTTTTTTGGTGTCTTTTCATTTTGGCTTCCTATTTTGGCCATCTTGGGTAACAACATTAATGGTTTACACAGGGTGTTGGCTTGGGCTTAGATAAAGAATACATCCTTTGTTAGTATGGCTATACTTTCTTTGATAAACCACATTGTGGGTAAAACCCATATTTGGTGCCCACAGTTTACCTGCAGTTTATCATAAGCACTTAACTTCTTGAGTGTCTCTCACTCACTTAAAAAAAGCAGAAATAAACTCATATGACATTTTATTCCATTTCCTAATCAAAGAGTCACATCTAAATAAAAATTACACATCTGAATATACCCTTTTAATGATAATCACAGGCCTGCTTCCTTAGTTTAATGAGTGCTTTCATGTGATCTTTTTATCATGGAGCCTCTGTGTGATGTTGGTTCAGTTCAGGATCTGACAACTGAAATTTGACATTGGACATTACCTGGCAGCTAATAAAATAATACAATAGTGCATGGGTAATCCCCTAATGTAGGGAAGCAGCTATGGGATGGGTAGCTGTTCCACAGAAGCAGGGCAATTGCTGAAAAAGCTCTTCTCCATGCTGTTTTGGTGCTCTATACTGCAGACAGCTTCACCTAAATAGGAACCCAGAACAGAGCTTCCTAATATCTTAGCAGGTGGATGGATTTCTTACTTTGGGATGAGCATTCTCTGAGATTTGTTTATTTTTTATTTTTCAATTTATATTCTGCCTTTTTCCTACAAAGGGCTCAAGGCAGCTTACATCTCCTCCTCCATCTTATCCCCACAACAACCCTGTGAGGTAGGTTGGGCTGAGAGTCTGTGACTGGCCCAAAGTCACCCAGTTGGCTCCATGGCTGAGCAGGGACCAGAACCCAGGTTGTCTGAGTCCCAGTCCCATGCTCTTAACCACTACACCACACTGACTCTCATCTTGGGCTGTGAAAAGGTACCAGTGTGGCAGTACCTTGATCCAGGCTCAGAAACTTACAGGTAGCCAGTGTATTTGCAGATGCTTTGGCTTGCTTATGATTGCAAATTTGGGCTGCAATTTCTTGACATTCTGTGTAAATCTTGGATTTACTGCCAGGCTGGTCCTTGGCAGCATCAAGTAAGGAGGAGTTGGCAAACAGGCCCATGTTGCCTAAGGGACAGCAAGATATATAGCTACGGAAGGGCTGCTGCTAATTTCTTTTAGGAGGAAGTGTATGAATGGGCCCTTAAATGTGGGATAAAATAGTTTTATTTGTTATTTAATTAGCAGTGCCTTAACTTAAGCTACACTGGTATTTCAAATATAGAGTTTTGCTGAAAATAAATTCTGCTGATTTGGATGCTGATAATATTCAAAGTAGGACACTAGAATGAAACTGAATCCAAGTTTAACCTTTTCATTATTTAGGTTTTTGCTGTTCGATCTGGTGGAGCTACTGGGGTTGTAGTTAAAGGCTTGGAAGATCGTAATCCCATCTCATTCAGGTAACACAGAAGTACTCTGAGGCACCATGTGTGTTGCTTGATTTCTTGATAGCTTTTTCCTATAAGTACAAGTGTGTCCCATCATTCAAAGGACTTTTTTTTCTTTTATTGGGCACCCTTTTCAGACAGAAAATAAGAGCGGCTTTACTGAAACATAAGTGGAGTTTATTAATTTGTGTATGCTTTCTTGGAGAAACTTTACTGTTTCTTCCTCTTGGGTATACAAAGTAGCAGTTGCAGCTTGAAATACAAATGTTGCAAGAATTTTAATGAAAGAAGTTAGATCACTGTTTACCACTTGGCTAACTATAAGCTGTACTGTAAGTATTTCTTTAATGACCTTAGTTCTGTTTGCTCATCCCTTGCAATTGTTGTGTTTGATGGGGGGAGCCTAAGAATGATGGGAGAGCACTTTCACTTGACGTGTACACATTGCAAGTTAGGTCTACAAAGGCATGCAAAATGCAGTGTGTGTTGATGTGATATCTACACTTCAGAACCAGAATGTAGAGACCAATTTGGGCCTTATGCCAAGGTGTTAATGGAAGGGATTGGGTGGGCAGGTACAGACCTGTCCCCCACTAACTGTGGAATCTCCTGCATAGAAACAGGATGTTAACCAACATGCAAACTTTTCTGAATGTCCAATCATAGAGAAGACTGCCTGCTTGATCTCTTTTAGAGATAAGGAGAGAGAATCCTACCTTAACGTAACAGGCTTGGTAAAAGTCATATATGAAGGCATTTGGGCCATAATGCTACTTAATGCTCAAATTACATATATAAACCTTTGCATGGTGTGCTTCTACCATGCCACTCCTTCTCTGGCAGCTTAAAATGCAAGTGGAGCTATTAAACTAAGCACAATTTGAAGTTTAATCTTATTTCTCAGTTAACATGAATATTATTGTGCTATAAAATACAGAAGGACTTCTAGAATAATTTTCTGTGTGTAGAATGGAAGACAAAGGGGAAGTGAAATGCATCAAGTTTTCTTTGGGGAACAAGATACTGGCTGTCCAGAGAACATCGAAGAGTGTGGTAAGAAGGATAATTTTTTTTAAGGTTAAACACATTGAGGTGAAGCCTGTATATTTGGATAATACCTGACAATGTTTGAGTAATTGTCAGGTACTATCCAAATATAATTGTGTAACTGAGTAATTGTTGCAGAAAGGGAAAATCTTAACTTGCCCGTCTTTTTCTAGATTTTTAAAGGCAATACTTACTGCTGCAGTTACTGTGACTCTTCCTCCACCCTTTTGATGCTTTTTCACTTGATCGACCTGCAGTTGGTACTGGCAACTGTGTGCAACTGTGTGCACATTAGTTGATATCTCGTCCTCCTTTGTCAGTTTCCTTGCATCTTGCCCACGTCTATTTGGCGCTCCCTTTGACAACTAAAACATAGAAGGAAATTAACCAGGCAAGACTTAAATAAAAGCTCACTATAAAAAAAAATTGCAAACACATCTGCACAGTTTTCTGGGGCTGATTTTTTTTAAGGATGGTGAACCAGTAATGGTTATTTCAAAATGCTGCTTGGCATTGGTGAAGGGGCCTTAGCAACCGTAGAATCATGAGCAGTGGGGAATGGGTTGCTGCTCTTGCTGAGTGGCTCATTAGCTGATCGCTGCGACCCACAATGAAGTGACTGTTCCACGTCCAGAAGATACAATCCCTCATGGATCAAGCAACCCTTAGTACAAGCCCATGGGTTGTTACTGTAACTTGCTGCTGAAGGATGAGCAATCCTACAGGAAGTAGTCTGGGTTCAGGCAACAGCCCATCATGGCTAGTTATCCACAATGGGATGTTGTGTCATGTGAACCTAGTCACTGGATGATTTTTTGGCAGGGGCATATGCATTTATGTGGGGTCTTGACAAGGCAGTGATAAATTTTCATGCTCCCATAAAAGGGGTGACTGCATTTCTTCACTGTCCTGAACACCCAGGGCATTAAGAAAGAATGGAAAAACACAAGGCGTCTTCTCCTTAGATGATCTCCATTAAAGGGGTGATCTACTGGCCACCCACTTTTGTGAGCAAAGATCCCTTACCTTTTGACAGCGGTTGAAAGAAGGCGCACTGAAAAATAAACCTCTTTACATCTTTTCTGGTTCCATGCCCATGGAGAAGGGGTGCATGCCACAATTTGACAGTATTCCCAGTGCAAGAATGATCATTTCAGGCCTGCCTAGCTGTGCATCTGCATATCTATGCCAGGCTGATATGAAAAGTCTTGCACAAATTTCTTGCAATAAAAAGGGGAGTGACAAACCAGTGAGTTCTTCAGTGTGGCACTTGCTGTCCCTGAAAGTCAAATTGGAGAATGGGGAAAGGAGAGAGCAGAGAAGTCATGCTGAGCTCAGAAGGGCTTGCAATTACAACAGAAGGACTGAGCCAGTAACGGTTGCTCTGCAGTACTGCTTGGGCATCAGTGGGGCAGTTGGGTGCTGGTGATGGCCTGAGCTAGCTCTGCAAGAGTGCCAAAGCGGTTTTGCCATTCTTGCCAAGTGCCTTGTTACTGCATCCTGCAAGCCAGAACAGGATTATTCATCCATTGTGAATCTGAGAACCTCAAAGAACATTCCATGGGTTGTTGGGGCTTATTGCCTTTGAACAAGCTACTTTGTAGGAATCAATCCAGGTTTGCAGAGCACAGCCCCTTGTTTTGAATCATTCATGATGGAGTGTCATTTCATGTGAACTTAATCAAATGATGTTAGAAATCGTTGGGAAAAGCTAGGTAAAAGAAACTTGTTTTATTTTTTATATTAGTTCTCAATTTTTGCCAAGATTGACTTCTCAGACAGATTAAATTTACAATTCACAAAACATATTGCATTGATTAGAAATCCATGTGGGTGTTTATCATCAGCCCTATGATCCCTGGCAGTTGGTGTCCTATAATCCAGATTATAGGATGTTCCCTTCAGACAAGTGTACAATATATCAACCTCACATTTCACCTTGGGCTGTTAGCAGTTTTCTTCTTTCTATTTCCATATTGGTCAGCATTATGTTCCAGGTTTAGTGAAAGACTGGACAGTGCTTAAATGGAAAGTTAAAGGAGTAAAGAAATTTATAGTTCTCTTCATATAGTTGAGTCTCTCTGAAGCAGACGAACAGCCTGATTTTTGCCAAGTAAAGTACATCTAAGGAAATTGAAATCAGTGAGCTTAGATGTGTCTGACTTCAAATGTTTCTTGAGTTGCAGTCCTATGCATGTTTAGATAGAATAACATCCTGCAGTTCTGAGCATACAGTCTTGGAAAAGCTAGGAATCGTAGGAATTTTTCTGTCTAAACTTTAATAGTGTTGTGTTCTTAATTGCTGTTATTTTTGCTGTAATTTCAGGACTTCCTAAACTTCATTCCAGATAGCCCACAACTAGAATATACTCAAGAATGCAAGGTACATTAAAATATTTTTAAAGAAGCAATCTTTCAGTATATCATAACATCCCTTAATCTAGCAGTTTTGTTTAAAATGATGCACAGAATGCTGCTATCTCTGTATAATTATATCCTATACCTATTTTGCATTAATCTTTGATGGGACAGTGTGAATAATGAAACATTATGACCCACATGCTGAAAGTGACACTCCTCTTTGTCCCTTTCCCCCAGCTGGGCTTAAAAGTTGGAGCCAGTGGGAGGCATATTTCAAACCTGCTTGTAGCATAGATGGGTGCTGCACACTTCTACCTCCACATGCACTAACATCCACCCAGGGCAGCAATTAGACTTTGAGAAATTATTTCATTGGCATCTAATTGCTGCACCCTGGGGGGCATTTTTAAGACTGGCTCCACATATGCACCCCAGACCTTAAAGGAATGTGGCCCAAAGTGTAAAAAGGTTTGGCACCCCTTGTTTTTACCTATTAATTGATTAATTATTTTAATTCCAACATTAAGTTAATTCTGGTTTGGCCATCTTTGATTATAGTGCTGAGTCTTGTGATGGAACGTTAGGCGCAATATCTGGTGCGTGTGGTGCATCATGCTGGGTGGGCTTTATCATGCCAGTGCCATCTCCTGACAATAGAGTATTTTGCTTGCTCAGCATGGGTCTATGAATATATGTTATTGATAGCTTTTGTGACCAGATAGCCATGATGCCATGTGCCTTGCCACAAATGGCCCCATTGTATTCTCATATTTACCTGCATATAGAATAGAATAGTAGGGTTGGAAGGGGCCAACAAGGCCATCATAGAACTTGCTTCTGAATAAGCCTGGATGGGTTCAGGTTGTAAATTCATTTATTTTTCTTTGTTATACGCAGTGCTTAAGAATGACAACAGTAACATCATACTATCTGTACTTGCATAGGGACCACCAAGTGAAACGCCTTTAAATGAAATATTGTTTTAGTGCAAAAACCAATTAAAAATACATATTCAATCCAATTGAACAACTTCTTGCATGTAGATGTCTGTGGAAGTCTTCATTTACATACATAAAGCATCTTTCCCAGTAAGGTGGACTGGGAGTCTGATTGCATAGGAGCTTCATGGGCTCATCAAAACACTTGTGAGGCTCTGGGGGATGCTGCTTCTGCATTGTATTTCTCAGTGCTATAAATTAGACAACGCTCTGAAATCTTGCCTTACATGAAACTGAATGTAAATTTGCCTCTTTCAACAACATGTTGTTTGTGTTAAAGACCAAGAATGCCAACATTTTAGGATTTTGCTGGACAGGCTCTGCTGAAATCGTCTTCATAACTGATCAAGGAATTGAATTTTACCAGGTAAAGAAAAAAATCCTTGTTTTAAAATCTACAAAATGGTTTTGTCATATTGAGTATTTTAAAAAGGTTAACAGAGCAATCCTATGATTTCCAGATGATGTGTGAGAAACCATAGGATGGTGCAAATCTATAATGTCAACTTTCGCTAACTTCTCATTTCTGTATTTCCTCTTTCATCCCAAAATTTGCTCTAGTGAGGTAGATTTGGTATACAGCTGCAGAGAATTTAAAACATCCTTTCTTCTATAAGTAGACACTTGCACAAGTATGTCAGGATTAGAGGCCTTTTTATGAATAGTTTGGGATTTAGCAACTATACAGTCTATCATCTATTTAGAAATGTGTAGCATTTTGGCAGTATTATAAAACTTATCTTGTGTTTTCAGGTATTACCAGAGAAACGAACTTTAAAACTTTTGAAGAGTCAGAATATCAATGTAAACTGGTACATGTACTGTCCTGAGAGCTCTGTCATTCTTTTGTCAACCACAGTTCTTGGGAATGTTCTGCAGCCATTCCATTTTAAGGTAAGAGTTGACAGTAGTTGACAAACACTTATTTTTTCTGATTTCCAAAATGATGTACTTGCTTTGGCCTGTGGATATTTTTTTTACATTGTTGAGATTTCAAAAGAAAATACTCTATTAAAAATGTGCTGTGATAAGTTGACCCTAATGTTCAATTGTTTTCCCCTCCTTGCATAACTTAGTTCTACTGAAGATGATTTATTAAAAGCTGACTTACTGATTCCAGTGCCTACCTGTAATAAATAAATAAATAAATTTGAAAAGAGATGGTAGTTATAGTGTGTGGGGAAATTCAAGAGCTAGCTGATCAATTGTAGCTGATCATATGCCTAGGAATTTTCTAGTTCTGATTGTATTAGGTTAGGTTTGTCAGAGTTGAATGCTACAGTGCAGTACAGTTGAATGGATGCTTGTTGTAGTCCATTTATGTCCGTTACAGTTTAATATTAGATAAACTTGTTTCTGTCAACTACTAAAATCAAATGGTGTGTACTTTAAGCTGCATCTTTAGGAATGCAGGTTGAAAATGTTTTTTCACCTAGTAGGGAACGGAATGCTCAAGTGGCCCCTCCTTTGATATTAGAAAGTATTAGAAAGTACTATAGACTTGTAAGGATATTATGAAAACTGGAAAAGGAGCTAAGTGAGATTAGATACATTTTAACCCTACTTTTTTCTAGGGTTGCACTATGTCAAAGCTGTCAAAGTTTGAAATTGAATTACCTGCAGCCCCCAAATCATCGAAGCTTAGCCTTTCTGAAAGAGATATTGCTATGGCTACAATGTAAGTATGATTGTGCAGATGTGTGGGGAAGCTTCGTGCAGATGACTTTTGCCTTAGGTGTAGAGCGAGGCTTTTCTCCTTACTGAGCAGTCCCTTTGCTCTGTATAGAACTGAAAGGTCTGATGGGAAATCCTCTCTGCCGCTAAGGATAACTGATGGAATAGTAAGATGGATGAGAGAGAAATGTAAGGTCCATGCACTGGATTTATATTCCTGTCCTAGTAATTAAAGGATAGGAAGGAATTCCAATAAGTGGGGAAATACATCTGTATTTGGTTGGTGGGTGGAGCAGCAGGCAAGGACCAGTCTGAAGGTCATTTTCCCTGTCTCTGTGTAAGGTGTTGGCGTGGGACGGGTGTAGATGCACAAGACCAAAAAGGAATAGAATTGAGAGAGTATAAGGTGGCAGTGAACATTCTTCAAAGGATGTAGTGGAATCCCTTTTACTCAAAACACTTCAAACTATAATAGCTTCTGTATCACCTGAAATGCCTGATCCTGCCTAATTTTGGAAGCTAAGCAGGGTCAGGCCTCGTTGGAATTGGAATGGGAGACTTGAGTCCTGAGGTGAGCAAGAGGTTGGACCTGATGGCCTGCTAGACCCCTTCCAACTGTATGATTCTATGAAATCATTGAGGTATCATATATACAAGTTGTCTTAAGCACAGAGAAAACCAAAGTGATGCATCAGCCAGCTCCGAAAGCCCAATACCAAGACCCCACCATCACAGTGAAGGGACAAAAGCTGCAAGCAGTGGACCAATTTACATACCTTGGCAGCACCCTTTCCCGTGCAGTGACAATTGACATCGAGGTCAACTGCAGAATCGCCAAGGCAAGCTCTGCATTCGGCCAGCTGCAGACCAAAGTGTGGGACTGCTGTGGAATAAGCCTTGCTACAAAGCTTAAGAGTCTACTGAGCAGTACTAACTACCCTGATGTATGCCAGTGAGACTTGGACAGTATACAGGAGGCATACTAGGCAACTGAACCACTTCCACACGACTTGCCTTCGCAGACTTTTGAGGATCTGGTGGCAGGACAAGGTGCCAGACACAGAGGTCCTCTCCAGAGCAGGCCTGCTGTCAGTTCACACCCTGCTGATGAAAGCCCAGACACGCTGGGCAGGCCATGTTGGAAGGATGCCAGACCACCGCATCCCCAAACAGCTCTTCTGTGGTGAGCTGCCGCAAGGAAAGCGATCGCACAGGGGACAAAAGCGATGCAAAGACACGCTGAAAGCCTCTCTCAAGTCCCTGGTTATCGACCACCTCCTGGGAGACCCTGGCACAAGACCAATCGACATGGCGCACGCTGATCCACCAAGGCTGCCAAACTTCTGAAGCCAGAAGAACAACCATAGCACAAGAGAAGCGAGCACTCCGTAAAGCCAGAGTTGCAAATGTTGCAACAGTGGTGCCCACGCATGTCTGCCCGGCATGTGGCAGAACACTCCGTGCCCGTATTGGCCTTATCAGCCACCTGCGGACACACTGTGGACAACTCACAACCCGTTAGATGTCAAGGTCCTCCTCGAAAACGATGGATGAACATCTCTCTCTCCATCTCCTTTCTTAAGCGATTTGATGTTGGTAAATTCGTTTTGGTATTGAATGAAATACCAAATGATGAAAAAGGCATTATACATATACAGTGCAGCACTAAGAACTTGTGATGGATTTAAAAAAGACTTGGAAACCATTTCATTAAAAAATCTAATCATAAATTTCATTATTTCTCCTGAGATATGGGCAGCTTTATGTTCTCTACTTAAGACATCACTCAAGGACATCCAACAGTACAGGAGCTGAGGTAGTTCTTTATCATTTACCAAGGTAAGTTTGGGGTTTTTTTAATGATAAAAGTGCTGCAAATAAAAAGTTAGTGTTGCAGCTAAGCATATGTTCTCTGTCTCCTTGACTATCATAGGGAAGGCTCATGTAAGAAGCTGCATATATTAAAGTTATACAGGACTGGCAAGTTTGCACTAAATGTTGTGGACAACTTGGTGGTAGTTCATCATCAGGATACTGAGGTACTACCTTTTCTTAGCATATTACATGTACTTACATGTTAAATGGGATGACTCTGTCTTCCATTGTCTGATTTTACTTAGAACATGTCACCCTTGACTCACATCATCCCTCAGCATTGGTTATGCTGGCTAAGAATAATGGAAGCTGCAAGCCAAAATATCTGGAGGACCACTTGTCCTGTCCTTGATTTAGTAGGTAAACCAGGGATGAGGAACCTTTGTTGGCCTAAGGACTGAATTTATTATAAGCAGGCAGATTGGGTGCCATATCCAGCAGTGAGTGGTGCCACCCCATTTGCTTGTGGCCCTGTAGTGTGATGGAATAGACTCCACCGACACATCCTCTCTCCTCCTGTCTCTTGCAGTCATAGAAACACACATGCCCACCCCATTGTTTTTACCCCCTTGCGCCTTCCCAACACTGCAGTAAGAACTTTTGAAGTCTAAGGGCATCTAGATGGGAAAGGAGGCCTAATTGAAGAGGCTTGGTTTTAATGGGGGAGTGGCATTTTTCTCAAGGATATTGTTGTGTTGAACAGTTGTCAGCCCATTCCTCTCTGGTAGCTACTTCTTTCCAAGGATTGTACCTACACACACACACAGTCTGCAGTTAGACTTTTTAAAAGTCTAAATTTTATTTCAGAAATTATTAAAGCTGTGTAAAAAGTCTGACTAATGACACTTCGATATGGAAATTACTTTTTCATAATTTTCAGTTACGTGGTTGTGGTTATTAACCTATTTTGTAGGCATGACCAAATGTCTTTTTCCATAATTCTTTTTATTTGCTAAGGTTCAGATTGTGGCAGAAAAACTTACTGAGACAGCTGCTGCAAAAGCAGGCTGTCATGATATGGATAAAAAGGGTTTAACACTCATTTTGATCCTAGAGAATGGCTGGCTAGTCATGGGAAATGGGATGCAGTGGAATCTGTGCCAGTGGTGGTTTGACTAGGGAAAGCTGCTTATTATTATTATTATTATTGGGCTGCTTCCATGTAGCCTGAAGTGCCTGATCCTGCCTAATCTTGGAAGCTAAGCAGGGTCAGGCCTGGTCAGAATTGGGATGGGTTACTTGAGTGTATGATTCTATGATTATTGTTGTCAACTGCCTAGAGAGCCTTGGCTATGGGCAGTATAAAAATGTAATAATAATAATAATAATAATAATAATTATTATTATTATTATTATCATCACTCTTTGAGTTAAGTACTAAGCCTAATCATTCATGGACATTTACATTTTTGCAGGTTTTATATCCCATAAAACAGCTTTCCATGAGAGATGCATAATGTTTAATTTGAATCCACCTTATGACAGATTTGTGCTAATTGATCCCACATCATAATATAATGAAATTAGCACAGCTGATCCAATATGTTACACTTTTCTAGGTTTATAGGGTTGGATTCAGATTCAGTTGTACTTAGAGAAAAAATATTGAAATCAGTTGGCCCGCTTTACATATGGCTATATCTGGATCTAACCTGCACAAATTAGCTTCGTGTATCTCTTGGTTAACTCTTTGGTTTTCAATTTTAGACCTCTATTATATTTGATATCAAACTAAAAGGAGAGTTTGATGGTACAGTCACCCTTCATCAGCTTGTACTTCCAGCTCGATCCATACAACCTTATCAGATTCCAATATCAGGTGGGAATCTTCTTTTTTTTTTAAGTATGTGGAAAATGCAGTTGGCATGTAGCTCTTTGGTTCTGAACATAGCCATGACTATTTTCTGACAAATAAGATATAAAGAAAGCTGTTGCAAGATGCAACTTATTTGACTGTGCAATTCTTTTGCTTTAAGTTCCATTGTATTCATTAAGGAACCCAAGATAGCTTGCTTTTGTTAAAGTTTTATACTAGTGTCCTGTGCTTGATAGAAAAAAAAACCTTGCAAGAGTAGCTAGGCAATCCATACTCTTTCTACAGTAGTGTCAGCCAGACAATGAAAGCTTGTCATTGCCTGGACAGAAAGAGTCCGTAAGAGCCCTGCCCAAGGTGGACTTTTGTCAGAAGATTCCTATTTCTTGTTCCCTATTTCCTCCTCCTCATTATTTGCATTTCTATACCTCCCCACAGCTGAATCTCCTTGGGCAGTTTACAACAGTCCATAAACAGATAATAAAATACAATAAAATGTCAAATATACTGGGGTATAAAGCCACTTGCATGTAAGACAAGATCGATATTTGAAGCTGTTTTTCTGATGTTTGTCATAACTCAGGTGTATAGGACAACCCTAATTTTTGCAATGCTATTTTCTGTTTCAAGGGTTGTCTTATACACTGATATATATGGTATATAAAATCAGAAAAAAATACAAATTTAAAACAGCTAAAGCCCAGCCATAAAACACCTGGAATAGGCAATCCCCTCAAGCCTCTGGGTATCCCAGTAAGTCTTCAAAAGCCTCAGCATAAAGGGCCATCTTATCCTGGTGCCAAAAGGATGACAAATTTGGCACCAGTTGGGCTACAGATGAGATATTGTTCCATAAGGAGAGAGCAGCCACTGAGAAAGCCCTTCCCCTTGTTGTCACCCTTTGTGCTTTGGTATTTTCTTTGTATGTACCACATAACATGCATTTTTTTACCTGTAGTGCAATTTGTGTTGGAGTAAGTAGCAGCTTAATGTACGAGAGGCTCGTGGTAGTTTTGCAGTTTACATTAGGTAGTGGAGTTGAAAGAAATAAATACAGAATCTCTAAGAATAGACATACTCTTCCCTTTCCCGGCAAGAATGGGGATACGATACTTGTGGACTCGAGAAGTTGTTCCATTTGGAGCACCTGATATGGCCATGCTGCTCGGGGCTGATGGAATTCTGGCATCACTTGGAGTGCTATAGGTGTAGAACTTCAGTCAATCATACAGAAACTTACCGCAGTAGTAAGCTGAACATCAGAACAAGAAAAAGTGTGTGGTATTGCTTCTTATCTGTGATGTTTCAGGCATGTCATTCTACCATGAAGGATTTGCATGGATGGATTGCTCTTCCCACTTGCTTAGACAGGCGGGAGTATGCAAATTAGGCTTGAAATGCACAACCTGGTGCAATTCCTCTTGATCTGAGGAATCCAGCCTGGGCTTATCTGTCAATTCTCCATGCAAAAGTCTGACCTTGACTGAGAAATCCAGTCTCCAAGGAGGTCTTTGAGCCTGGACGTGCTGCTTCATTCCATCAATGCATATGTAACACTTTCTGAGAACCAGTGCTTTTTTGTCATAGAACGCACCGGAAGAGAGTTCTGGCACCGTTTTTTGACAGATTTTCCAAGTTTTAAAAGTCGCTTTTTAAAATTTGATGTTTGGTCCATGTGGATTTGAAGCACCCTGTCAAGCGTAGCAGGTCGGCAGCAAAATCATTAAAATGGTGCACACGGGCTGCTTGTGTGTCAAATCTGATGCATGCATGCTTTGTCCACACTGGTTGTGATGGCACTGCTCGGCTTGTGGCACTGCTCAGCTTGTGATTGGTCATGTGGTCGTGTGCCGAGTGCTTACTGTGGGCAGCAACTGTTATGTTTTGTTACACAACTGACGTGTGTGGGTGTGTGTATAGTGATTGACTACATGCGAAAGGTAAATAATTTCATGAGTTCCAGCATCTTTTTTCTTACAAAAAAAGCACTGCTGAGAACTACTACACTCAGTCAAGTCCATTTCCTATTTCCATAGATCTACAGTAGTTCATGGTACTGGTGGCAAGCAGCTTCCCACATAAGTCATTTTGAGAGCATTTAGAGCTCAAAACCCTGCTATTCACAAAGGGCACTCTTCACCCTGTGACCTTGCCAACTGCACGTATGTAGCCCCTGAGAGCATTGGTCCTTTCACAGGAAGAGATTCAGCACCCTTGTTCTTTTAGTCTTGTGCTCCTGAGGCTTTGGGAGGGTTGGATTTTGCTCCTTTTGTTTCCTTTGCTGTGTTACCTTCCAAAACTGAGCATAGGCTACTGGGTATAGGCTACTTCTCAATCAGGGAGTGCACTTCAAACCTAAATTACGTTTTTGATCCCATCGGAGGAAGTCAGAGGAGCAATCCAATCATCCTCCATCCATTGCAGAAAATGAAGATACCACAGGAAGTCCCAATGTTGATCTCTAGATTCCATTCAGTGCCCAAAATAAGTATAACTGACTTAATTGGATTGCTAGCAATCCTTCTTCTCAACAATAGTACATGGAAATAGCTATGGTAATATAATAGAAGTGTCCCATGCAGGAAGGTATCAGGTCTTTGTGCAACAAAATAACCCCCACATTTCTTCACTCAAAAATGAATTCACGGGAAAGGATCTCCTACTTGCAACTGATTCCTCAGTGTGTTAATGTCGAAGATAGATTGCAAATTGTAAAATGTTGTAATCTTAACCTAGTGGTATCCCTCTCATGGTTTTTCTTTTTCAGTATATTACAACAAGTGTTGAGCCTAATTTCCTTAAATTGTAGCCTTAGCTTTTCAGGATATATAATACTTTGTTATGAAGATGTTTGTGCTGGCAAACCTTTTCTAAATAAATTCATATCTTCATGAGTGGCTAATACAGTATTTTTCCCCATGTGCAGGGCCAGCTTCTGTAACCAGTCAGCTTCCTGTTCCTTGTAAACTCTGTATCCTTGAACAGTATCTACTTCCTTCTGAAATAAGACATCTTATCTGTGCTTTGTGACAGACAATATGGCCTATATATCTGGGAGGAGGAGAATTGATCCTGTGATAAAATATGCAGGGCAGCTCTGAAATGAGTATAAAATTTAGCTTACAGCATAATCTTTTGCATGTTTACTTGGAAGTTCCATAGTCTTTCATTGCCAGGTACATGTACGTAGGATCAACAAGTGTTTCAGTAATACCTGATGAAGCTTTGAAGAAAAGATGTAAAACACCCTTTAAATTAAGAAATAAGGCAAACCTACCACCTTTGAACAAAGATGCATTGTTAAAACAGTGCAGGAAAGTGCTAATCATCTGATAGGAGGCTACTGTCCACCACTTGTCAGGGCATTTTATAAATGGGCAATCCAGGCACTCTGTAGGCTTTTAAATGTTATGGTATATGGATGTGACTTAAGGAATCAAACATGTATTGTGTACATGTGGAAAATGCACTGCTGTTTCATAACTTAGAATCGCATGCAGCTGAACTGTTCTTTAAAACAGTCCTTACCCTTATAACTTGTTGCCAAACAATTGCTTAATAGAGGGCATTATCCTAAGACCTCTCCAGTCATTTAGATATGCTCCATAAAATCAGAATTCTTTCCTTTTGAAGAGTATCTCTTCAAACAATGTATGAAACACCCATTTGTCAACAGGTAGTGTTTTGTTTAACATTTAGATTCCTCATCCTGGATTGTCTTTGAACCTGATATTATCATCAGTGCAAGTGAAGGTAAGTCTGAAGCTATCAAAGTTTTCTTTTTCATTAGTTCATATGGATACTTGCTATTTTTGTAATATGAAATATTAATTCTTCTTTCCCCCTGCTTCCTTCCCTCATCTTCAGTACTTAAAGCAGACTATATAATAATTGAAGTACTAGTTATGGATTGCATGTCTCAGAGTGAAAAGGAAATATTTAGTAGTGAAGGTCCTGAACAAACTTAACAAAAGAGAACATCTTTTGTTAACAAACTGAACATCTGAAATAGATGAGTGATAGTCAGTGTGTCATGCACAGTTTTTTGGCTTGCTAAATAAATTCGCATGTCAACCGTTTTCAGTACCTTTCCCCCTTAAATTTAAACAATGCAAAGAAGTACATTCTGATTTCCTTAAACTTGTTTACAGGTATAGTAATAAAGATTTCTATATAATATAGCATTCTAAACATAGTAAAATGTGCTTTAATTTTTCTCTCAAAACACTTTTGGTCAAATACTTATAATGATGAACTAAGCCAAAAATGAACACTGGATACTTTCTAAGCTTTGTTTACTAAATTCAAGCAAAGCAAACATGAATTGGATCTTTCTATGATATGACAATGTTCCTGTGCAAATGAATGTATTTTCCACTGGAAGTTTTTTGTATGCTAATTAATTTTTTGATTCAAAATTTTCCAGAAAATTTGCCCCATTTGGCAAGTTTCTACATGTATACGGATAAAATAGTTTAAGACTCTTATTTCTAAGGAGAAAATGTGTTAAGTAAGGTCTTACTAGGCTGTCTTGAAGTACTTCTAATTAGATCTCTTTTGAAAAAGGATTTGCTATTTTTTGTTTAATCCAGGTTATCTCTGGAATCTGCAAGTAAAACTTGAACCTATAGTAAAATTATTGCCAGACAAAGGGAAGCTAATGGACTTTCTTCTGCAGAGAAAAGACTGCAAAATGGTTATTCTCTCAGTGTGTTCTCAGAGTAAGTTTTTGCTTTCATTTTGCAGAAGGAATTATGGAGAGCCTTCAAGAAATATACTCTTAAAATTTCCTCTTGCATACTGTCTCATCCCCACTTGCTGTTGTCAGGTGTTATGCATCTTATTAGCATAATATTTAAAATAATTAAATTTAGAGTAACTGAACTTTCATTGTAGTATGAGCTGTGAAATTAGACAGCTGCCTATATGAGCCAAGGTGACATTAAGCTAAACTATCAGTTGGATTGATGTCGGAAAACAGTAAGTTTTAGAAAAACTTGCAAAATTTAATGTACCCGTGATTTTTTTAAACAATTGTCTTGTATGTTTTTTGCTTCAGTGTTAAGTGAACCAGAGAGAGGATCACTGAGTATGATTGCCACTGTTTTTGACAAACTCAATAACGAATATAAGAAATACCTGGAAGCAGAACAGACTTACAATATGGCAAGTTAAAACACTTTTCTTAAAAGTTACATCTTATATCTTTTGATTAGCAAGAATGTCTCGCTCACTAATTTGACATTGTTTTTCAGTACAGATTAGATCTAAAATGCCTTCTCTATTTTTCATATAACATAAAGCTATAGGGTTCCCACTGCTGTCACCAAAACATCAAACACTTGGTCTTAAGATATCTTTATTAAAAAAAGAACAAACTCTGTTCCTTATTCAATTAGAAATATTATAATGATAGCATTTGTCTTTTTAATCAGCCTTGAAAGTATGTTTAAAGTTGTGAGCTTACGTGGACTCTGGGGGATGGTGGAGGACAGAAAGGCCTGGAGGAATGTTGTCCATGGGGTCGCGATGGGTTGGACAAGACTTCACGACTAACAACAACAATGTTAAAGTCACAGTTCTAGCCTAAGCTTGACCTGAGACACTTTTTAGCATTACTATCTTACTGCTCTTTCTGAAGTATGCTATATTCCAACAAAGTGTTATCTGGTTATTTGTAGGCATTAGAAACTGGACAGAGCAGATGCAATCCACCTGCAAAACGGCCAGTCCGAACTCAAGCAGTTATTGATCAGTCAGACATGTACACTCATGTTTTGTCTGTCTTTACAGAAAAAAAGGTTGGTTAATTCAGAGACACTGAAATTCTGACTTCTGTCATAATTTATATGCTAGTTAAAATAGAGCAAGCTAGTTTTACTTAGTCATAGTTGAAGCTAATAACTAAAAAATGAAAAAACATGGGGAATGCTGGGAGTTATAAGACTTTTACTATAGGATTGCATCCTAACACTCCTAAAAAAGTAATCCTAAAAAATCTCTCTAATGCAACTAGAAAGTCTGACTATAAGGAAATCAGTTACTCAAAAAGAGCTAGGCATCAGATGGATAAACTGTTTGAAGTCTCTCCTTTAGTAAATTCTCCTTTCCTGTATAGGAAGCACCTCACAAGTTCACTATTGCTGTCTTAATGGAGTATATTCGTTCACTCAACCAGTTCCAGATTGCTATTCAGGTAAAAAAAACCTAATAGATCCTTAGTTAGAATAAGCTTTGCTGATGATTGCTATACCTTCATTCACTTCATCTCTCCTCTTCTCACCCCTTCTTCTATAGTTCTTCCTTAAAGCAGTTTTACTAGTTTGCGTGTAATAAAGTAGCATGTTTTATAGGCTGCATGAGATGATATATAAACAGTTACTACCAGATAATTAATAGGGATAAATTGGAGGCCTTACTCCTACAAACGTGGAGCACTACAGAGGGAGCTCGGTAGCAGTGGGACATCTGGTGGAGAGAGCAAAGCAGTAGCCCTAGGAAACTTTTCTAGCCAATGCAGAACTCCTGGCTAGTGAAACCCAGTGACACACACTAAGGTTGCTACCAAGTAATAGAGGTTTCCTGTTTGCTTGCACATACGCTATATAAATGTATGCATACACAGCTGGATCAGGCCTAAAGATAGTATGGGTTTTAGGTTTCAACCCAATTAAACTGAACTCAAATATTGTATGCTTATTAAATGCAAGTGGTTTTGTAAGAAAACCCAGTTTAGTGTTCTCTATGAGGGTCTGGTTTACTGCTAGGAAGTTTAAAACTTGTTCAGTCTCTGTTGTCAAGCAGGGGTGGGTAACATGTAGCCAGTAAGAGGTCAGGGAAGTCAACAGAGCCTCCCCAGCTTCCAGAAGTTGCCCATCTCTGCTATACTTGCTTCAGAATAGCGTTTGGATTCAAATGGGGTCATACCTAGAGACCTGTAGATTTTAAATGTTAGTCTGTAGTGACTTCGCAACTAACAACAACAACAACTGTATCCAAATCAATTATTACTGCTTTTGAAAATTAACAATTCTCTGAATTAAGTTTAGGTGTTCTTTTCAGTTATATTTGTTTTGGTTTTTCTTTCTAAACCAAGATGATATGTATCTGAATAGCTAAGCATTTGCTTAGATGCCAGTGTTTAAGCAACAAACTTTCTTTTCTTGCCTTCTTAGCACTATCTTTATGAATTGGTTATCAAAACCCTTGTGCAGCATAACTTATTCTATATGCTTCATCAGTTCCTGCAGTACCATGTTCTCAGCGATTCAAAGCCTCTGGTAAGTTTTCTCTCTTCATTATACGTTTTTATTGCTTCCTCTTTTAATTCCATCCTGCTCTTTCTTCAGTGAACTCAACCATCTATGTGGGATTATTCTGTTTTCCCTGCATGATAGCCATGCAAATACTTAAAACTGAGAGATAATGACTGGGGAATCCCTCTCCCTTCAGTGTGTTCATTGCTGAGCAATGCTTTTTGGTTTGATAACCAAAGTGTGTGAAATACTAGATACTGTTGGACTTGTCTCATTTCAGGCCTGCTTGTTACTGTCTCTAGAGAGCATTTATCCTCCTGCACACCAACTCTCCCTGGATATGTTAAAGGTAGGAGTAACAGGCTGCTTCCCTTTCCCTGGTTGTTGCATATACAGATGGAAAAGCACTGGTGTACTGAAGATGCAAAAACAGACTGTAAATAAGTAAAGGTTCTATCTTAAAAGCCAGAGTATGGAAGGAAACAATTCTCCTTATCAATTAGAGTTAATTGTGGCTTTCATTAGCACAGCAACCACTCATTACATTCACTTCTGTTTTCAGAGGCTTTCTACCGCAAATGATGAAATAGTGGAAGTTTTGTTGTCCAAGCATCAAGTATTAGCTGCCTTGAGATTCATCAGGGGTATTGGAGGACATGATAGTATTTCTGCCCGCAAGTTCCTTGATGCAGCAAAGCAGACTGAAGATGAGATGCTCTTCTATACCATATTCAGGTTCTTTGAGCAGAGGAATCAGCGATTACGTGGGAACCCTAGCTTCACTCCAGGTAAACAGGAATTTGAGAAGGCAAACAAAAGCTTGCCAAGAATGTCAAAAGAATTGCATTCAGCTTCTGCCTTTCTGAAAAGTTTATTAAGCAGGATGGGGCCTCTCACCCCTCTAATAAGTTTGGTTAGACCCAAGGGTCAGTGGTAATGTTTTGCCTTTCTAGCTATTTCCAGTTCTCAGATTTCATTTCTGTTAAACAGGAACATTTTGGACCCCTCATCCGAAGGGAATGCTATCTAGAAAACTAGTTGTGCTCCTACAAAAGGTTAGGACACAGGGTTAAGCCATTTAAATGCAGATTAGCAAAACCTTTATAAATGTATTAACGGAACATTTGAGGTATTCATACACAGTCTGGCATAAGTTGTTGTCCTATAAGTTATCAAGTGGATCATGCATATTTAACTCCTTATTTGACAGTGATCAAAGAACACATTATATTGTTAGAACTCCCAAAAATAAAGCCAAAATAATATGCTCCTATTTCTGCAGTAAAGGCACTGTATCTGCATTTTGTAATCTGAGGCTCATTTCAAAGGAACCCTGCTGAAACATGACAGGGAAAGGACAACATTAACTAAAATATCTGGAACAGTTTCCAGGTGGCATTAATTCATACAAAAGGCAATATTCCTGAACACCACATGGAAGAAAAAATCTCTTGCCCAAAAGACTGCTTAAAAATTAGATTTAACTAACTTTGTTGTCGGATTACAGATAGTAGTAGCGTATATTTGATTTGAACAATTGTTTTAAAATAGGTGTAGTGGTTGTAGCCTTGTCAGCTTTTCTAGGAGTTACCTTTCTTCAGGCTCTGGAATGTTTTACAACGCTGACCATATCAAGTTACTACCCAACCACATAGCAGTGGAACTGCCAGGATTGGGAAAGTAGTACTTCCCCTAATTGTTCACTAGACTCTCACTTCTCTGCAGCAATCAACATGCTTTGTTCCTCAGTGTAGGGTACGTATGTCCTCATTTTCCTCTTTGAAGAATATTCTAATTATCTACTCTCAACTGATGAGAAACTTTAAATATTTAAGTATGCATTTCTACTACCCTACAATGTTTTACAAAGCAGTATGGATTTCTCAACCATTGATTTTAACTACCGTCATTGCACCGACACAGAAAACTCTGATTAGTACTGTTTTTCTATTTATACTACACATCTTGCAGGAAGTTGCTAGCCTGAATAAAATTTAACACTGTAGTTTTGCCAATAACGTTTTGAAGGCCAAGTGTACTTGTTAAGCGAAAAAAGACGGTGCATTTAGTGTGTGGTGAATATTAATTTTGGCTAAAGGAGGGCATGCTGCTTTCGTTCCCTTAAAATATTTAAAATCCACTTTAGCCAAGTACTTATTTAACAGACTAATTACATTACATCTGTGCATAGTACCTTGAACTACTTCCAGTTCACCAAATCTTACTATAGAAAGTTTTATTACAGACTATTTTAAGGTATAACTGTTTGTGCTTTGTGCTCCAGTTAGACTAGCTGCCAAGTTTGGAAGTTTGATAAGTGCATAGCAAAAGCAACAGTTTGTTTAAACAAAGGCAACTCCTGAGGTAAAAACAAATTAAAAATACTGGGAAGAGAGGGCAAAAATCTGTGGAATCAAACTTGAATTATCAGTCTTTAAAAAGTATAATGCTACTTTGCACTTTCTTTCTGTCTTGTAGGAGAACACTGTGAAGAACATGTCATATTTTTTAAGCAGGTTTTTGGAGACCAAGCACTAATGAAGCCTACCACTTTTTGAAGTAGTAAAGCTATTTCAATACAAAATATAAACTTAATTTATTGCATTTCTGTACTGATACTTTTGACCTTCAAATCCTATTTTATAATAAAGTATATATATATAAGACCCTTTGGCAAATATTAAAAATATTACAATGTTTTAACCAATGGCTTATTTTTTCCCTAAAAAATAGAGCCACAAATTTGCATTGACTTACATTTAAAAAACTGTCAGTGGTTCTGCAATCTATTCTCATACATGTCATTTTAAATTTCATCAGGAAAGTTATTTATGTAATGGAACAACAGCCGTTTACAAGAATGAAACTATATTAAATAATGTATAATCTTGTTAATGTCAGTAATACTGATACTTGTGAAGTTTGTCCATAGTATTTCCTGAGTCCAAACTCTCCAGTACTACTGGTCCTCTTGCTTTTAGATAGACATCAAATCAATCCAGTAGTTTTACAGTTGTGAGACAGTAGTCATAGAATTTGCTACAATTTATGATGAAGAGGGCTTCAGCTGGAATGAGTCCACTGACCATGTAGTTTAAAATGGCTAGAAGAACAGGAGTTTCTCTCTTTCTGTACCTTTGTTCCTTTCTTGTGCTGCACGTGCTTTAGCTTTATTTGCTGAGGGTCCTGAGGGAAAAAAGTAAGAATGAATTCAGAAATGTTCATGTTAGTGTATCTTAGGTTATGAAACAATCCATCTCACTTAGACCAAACAGTGTCCAAGTAAAATCCATGTACCAAAACAATCTCAAAAGGTGCTTGCTACTTAATGCAGGATAACTAAAGAGACAGCAATGTGAATTATATCCATGAATACAAAAAGCAACTGTGTTCTAATGAACATGACAAACTTTATATATATCATATTCACATAAAATAATTGAAGGCATCAAGTTGCTCAACACAGAATAAAGCTTAAGCTACAGTTGCTTGCTTAGTTGAGAACAAGTACTATTTTCTGTGTTCGGGTATTACAGTAAGCTATCGTGTAGTTAGTCTAATAACAATGTGGCATGAAAATCCCTAAAATTCTTCCTTGGAATGATTCCAGAAGCTTGTGATTCTGCTTTTAATAAAACAGTTTCCCGTGTCATTCGGACAGGGAATTGTTAGCTTAATCAAACAAGTCAGATTCTAACATTAGTCTTCAAATTAAGCATACATAGTTAGTTGCTCCAGAGAATACTGCAAACCAAGGCTGAGACAAACCCTAGAGGGATTCTTCTGTCTGACTTTTTCAGACACCCTCTCATGGTCAGCCCAGTCTTGCAAAGAGAGCCCAGCCAAGAGGAAGTCTGCAAATGCCCACTGAACAAAGCTTGTGCAACTGGCAACCTTCCTCCACATCCAGTGCAGCAGCCCAGGTGGCACAAGGAATCCAACCAATTCCCATCCCCAAACACATTTCCTGCTGCAAACTATAGTTAACTAAAAGTGGAAGTGAAGGCTTCCAAACTCTTCCTTGCAACCTCTTGATAGTGATGATGGGAAGAGTAGCATATGAACTCAGTCTTTCCAGGCCACGGGTTTTATGTGATGTTCAAATATGACATACAAATCTAATTTCAGGTTGACTCTTATCTGCATCAAGCAGCAGTATCTTACCGATATAACTAAGCAGGACAGGAAGAAATATTAATCCATGGGTTGCTCCAAGTAGCACCATTGCTAGATACATCCTGAAGTAGAAGATCTGGAAAATCTGAGACTTGGAAAAGGCAAGCACAACTATCCCTCCAAATTTGGTGAGAGTAATGCCACTGAAAACCTGCCAATATTAAAAAAAAGTGCTAAGTATGTGTCTAGTGGAAAATATACAACAAATTATAATTACTGTAATTAGTTATCGCATGTTCATGGAGACAGATGAACCTTGGGGCACCATGCAGTCTGTACCCTCCACATTTAAATGTCTACAGGTAGGAGATTAGTGGTTTCTACACTGCCATGGCAGCACAGGATAGAAAGGAATACTTACAGAGCTCCCCATGTGGGATAGTGCTTCTTCGGCACGCTCTGCTCTGGTTGCTTTTGTACTAACTGTGAATGCTCTTGTCACATGACTGCAGAACTCAACAGAAATGCCACAACTCTGGAAAAAAGACCGCAGGAATAGTTTATTAACACAGAATGTATCAAATTTAGAGTGTTCAATATAAGTGCAGTTAATGGTGCACACTGATGTTATGCACTTTTACTGAAACACAAATTCTACTGATATTGAAGTTTTTATATTGCAGGTATAGTTAAGAATTGTCCTAGAAATCTCTTCTGCAGCCCATCCCTCAGCTTAATTATTTTGAGGACATCATTCCTACTGATGGAGAACTCATTCCTCAAGTGCCAGTCTTTAAAGGTCTGTTTTATCTACGCTTACTGCATAACAGTATTTTAAGGCAGATGAAGATACTGACATTTTGATTGCTCTTCAGACCTATTAGTTCCCTACCATGAATCATCACACTATTGAGGGCATATAGTAGGGGGGCTCGCCAGATGTTCTGGCATACAATTCCTGTCAGCCCTTTACCAGAGTCTAGGATTGGTGGGAGCTGTAGACCAAAATGCCTGGGAAGAACACAAGTTGTCCCTTCCTGGTGTACAGCATTCCCAAACATTAGAGCACTGGTTAAAACTCAAGATGCAAGTGAATTTACCATGACAAGGTTGACTAATGAAACAGCATTCAGGCTGATACTCCAGAGCCACATCACTCCAAACATGTTGATCAAGATCATCGCAATGGTGAGGGAGACAATAATGGCAGCCCATATTTCAAAGCCAAGTAGCACCATTGTTACCAAAAATATTGATCCGAGGGAAATACCAAGGTTAAAGATGGTGTCATTCACAATAGTCAGATATTGTTCATAAAAAACATAGAACACACTATAAGAGAACAGAGACATGTTATTAGCAATGTGAACAGACAAATGGAAACAGCATTTCAGCACTTTTTTTTACAACCACCTGGCTTTCTCAACTTAGAAGGTATAGGATTAATATCGCAACATTCTAGAAAGCTTCTATAGCTGACGATTTCTTGGGCTAGAATCCTCCTACACCATTATAGAACATGCATAGTTCACATCCAGGCCTCAGTTCTTCTGAGCCAGGTCACTGCGGCTCCAGGACCCAAAGGATCCTCACTATCAACATCAGTACAAACAACCACACACAGCAAGAATGCATACATGAGTATCACTGATACTAAAAAAGGGGATAATGGGCACATTTGTATGAATGCACAGACGAGCACATAAAGAACCACTGTCACAGGTAAGCAGTTTGCCTGTGTGCTTCAAGATCTCCATCACTCGCATGGGCAAAGAGCAAGCTGGCTTGCTAGCAGCGGGACATAATTACTGTAGCAGTGAAGAGAGTATCACTCTCCTAACGGTCTGCTCTGACACAGACATCCAACTTACAGTATTTGATGATTGCTGACAAGGCAGTAGCCTTGCAGGATTCTGGAAGAGGAACAATTGCTCCAAAAACAGTTGAGATTGCTATTCCACTCCATTAAAGTTCCAAGCCAGATGACTGAGAAGAAAGGGCAATTTTCTGAACTACCTAGAATGCAGGTCTTTGGGAAGAAGCTGGGAGCCCTTTAGTTCTGCTCTCATAACACAAAATTCTGTGAGACTCACAGAACAATTTAGTTCACAACCTGGAGAATGCAACTGCCTGTCTAATGTTAAGGGTATTAGAGCAAACTTTAATACTAAGGATAGGAGACAAATGAAGGCGGATAATATAACAGGAAAACTTGAAACTACCTTTGGTAGGAAAAGAATGGTCAGGCTGAAGCACCATTTTGTCTTTGTGAAAAATCATACAGAGAGGGTCCACCTGAAGTTCATGCAATTCACTAGCACAATGACCAGACATGACAGCTACTTGAAGAGCCACTTTCTATGCTAACAACGTTCTATCATATTCAGAGGCTTAAATGGCTTTGAAATCAAACCATAAAGGAAAACGGGAAACGTCACGGTGGTGCCAGAAATCAAACTGGTGGAACAACGTGCTTAAGTGTACAGAGACACTATTGGAGCAAGGGATAGAGGGGGAAAAAAACGGAAACCTACAGGAAGGTAGCATACTGAAATTACTGCCAAGTGAACAGGGAAATATGAAAGCTTGAGTTTCCTTTTGAACAGAGAAAGGATAGTGTATTACTATGTTAAGAAAGCCATTCCTGACAGCTTTAGGAACATATTTCATTGATACAGTGGCATGAATAGTGCAAAATGAGAATATTCAACACTATGGACATAATCCTCTAAATACCTCAGGGGAAAGAGAGCCATTTTGGAAGGGCATCAATATACCTGTAAGGGAATACACGGTAGTTACTCTCTTTGGACCTCATGGATTCAGTAATATTATTTGCTATCATCCGTGATTTCTTCATTGCATCAATGAAGTCTGCTGAAGATTTTAGCACTGTATGGTAAGACATGAAGTAAGTAGCTCCAATTGCAGTGTTATTGTCTATAAAGTTCACAGCAGAACTATATGCTGCATGTCCCCTGTAAAGAAAAGCACAATTAGCCCATAACTGAATGGCTGCTAGGTTGCTTCAGGCTAAAGGAGTAGCAGCATCAACCAAATAGTTTAACTTGCTTCTGTATCTTATTAGGTGATGGCACGACTAAATCCTGGACTGTGTTAACTAAATTTGACAGAATATGTATACATTCACTAATCTGGATATGTTAAGGGAACGCACTATTTTAGCAATGGTAGAAGCAAGGGTAACGCAGCAAATGCCATTTTGCTGTTCTACCTATCTAGGAAGGCATGAATAATGCAAATTATCATGGGTAGAAAATGGACAATAGCTCTTCTTTATCCCACTTATTCTGTTACCTTCCTCAGCAGGCCCTGATCAACTAACACCTCCTTTTAGTCAAAGGAAAACAGCTAGCACTAAAAAGATTGGCACCAAAAGAAGCCTGAAGGAAGGGAACCTAAAGAATAGGGCTGTAGAACCTTGGGCCCCAGAGATCAAATCTGGCCTCATAGGTCCCCCAGGGTTCCCTTCCCTTCTCTATTTCAGAATAGCAAAAGTATTTTAAAATGTTTTTGAAATGAATTATTTTATGATGACAGTATTTCTCTGAGTAAAGTTTACTTATAAGGAAATATATAGAAGTTAAGCACTTCCACAGTGATACATACCCTTTGCCACATTTCGGATTAGGGTTATCAGAGAGGAACATTGGGAGAAATTTCATGAAGTCTTTACCCTGAGGCCTCTGCTTCCCTTCTGGAGTCAGGGGCCGACAACGCACACAGGATGGGTTGACAACTGCATAAACATTGTTGGAAAGTATTCAAGTATATTTACTTGCTCTTGTCATACATAAAGAATGACTTTTAACATCAAATACAGTATTTCAGAATAAAAGATATACTTTCAGCAAGGAATGGAAATGCTTATGAAAAGTCCTACAATTCTTTGCCAGAAAGATTCAAGAAGGTACTCAACTACAGAAACTTATTCATTAGCTTGACTTCGTAAAAATATTTCAGCATCAACAGCTGCTAAAGTCCATTCATAAGGCAGGGTATAAAAAATAATGCAGATGGTCTAACAGCTCAGCACTATGCATTAATATAGGGCTTGCTGCCAGGTAAATGTGCAGCTACAGACTGCAATCCATGTTCAACCTAAATGAAAATAGTGTGAACTAGAAAGTCTGATACTTAGCTCCTCCAGTCTCTTTCCCTCCCCCTCTGAGATATCTAGAAGACCTGACAGATGGCCCTTTCCAAGTGAGATGGGCAAAGATCATCTTCACTGCTCCTCCTGCTCTGGACCAGGAGACTCACACCACTCTCTATAGGATTATGACCTATGTTACATGAAGTATCCCAGTGCCCAGAGTGACAGCTTCAAAACTATGCACTGCAACAATTAAATGTTTAGGTTGCCTCACACACTACATTATGTTTCAGTCATACCAAGCAGGTTAAAATTACTGGTATTAGCCAAAAATTGGTCTAATTTACATCTGCTAACAGCTATGAAATGGCTGCTTCCCAATAAACCACATGAACTGCTTCACATGGAAAGTTTTCTAGAGACAGTCATTGCATTTAAGTTATTTCTAAGCTGTTCGGGCAAAATACCTGAAGCATTGCAGAATTGTCCAGTGGTGTTATAGGTTCTGCAACAGGAAGACTGTGGTTTGACCCAGTCAAAATAGTCATCAATCCAAGAAGATGGAACATAACCAATTCTTGTGCTACAATATAAACAGAAGTCGGCATCTTTAGCCAAACTTTGTCAATATGCATCAAAAATGGACATTTTCCCACAAATACTACATTCACACAATGTAGTCTGGAGGACTAGCAATTCTTCTGGACTGGAAGGAGATACACTGATCTGCTTGAAGTGACATGACAACACTGGGAAATTGTGGGGCAGATCTCCCATGCCTCAGAGCAGGGGGAGGTGTTGGTGAGTTCAGATGGTGTTAGGAGGAAACAGCAGGGCTTGTTGATAGCCCTAAAGAATGCCAGGGACAATACAGGAGTGGAGAAGGAGGATGGTAAAGCAGGGAGCATGAGCTTTTGGGGACGATGGGCTTATTACAGGGCTGCTGGGCTAAGTGTCTATCAGGCACTTTGTGGGAGCTTCATAAAACAACCTATCCACCACAGCTTATTGTGAAGGGGGGTTGCTGTGTCTCGCCAACTCAGCCACATTATTTTAATTGATCAGACAATCACTGAGAAATCTATGACTCCTTCCTGAATTACAGAAGACATAATAAGGATTATTCTACAAGCTGGACATAACATCAGCACACAGTTATTTAACTGATGGATTGAAATCTAGATTCTCAAGATGTATGAACACATACTAACAAAACATGGTTTGTTAACCATGAACAAGCCAGAAAGAAAACCCATTGTTTCTTGCTGGATTGTGAACTCTGCATTGTTTAAACCATGGGATTATTGTCATGTGTGAAGCATGGGTTGTTTTTTCAGGCTACAAAAGCAACAAGCAAAAGTGCTGGGAAAAAAAAAAAAAACCAAACAATTACTCTACATGCCAGGAGAACTTCTTTACTGCTCTACACTTTAAAGGCATTTGGAATACAGAGAGGGACTGAGTGAAAGAGGAGGGACACAAACAACCCAGGGACTAAGAAAACAAACTAGGGTTCATTCAATCACCTGCAGACAAGTCCTTAACAGGACAACAAACTATGGGTTCAATAAATTGAGGGTTACTACAGATCAGATGCCCATATTATGGAGTCCTGCCATGTACTTACAAACGGCTCACCATGGTTCACTTAAGCCATTGGTGGGCTGCACTGAGTGCCACTGTGGGCAGGCAGACATTCTGAATAGTCAGTGCCTGGCTGCAGTCTTTTGTCTCATGTGAACCAGGAGCCATAGTTCATACAAGGATTAATCAACCCTTGCACAACCCCACAACAGCCCATTAGGGTTGTTTAACCACTCGCCAGCTCTGTTTGACATGCCACAAGTGACCACAAAATATTAAAAATGGGCACCTGTCCACACCACCATATATCACAGGCTACTGTGGCTTGCCTAAGCAGACTGTGGTAGGTTCTCTTATTGTGCAAACCATACGCGTAAGCACATGAAAAAATACAGTCAGTGTCCTTTTTCTATTCTAATACATTTTTGCTAAACAGATTTGCATGAAGTAAGAATTGTTCACTTACTAGCTACTAATATCTGCTGCATCAGATATTTGTTGTACTAGGGAATTGTTGTTGCATCCCATTCCACCACACACCATATTTTGCCCATCCAAAGTTGTATAGTTATGTCCTTCTTGTATCACAAAGTATACTGGGGGACCTGCGTGCAAGTAATTGCTGAGAGCGTTGAAATAATCCATCATATATGAGTCCTAATTAAAAAAGACGGAGGGAATATAGTTACCAAAAAGCATTTTAATTTCTACTATACTCATCTCTCTAACCCTGAGATAGGATGCGATCTCAGAGGAGGAGGCTAGTGATACTATTTTTCAATATTTTTGCTATATTTTTTTCTTTTGAAAAAAGGGAAAGGGAAAGACACATGGAAAGCACTTACATCTGGCATTGATAGTCTCTGATCCAGGCCAATCTCTACTTTGTGGACAACTGCAATGCTGAATGATAATATACCTACAAATATCGAAATCTGGAAAAATAGTAAATAGAAGCCTGGTTTAATTCCCCCAGAAAAACCCTGTCATGTACAGCTTCAAAGAACTTTGCACTAGCTCAATATTGCTGGAAAATATAAGCTTGCTCCTCCTTCAGCATATTAAGAACTAGAATTTCAGAATTAAAAGCATGACATGCATTGGCAGTGTGGTAGATTCAACAGTTAAAGGTTCTGTTTGAAAGTCTGAATTCAAAGAATTTACTGAACACTTTTTACTCTTTCAGGCTATTCAGACTACTGTGTAACCTATCCATTCAGGAAAAAGTTGTTTTAAAAGGAGATGATTAAATGTAACAGCTATTAAGGGCACAATGCTATGGGTGCTAGATGCTCTCAAGACAGCCATAGGAAAAGGTGGAGTCCCAGCTTCAACTTCAGAAAAGTGCTCTGAGGTCAGAGTCAGGACTCTGGCACTCACTCTGTCTACCATTACAGCCAGTGTGGTTCTTTCCATGCTGGCTGCAGTTCCAAAGCTGGAAGACTGACTTCAGAGCTGGCACTAGTGGAGCAGTGGGGACAAACACAGAGGGGAAGAGTGAGGCAGTACGCACTACAGCCTTGTCCAGAATCTTGGCAGTGCTTCCATTGCCCCCTGCCCAAAGTAGAAACTTTTAGTCCCTCTTAGACATCACAGAATACTTACGATGATTGGTCTCATCCAATCTTTCAGAAGAAATGGAGAATATATGTTTTTGAAGAATAAAAACAACACATTTTCAGAGTTCTGCACAGTAGTGACTTGTTCACTACCTTTAATGCAACAGAGGATATCACATCGATTTTTCTGGAAAATGAAATGCCAAAATGAATGTGATTCAGCTGTGGGGCAGTATAAAAGGAAAAAAAATAATTGCTCAAAATAAATATCCAGAAATTATGGACTTACTTCTTGACGCTTAATGTCCAAACCCAGTAAGCTTATGAAACAGGTAATCTGAAGGAGAAAATCAATGAATACAGCGACTGCAGCAAAGAGGGAGAAAGTGCGAACAGCAGGCATAGTAGACAAACTCCCTAAAAAAAAGAGAGAAATGAACAAAAATGTTGCATGCTTTCACTATATTTACACAAAAAGTTATGTAAAGCTCATGCCACACCCTAGTTCCCATTTAAGACAGCATGCTGAAGACTTCCTTCCATATATGAATGACAGAAGGTTGCCTCAATACTATTTAAGAAAGAAACATGTTTAAGGACAAGGGGTCTCAATAAAGACCCTCATCAGGCAAGATATTTTAGTTTAAGTGATACAGATTCATAAATAACCACAAAATAAAACTTGTGTTATCATTTCGTTCCACAAGAGAGCCCCCTTTTACCTTTTTGACCAGCAGTACATTTATTGCATGATTATTATTACCAGTAAACAACAAAAAAACAGATAAAGAACTATGGCTCTCCACTATAGCAAGATCCTGGCAATTTGTTCTTTAGGGATCAGTGTATCTAATATACAATTTGCATGTTATTTATCTACCATACCTCACCTGTTTGTGGGTTGAGCCTATATCTAGGGGTTAGAAATACTGCCTTTGCAAACAGAATATTCTAATTAAACAAACATGCATTTATAACGTGGTGAAGTATTTTCATTTTTCTCCACATGAAAGGAATGAACAAAGCACAAAATACATTAAAAGCCGACATGTAGAAAAATTAAGAATGCTTACCCAAGAAGAAAGCCACTGTCTCTGAGAGTGATGAAAGGAACATGCTAGGAGCCACATCTCCAAGGATTCGGCCAATCTGCTTATCTAAGGTTTCACTTTGCAGGCGTTCATCTCTCTGGAATTATAACTCAGTTATTAGAAATTAGAACCAGAGAAAGTCTTTCAAAAATCTAGAACACAAACTTCTCTATTCAAAATATATTTAATGTGGCAAACCAACAAAAAGAGTCTCAAATCTTCTTTAAAGATATTGCAGGAATCCAAAATAAGGCCACAGTTTGTGAGCTCAGGTCAGAGCAAAAATGCTGGATGGAACAGAATACTGACCTCACTTACTACGATTATTCATATGTAAGTTATACTTGAAATAAATTCATCAAACATTCTAAACATCACAAAAATACCTGAAATGTCTGAACAATGATGAAAATGTTGTCTACTCCAACTGCCAGCACCAAAAATGGAATGACTTCAATAACGATCAGTGTTATGGAGACTCCAAAATAGCTGAAGATACCCAGAGAACAGGCAACTGAACTCAGTACAATCAGGATGCCTGCAATGCCCAATGAAACTTTTGAGTCCACCTAACAAATGAAGATACAAAACAAAACATTAAATATATTTAATATAATTCTTATGAATGCTTAAGCTTTATTTATTTTATACACAAACACACACACACACACACACACACACACAAGCAATCCTGAAGTGAGCCTCTTGACCATATGTTATCATCAAGAGAGCTCCTTTGGAGGGTTATGAAAAACTTTTTGCTACTGTAATCACAGATTAAACTATAACTTACTGCCCAGTCTGCTTTTAGTTTTCCATAGAAAAAACAGTTTATGCATTACTATCTTCATCTGAACACAGGCATCTTACTTAAAGTAACACAGTGCTGTCATGATAACTTTAATGCTTTGATGCTAAATTCCAATATAGACTCACAGTTTATTTGTTGATTTTAGTCTCTTTTTTAAAAAAACTCAAAGCAAAATTATTAACATACAATACAGCTAACAGTATTTAAATTTTTAAACCAAAACTACTGATGCATAAAAACATCATATGCCTTCAAATCCTAATTCAACAAATGATTCAGAAATCTTTTGCTGGATCAGGGGAAGGGTTATTCTGAAACTGAACATAATCTTGCACTTTTAGTACTTTTAACTCAGAATGAACTTACATCCAATGCAAAGCAGGATCATGAGCAATGAGTTTATAAAAGTGTTAATATACCCTTAACATGAAATATTTAGATATTCAAAAAAAGAAATGGGATAAAATGAACAGCATGAATATTTCAGCTTGTTCCCCATATAAAAGTAAAAATGTTAAGGCAAAGAAAAAAGATTACAAATATGTAGAAGACCTAAAATTTTTAAAATCTATTAATTTTAAAATCTTTAGTTCTTTTAAAAATTTGCTATAAAATTGCTTGTCAACAATGATAAAGATGCATACCAAGAATCTAGCAGCACTTTTGATGTGTCCCAGAGCTATGGATATGTATATAAACATGACTAAATAGCTAATTACAACAGTTCTGGCATCACTATTGCTTTCCCGGTTTATTTCATCTTCAATGCTACGTTCAGCAGAGAAGGAAATGGTTAAATTCGGGTTATTGTAGTTTTTCACAAAGTTGATGAATCTGAAAAACAAAGAACAAGTCATTGATTTCTTAGAAAACCCCTCAAATTTCTTATCAATTACTTTGGCAGATCTTCAGGGCAACCTTGATCAACATTCTTTCCAATTTTTTAAATGTTATTTATAACATGTTGCATGTTTTGATGAAAAATATGCTGACTGGGACGTAGCATTCAGCCATTTTAAATGCTGAAGACACCACATTTTCCATATGTTCCAAATTAACATAATCTTTTGAATTCTAAACTTAGACCCATTCATGGTTTTAGAATCATAGAATAGTTGAGTTGGAAAGGGCCAAGAAGGCCATCGGATCCAACCCCCTGCTGTTGCAGGACACCAACTCACACCATTCCACTCAGATGGTTGTCCAGTTTCTTTCTGAATGTCTACAGTATGGGAGAGCCACCACCTCTCTAGGCAGCTGGTTCTACTGTTGTATTGCTCTGATAGTAAGGAAGATTTTCCTGGTATCTAGCCTGAAACATACGAAATTTTCTGGTGGACATTAACTTGTTCTATTTGCATGGGAAACTGCTTGTGAAAATTATGTCAGATAAAGAATTAGTATTTTATTTAACAAGGTGATTTCTGAATAATGCAAGTAACTCCCTATCTGAGAACATAATGAAATCTTTGCATGACTTTGAGGTGGGGGAGGGTGTAACACACCATGAAGTTGATCTTTGTTACTACAGGGTGTGGCAGAAATACCCCCCACATTTTAAACTTTCACCTATGTGTCACTAATGAACTTATGCAAGTGCCAGTGATGTCTTCATTTAGCTAATGACTTCCCTTTTTTTTATATACCCACATCTAGCAATATGGTTTGGACTGGTGCACAGTGTGCTTTTGCTGTAGAAACGTTTTTGAAGAATGGTGAATCTGTAATTGCAACACAGAGAACTTTTCAAACTCATTACATGTTAGGTCAGAATGCTGTTCCGGACAGAAAAACAATATTACTATGGGTTGCAAGTTTCAGAGCCACAGGTTCAGCACTGAAAAGAAAGCCACCTGGAAGACCTCAAAGCGCTCGAACTCCAGAAAGTGTTCAAGCTGTGAGACTTTCTGTTACTCAGTCTCCTACATGTTCAACTTGTAAACATGCTTCTGTCTTGGGATTGTTGGACCCTATTTTTCTGAGGAGAGAAACCACTTGGTTACAGTAACATCTGACCGGTATGTGGAGATGCTGCAGACATTTCTGGAACCAAAAGTAAACGATCTTCACAATCAGGATGTGTGGTTTCAGCGAGATGGAGCCACCCCACACAAAGCAAGAAGACCAATGGAAGCTCTGAGGGAAATGTTTCCAGGATGTTTGATTTCCTTACGCGGTGACACTGAATGGCCTGCATGCTCGCCCGATCTCAACCCCTGTGATTTTTTTCTCTGGGGTTACTTGAAAGCAGAGGTCTACAAACATTGACCATGTACCACTGAAGAATCAAAGGATGCTATTCGTCAAAAGATTGCAGAAATACCACCTGGAACGACTCTTTGAGTGATGGAAAACTTCAGAAATCGTCTACAACAGTGTATAGTGAATAGAGGCCACCATTTGGAGGATGTAATTTTTAAAACCAAATGAATAAAAACTGTAACCCTTTGTTTAAACAATAGTGAAATTAATTTTTAATAAATGTTGTTTCTTTTTCCTTTTTTTAACTTTTAAAATGTGGGAGGTATTTCTGCTGCACCCTGTATTTTAGATTATCTTGCATAGGATAACTACTTATCTCAAAAAGATGGAATTTACATGGATTCAGTTAAGCCTCAATTAGAAAGACTTACTCCTGTTCCCATGCCAGAGCTTTCATTAGCTTATCTGTGTCATTGTAGTAATTCTTCACAGGAAAAGTGATCACAAGAGCTGTAGCATTATTGTAATTTTCACCTATACATTAAAGAAGAAAATTCATAAGAAACTATACAAGATATTTTTCCAAACAGCTCATAAGCAATCTCCTCAGTATGCAAATTCTCTCTCCTAAGTAGATTGTCTAAATCTTTCCTCATATCACTTTCATAGCGCATTCTGCTAGATGTGACCCATTTTATTTACTACCAAAAGTAGATATCTTATGTGCTGATCTAGGTCTATACTTCAGGGTGTAAGTCCAAAGGATTTTAGTGAAAGTTGCCTGAAAATACTTGGGGCCAACTACTTGCCTTCCTTCTGTTTGCTCCCACTATTACAGACATTGACCACAGTAACCACTACGCTGCCTATACGCACATGCACTACAGTCTTTGGCTCTTTAGAAATTACTTCATTTTCCTTCATTTGCTGGTATAACTATTTCCTTTCAGTATGCATGCTCAAAATTTGAAGCTTATGACTTTTAATTCTAATGGCACAGAATCAAAGATCATTATTTAGTTCAAAGGATACAATAAGCAAATGCTGGACGGAGAGTAAGAATACCAAAATTTTCTATCCAGCTGATCTAATATAAGGTGTTATTACGCTTGATAACAAAGAAAATCCAATGTGCAACTCGCATGTCACTTTCTGCTTAGCATGTTATATCTTCCTCCAAAGCAGCATGACATGCTACCAGACAAGTTCTGCCACCATATTAAAAAATTGCAAAAGGAATGTGTAATTGTTCATAAAATTTGGGACATAGGGCTGAATATGAAGGGCATGAATATCCAGATAGGGATTGAAAATCACTGAAAACTGCTCTAAAGACATGTTAATAAGTCAACTATGCAAATCAACAAGGCTGCTTTGACACATTATGCTTACCATCGTATCCTCCCATCACCAGCCATGGGAAGACAGGGCCACCAAATGTTCCCAAGCATGGTTCATGAAGCAAGGTCGTGTCATTCAGCGATGCTGGAGCCCTATAAAATCATGTATAATATTGCCAAAATGTGTAAGCATTTATTACTCATGAAAATACTTCAGTGAATCACATTTTATAAATCCAGCTATTTTCTGATAGTATGTTGAGCATTACTCAACCATAAAAAAACCCTTATGTATCTTCTAGTTTTGACAACACAGATATTGATCGGCAATATTTCTTCAAGTGAAGGCTCATTTAGTTTGGAATGTATTCTTCACTTCTCAATTCTGTTTCTCATTTCTTGCTTAACACTTCAATCCAGCAACATACTTTCATCAAAGTCACTTCCAAGAAAGCAATCGATCTTCATTTCCAAATAAAGGAAATAAGCAATAAGCTTTCCAAATAAAGGAAAAGGATCAGATCATGCTTTAACTGATATTTAGCAAGAGTCTCTCAGTTCAGACATAATGGAGAACTTGAACTAATACAAAGCCAGAATACATGCTCCAAAGGAGCAAGAGAGGAAAGGACACAAGGGTTGAATGCTTGCTGCAGCCCTTGTTTCTAAATCAATAATCCATTATTTATGGAGCCTCAAAGAACTGTACAAACTATGTCTGCTTATAAGTTTTGCTTTAACACGCTAGAGAATTTTTCTCTCAAGCAAATCTTTCAGAAGAGGCAGCTGGTAACCAAAGAAAATGGAAGTCACCTGATGATGATGATGATGATTTAAACTGACAGGCAACAGCAGTTGTGAAGCAGGACAAGTGCTACATTAAGGGGGAAGTATTGTCACTGTACTTACCGGACACAATACAAGAAGTGAGCATGGTAGTCAGCATAGGTCCACCAGGCATCAGAAATGTTATTATCTAAGACAGAATGACTGTTCTGGAAATAGTTGAGCACACTCAGAATAGTGCAGTTGTTGTTGTAAGGAGCAAGAGGAGCTAGGCAAATGTCCTTCAGTGTTACGGTCTCATTATTATAAGAAGCAGTTATATTTTCAATAGCATTCTGCAAGTCTAATACCTAAAAAAATAAGAAATCAAAAAAGCATTGTTCCTTTAGCATAGACACAGGACAGAATCTCTTCTACAGGTTTCAACAATGCATCTTGTTCCATTGAAACCAGATCATAATGAATGAAGCCAACTATAGTTTACATTTTAACATCTTTGCTTGCTTGCTAGTTGCGAAGTTGTGTCCGACCCATTGTGAACCCATGGACAACACTCCTCTAAGCCTTCCTGTCCTCCACCATCCCCCGGAGCCCACTTAAGCTCACAACAACTGCTTAGTGACTCCATCTATCCACCTCATCCTCTGCCATCCCCTTCTTTTGCTGTCAGTTGTTCCCAACATTAGGGTCTTCTCCAGTGAGTCCTTCCTTTTCATTAGGTGGCCAAAGTATTAAGACTGACTGGTTTGATCTCCTTGCACCAAAAAACCCAAGCATGAACACCACATTTTTCTGCCTCCAAGTTGTGATAAAATATATTTCCAACAAAGAGTCTGAATCAGGTTAAATAGAAATAGAAATTTCATAAAATTAATTTTACTGTATAATATTGCAGCAAAAGAGGGTGTGGGTGGTGCAGTGGTTTAAACTGCTGATCTGCTGGGCTTGTCAATCAGAAGGTTGGCAGTCCTAATCCACAGAACTGATTGAGTTCTCGTTGCTCTGTCCCAGCTTCTGCCAACCTAACAATCTGAAAGCATGCAAATGCGAGTAGATGCATAGGAACCACTTCAGTGGGAAAGTAACAGCATTTTGTGTACCTCAGCATTTAGACATGCTGGCCACATGACCACAGAAAGTGTTTGCAGACAAACACTGCCTCCCTTGGCTAAGAAATGAAGATGAGCACTGCCCCCTAGTGTCAGATGCAACTGGACTTAATGTTGAGGGGAAACCTTTACCTTTACAGCAAAATCAGAAGGAGAACATGGATGTTCTCTATCATCATGAGGCTTATTCAGCTAAGATTAAAGTATATTTAATATACCTGTATCAAAAAGTAGTTTTCAGCAGGCATAAAGGAAGCCACAGTCTGGAATTTACAGGAGCTGAACAAGACTGTCATGGATAAGACATTTTGAAGAACTTTCATTAATAGTGTCTCCGTAAGTCAGAGAGGACTTGACAGCACATAACATTTGACTTGCCAGACTGAAGAGTTCTTATTGAAGTGGCCCCCAGCTCTTAAGGTGATTTAACTAGGTGATGTCCCATCTTATATTGTGTTTCCATCTGATTTTTATTAACTTCCCCCTGGCCTTATCCTTCTGAGGCATAATCCATCTGACTCAACAATGTTCCACAGACATCAGGCATGATATTCTAGTGGTTGGCAAGGAGAGCAGTGGTGAAAAATTCAGCTTCTTCCTAACCTCTTCTTCACCTCTTGTCCCAACCCAGAAATTCATTAGACTAAGAATTTGTCATGCCTCCACTTGAGGAGTCTTCATCTACCTAGTTAAAAGGAAGCCCTGATTCCAGTGGATGTGTCAGAAACAAGAACTCAGGAAGCATTAGATAAAGAGGCAGGGCCCTTGAGGGTGAACAGGAAAAGTTAACTCAGGGAGACTTGGAATCTGACTTTGAGATAGGAAGACCACAGAGTCCCCACTGAATGCTATCACTTGAGAAGTAGAATAAATATTTTCCCTCAGGCAACCTGCCAGATTATATGCTAGGCTTGGGTAATTAACTGCAGCTGGAAACATGGTCATATCCAGTCAGGTCCTCAATAAAAGGTTTACACGCATGACAACAAACTGCTGGAAATAACTTCTAACCTGGTCTTTGCACCTTCGATCTTGCTCACTGATCTTTGCCTTCCTTATTATGACTGAACTCCATGCATAACTCTGCACCAAACCCCAGTGCCGAACCTCTACGAAATGGACTGATATACTTGTTTAATTAAAAACCTGGGTTGGATTCTGACTCTGTCTGCTCCTTTGGAAATTCTACCATTGATTGACTGTTTTATTATCATGTTTATCTATACCACAAATTAGCTGGCTGAGTTTTCAGCTTTACTGCTGGACACCACTTTGAAGTCAGGCTTAAAACAGGACATAACTACTGATCACATGCAAGAAAAGGTTTTGTTCTGGGAACCCAACTTTCACCTGCAATCAGTAAATGTGAGAGAAGGCAAATTTTCCTATTACCTGATGCAGAATAGGCTTGGTAAGTGGAGGGCCAAAAGGAACATCAGATCCTGTTGGATAGGGAGAGTATATATCTGGCTTGGTATTTGGAGCTTGAATAATTAGTTGTTCAGTACGGAAGAAAGGTCCAAAATGAGTATCAAAGTATTCCTTCTCATTGCGAACTTGACTATTTGGAGATGACCAAAGGTCTACAGGATTTGTGGTTAATTTGAGAAACATGAGGCCTGAGGAACACATGGCGATAAAAACCAGGGAGAAGAGAATAACAGGTCTTGGGTTTCGAACACAGAAAGCTCCCCATGATGAGAATGTGACTCTTAAAGCATTCTCAAACTTCTCACCAAGACTTTCACACCAGGTAGCTTCTCCTGAAAGAACACATACAGAATGAATAAGATTTTAATTCCCAACACCAATAATACCTTTAAATAGATTAGGAGCTTCCCAATATTATTTATGTACTTGCTAAAACAAAGGAAGATAAAGTTGCTCAGATGAAATGAAAAAAGAAAGCCATGATACTGTTATGCTTGATTCAGCTATTATAAAAACAAAAACAAACAAACAAAAAACAGGAAGCCTGGTCTTCAACACAATTAAGTACTGGTGGGAAGAGAGAAGCATTCTAAGGCAGCAGGCTTCTTTAAGAACCAATTATTTATATTACTTTTTATTATTGAAAGTAAAAAAGTAAAACATGTGAGAGAAGAAAAAACATGATACATGTTGTCAACCCATGTCATAACATTCTAGAACTTACCAATATTCTGGCGTGAGTTAACAGAATAAGCAATGTTGCTGTCAATAGGTGTGTATTCAGAAACGAAGTGCCTCTTCCTATAAATGGGACAAGCATGGACAATATAATTTAGGAGCTCATTCCTAGTTTTCCTTTTACTTAAATTTGTGATAAAGTAGATTGCAATTTACCAAAAAAGATAAAAGATGTATTTAGCCATATATAATGAAAATAACCATAATATGCAATTGAGAAAAATAAAAAGATCTTTGATCACATATATTTAAGTCAATCTGGTAAGAATGTTAAGTTATGAAAATTGCACTACTACCCAATCTTAAAAATACATTGAGCTGCAATGGAATTTTGAATGGCATAGTTCCTGAAGCATTTTTGCAATTCTTCAAAGACCACATGCTGGATCCAGAAATGCCTCTCAAATGGTTGAGGAATTCTACTGGCAGAACTGGACTTGGGTTTTTATCCTCTCCCGCTGCCCCCAGCCCCATATCCTCTCCTATGTAGGGTTGTGAGCCTCTCTGGAGAAGATCCGCAGGGCATGTAGAGGAAAGAAAGGGCACAGAAGTTCAGGGCCAACCTAAATAATGTGTTGACTTCAACTGCATATCAAGTAGTTTAGCCAAATTGTCACCAAGATAGTTAAGACAATCCTGATCCATAATCATTTTTGTAAACATAGGAATAGAAGAATTATTCTGTATAAGACCAAAGTCCTATATAGTCCAGTATAGCATTCCCAAAGTGATCAACTAGATGCTTTGGGTAAGCATGCAAGCAGGGTAAGTGCAACAGAACCCTCTCACTTATGAGAGCAGAATGGGGTTCAATGTTTTAATGTTTCCACAGGGTGGCAAAACCCCATACAATAATTGCTCATTGGGAAGAAGGCTAGCTGGAACATTTTTTTCTTATTGTTTGATTCTTTGGATATCTTTATTGCACTTTTCAATAAGTGGTTTTTGAAACATACATCCCAGGTTTCTTTATTGCTTTCAGCTTTATTTAGAGCACAGCATGTAGTTTCAATACATTTTAAAGGGCTGACTTAACATATTGCTTAATGACAAATCTGTTACAAATTCCTATTATTCTCTCTTATTACACACATGCAAAAATCTTCCTCCTTCTCAGCAACACAGAATTATTGAATATACAAAGTCAGAATTTGCACTGGCCACACTGGCCAGAGGCTTCTACACATTCTCGTTTCATACAATGCTTTTATTTTGTCAAGCTACAAAGATGCAACTGTCTAGCATGAACCGGGTTTCTATGAGGCATTAGCGTTAGCAACTAGGAAAGAAAAATCCCATGACTAATAACAGTTCACAGGACATTTAGTTGTCTCATTTTTTGCTGCCTCTGTAGTTTCAGTCATAAGTGATACTGCTGAAGGTACACAGCGCATTATCCTCACTGAGCCATGCTCATTTTGCCTAAATCAATACTAGCACAAAATTGAGCCCAAGGTAAGCCAAATGGACACATTATAATGAGTCTCTCCGTGGCACCAGCCAACCCTGTTTACACTTATGTTTATCTGTCTAGGTAACAAGATTATCAATGTTCAGTTACTATAATACCATGTGCTGCACTTTTACATTTCAAAATGCTTTCTTAAAGAACAGGGAATGTTACCACTAGGTATAAGAAAATGTTACTGCCATACAAAGGGATGTCGAAAAGGTTTAATAAACAACATATTTTTTTTAACATTATACAAATTTCTGCTCAATCTTATGTTCTTTTCTAAAAATTGAAGAGAAATTCCTATTTACCTGTAACACCAGACTCCAAAAACTGCTGCAAAAAAGACAAGCAAAAATCCTGTGTAAGAGATCCACATGATGACATACATGGCATCCAAACCAAGCAAAAGCCAAGGTGCTGGAGGTGCAGGGGGTTGTGGCTTGGGGCCACAGACAACAGAACAATCCTGACAACTGCAGGATGCTGTGACATCATCCACTGACTCATTGCAACCTTTCGTAACATTGTTCATCGGAATCTTTCCATGGATAGGAACATCTAACGAGAGAAGTTAACACAAAACATAAAAAATGTGATGGAGCATATGATGGAGCCAAAAAAGAATCTAGTATGAAATATACTTCCTATGAGCTACAAACATATGACCTAGAATTAAAGTTGTCTTGGCACAGCAGTCTTCAAGAACCACTGAAAGAACAATATACTGACAGACCAAGGCCATAGATCTTCTCAATTTGGATGATAAGCAGTATTTTCCAGAACTGAATCTAATTTATAAGACTGGAATTAAGGTGCATATTTAGAGATACCAGTAACTGCCAAGTCTTTTTGGATAGTGATACCCTTAACCTTCTCTGCATGTGCTGACTTCTAGATTAGTCAAGTGCTAAGTATTTACCACAAGTAAATATTAAAAAATTTGTGTCGAAAAAAATCCAGCCAAAGTTTCTCTAAACTAATGGAATCTAATACCATGTATTGTATCTAATAATAGAATTGGTGCCATTTTCCCCCAGCTGAAAAATAGTTCAACCACTTATGTATTTCACTATAAGGCTGTGGTTCTCATGACTCATTCCTCAGTAAAAAAAAAAAAAAAGCATTTCAGAACATTTGTGTCTCCTACCTGAAAAAACTGGAATTATGTTGAAAGGAGTCTGACCATTCGTCTTACTAAACATATACTGAATCCAGTTGGTTGCATTGCATTCATTAACATCTTTTCCACACAACAGTCCCAATGCTTTAACATTACTTGATGGAGCTTCTACATCTTTACAGGCATTATACATAGCTAGAAAAGTGTGATTTAATAAAGAAAAGGACAAAGTTAATAACTCTGAAGAATACAAATATAGTTTAAGCCGAGTCAGCACCAGCAACAAACCGACTTTGAGTTTACAGCAAGGTAGCTAAAGATTAAGGCCTGTTTCACACACAATGCAAAACCATTGCTTAAAAAATCAATCAAATGTAATTACATGTGAATGAGTACATGCAGTCATTTCGCAGGAAGTTTAAAATCATCTCACAAGCTTCAGAATGGCAAATGATTCTCTCCACAGTTCTCCTTGAATTACACAGAATACATTTTTCGTTTCACCACTTTCACAAAATACAGAATGCTGTTTCTGGCTTACCCAGAAGTGAGTCTCATAAAGAAGGCAAATCTTGAGACAGAAGAGGTGAGGGTAAAATAATCCCAACTAAAGTTATGGGAGAAGCAGCAAAGGGATCTGTCTATATTTTCTTTGCTCTAATGAGGTGACTATCTTATGAAGGTTGGGATATTGGACAGCCATTGTGGTGTACTGGTTAAGAGCATGGGACTGGGACTCAGAGGATCTGGGTTCTAGTCCTTGCTCGGCCATGGAGCCAACTGGGTGACTTTGGGCCAGTCACAGACTCTCAGCTCAACCTACCTCACAGGGTTGTTGTTGTGGGGATAAGATGGAGGAGAGATGTTGTAAGCTGCCTTGAGCCCTTTGTAGGAAAAAGCAGGATATAAATCGAAACATTAAATAAATAAATAAGATGTGCTTTAGCTCAGATGAAGCCCAACATGGAATATTTTTAAAATATATTCAAATAGCTATTAAATATAGATTTAAAAATTGAAACCATTTGAAAATAAATTAGGAACTTTTTAAAGTACTTCCTCTAATATTAAGCAATCTAAATTAATTAATGCCTTCTACATACTATATTATGCGGGGATTAAAGAGGTTGGCAGGATGCATGGTTGAATACAAGCTAGAAAAAAGAACAGAGGATGGCATTTGAGAAACCTTTTCCAACCATTCATTGGAGTACTGGAGAAGAAAACAGTTGCCAGATTGAATATTCTGACCCAGATTACACTGTATCTCCTAAATTAGTTTTAACAAATAGGATTAATGACAGACCAGTTTATCCAACAGAATCATCCCCGCCCCATTAAAAAAAAAAAAAAACTCTTCAACAACACACGCACAGTTCACTTCCCCTCCTCAACTTAATCTTCTTTTCCATGCCAGTTGATGACTTGACTTGCAGATGAACCTGTTTAGCTCATTTATACATGCACACACAAAGAACTGCTTTTATAAGATCCAGACAGTGCGCAAAAATATTGAGAAGCTACAAATATTTGATTGCTTTACTTACCGTTGCTAAATTCTTCTCCAATGTAATATTGTAGCTCTGTGATACTAGTTTTATTTTCTTTTGTAACTGGATCATAATATGGCATTGTTTGTGTAACATTCAGAAACTCAGACTGATGAGGACTGCAGGTTAGCTCACAGAAAAGGTTTATTAAATTATAATAACAAGAAGGACACCTGAAGAGAGAATCAACATTAGGAATCTGTGTATATTACTTCTGTAAATGCACTGAAAATGTAAGATATTTCAAAAAGATAATGGGCCAGCTTACACAACATGAAAGCCCACTATGGACCACCATTTTCACTATGCAAAAATTAAACAACTCATAATTCTAGAACAAGCCACGAATTATGCAAGAAATGGTTAACCTAGGCTTGCTGGGTTCACATGACACAATAAATCCCAAGAGGATGTTGGATATGCTCATGGGTGACACGATTTGCCACAGTTTAAACAATCCATGATGAGCTATGCTCTGTTAACCTGGACAATATTTGTTTTCAAAGACGATAAGCAGCTCTTATGGCTCAAATATATTTTAAAAGTATACCCTTAACATTTGTGGATCCAAGAATGGCCAGCAAATTCTTCAGCTATGCAAATCTTAGTAACATTTCATTTAAAGAAACCCAACTACAGAATCCAGAACAGCAGTGAAAACAACAAGTTTTACATATCCTTACTCAACATCAGAGAAGTGGGGCATGCTCCCATATACAAGTACATAGGAGCCGGCTGGAGCTGGGGGTCAGACTAGATGGCCCGGGAGACCCCTTCTGACTCGCTCTGTTTCTATGCTTATTGCCTACGATTCAAAAACCACTGTATACTGTGTGTTTGCACCAAATACAAACCAGTGGCAACCTGAATTACAGACACACAAATATAAAGAAAACATATTAAAGGAACACTTCAACTATTGCCATTCACAGAACTGGTTTGTAGAAAATAATTATTCTGACAAAATGGCTAATGTCTCCACACAACTCACTGACCAGCCTTCAGAGAAAAGCTGTTCAATACATCACACTGATAGCATTCCACCATCAGATGAACAGAATAATATATGGAAAATCTTTGGGTTAAGCTAGATAAATTATTGTAGTTTGCATATATACATTTTCCCTTCATCTTTCTTAGGAAAATGAGTAACTACCTTCAGTTTATTTAAAAAGACAAGACAAAGATAACCTTCCATACAGGTACAACATGTAATGACTCAACACACTTCTCCTACTGACCTGGAAAGAAACTGCAGAGGAAGCTGCATGTTGTCTTTCAGAGTCTGAAGTTGCTCTACATCACAGCAAAGACTAACATTACCAAAGAAGAAACCTGGGCAGAGTTCCTTAAAAGAAAATTGAATATTTAAAGAAATGTTTTCAAAATTGATAAGGCAGTACCCATTTTTTCCAATGGTAGACTCTACACATTTGACTTGGAAAATACATCCCATTGTTTTTGGCCACACACTTCTGACTTAGTATCAGGGTGACTGCAAAATCAGTAAAATCATGCATCCTTAGAAATGTGAACCCATTGATATTAAAAGGTTCTGGTAATTTTATATGATCTGAAAACAAGTCACTGAAAACAAGAAATGTGCAGGCCAACTAATAAGGACAAGTTCAATAATCAGAATACAGATTACTGCCATGCAGTTAAAATTTTGTCTTATTTATAGTAACAACAGCATAAGGATTAACTGTTTTCATTGTGCTAAAAATGGTTAAGAAAAATATGGTTCTACCATGTTACCATTAAAATTCCTATTTTTAGCTGTAATTCACTGGAGACTTACTTGCAACAATTCATAGCCATCCTTTGGTAGTGGCAATGCTGGGCCATAATATTCACAATTGTACCTTTTATCTGGAAAAGCAATTCCACACTGGCCATACCAGATGCAGGAGTCTGAGAATACCTACACAGCAGCAAATAAATAAAATTAAAATTTTAAAAAAGTTACAATACTTACAAAAGCATATTAATAGCTGAAATTAGCAACTTTAGTAATCTGAAGCTAGAAAAGGCTAAAAAAGTGTCATTTCATATCAACCACCACTGGTTTCATGACTGTAATAAACATTTTTTTAATAAATGCTTGGTTGGGTATCAGGAAGATAATTTTAGAGGTTCCCACAGGCTGCTGTGCACCTCCCCATGTCATATTACAATCTACTTTGGGGATTTTGAAAGCAGCCCCCCATGTGGTATGGTGATTGTCACTTAAAAAGCACAGGTTCAAAGCCCTATTAGGCATACAGAAGAATGTGTTCAGCATTCATATAAATTGTCTTAAAATTCTATGATGAAAAGTATACAGATCATCATAAAAGTCATGGAAGAAAAATCTGCAGCATAAAAGGTTTCTCAAGATGACAGCCTCATTTATTTAAAAAAAAAAAAGATGACAGTCTCATGATACATATGAGACACTGGGTAATCATATTTTATCCTGGCTGTAGAAGGAAATGGATAGGATCAGCATTTTCACAGTGACTCAACATGTCACAGTGGTATTTCCTTCTGTCCAATTAGAAACCACAAACTGGACAACACTGCATAAAATTCAGAGCTATATAGTGGATACATCTCCAATTCAAAGCTTTTGTCAGTCACTAGGTAACCACTGGAAGCTATTCTCTCAGGCTCAGCTTCCCCCAATCTGTAATAGAAGGAGATGAGCACTGTACACCTTTCTCTGTCTTACATGGTGATTATGCAATATAACGCATAAGAAATACTTGTTGTTGAAATACTGCATGCATAAATGACATGATTAGATATTGGTGTTAGCTCTCTCAGTGCTTCAGTTTGCATAAATCACAATTATTAAGGATGCCTTCTAGTGGCACATGGCCTCTAGAACAGTCTCCCACATTTGGCTCAGGAAGAAGAAACTGTAGCAAACTTGAAATGTTGTGTTTTTTTTTATCTTATCACATGGAAATCCTGAAATGTCAAGCAGTATAGAAGCAGCAATGATAATCACCACTACACTATTAATATCTGCAAGTCAAATGTGCATTTCCAAAGTTTTTTGGCTTGGATTTTGAAGAATAATACTTAAAGCAACCACAACTCAATACAAAACTGGCAGCTATTTTGTAGAAGCATAGCATTGGCATCCAAAGAATACAATTTTGAAGGTTTTTCAAGTCTGGAAGCTTTTCATCTAAATGGATCTGCATGCACAGTTCTAAAGAAGATAATATTATCTCTGGAATGACCTTCTACAGTTTACTGCCTGCAATGTACTTACAATATATCACAGAAGTGAGTACACCCCTCACATTTTGTAAATATTTTATTATATCTTTTCATGTGACAACCCTGAAGAAATGACACTTTGCTGCAATGTAAAGTAGTGAGTATACAGCTTGTATAACATTGTAAATTTGCTGTCCCCTCAAAATAACTCAGCACATAGCCATCAATGTCTAAACCGCTGGCAACAAAAGTGAGTACACCCCTAAGTGAAACTGTTTAAATTGGGCCCAAAGTGTCAATATTTTGTGTGGCCACCATTATTTTCCAGCACTGCCTTAACCCTCTTGGGCATGGAGTTCATCAGAACTTCACAGGTTGCCACTGGAGTCCTCTTCCACTCCTCCATGATGACATCATGGAGCTGGTAGATGTTAAGAGACCTTGCGCTCCTCCACCTTCCGTTTCAGGATGCCCCACAGATGCTCGATAGGGTTTAGGTCTGGAGACATGCTTGGCCAGTCCATCACCTTTACCCTCAGCTTCTTTAGCAAGGCAGTGGTCGTCTTGGAGGCGTGTTTGGGGTCGTTATCATGTTGGAATACTGCCCTGCGGCCGAGTCTCCGAAGGGAGGGGATATTGCTCTGCTTCAGTATGTCACAGTACATGTTGGCATTCATGGTTCCCTCAATGAACTGTAGCTCCCCAGTGCCGGCAGCACTCATGCAGCCCCAGACCATGACACTTCCACCACCATGCTTGACTGTAGGCAAGACACACTTGTCTTTGTACTCCTCACCTGGTTGTCGCCACACACGCTTAACACCATCTGAACCAAATAAGTTTATCTTGGTCTCATCAGAACACAGGACATGGTTCCAGGAATCCATGTCCTTAGTCTGCTTGTCTTCAGCAAACTGTTTGCGGGCTTTCTTGTGCATCATCTTTAGAAGAGGATTCCTTCTGGGATGACAGCCCTGCAGACCAATTTGATGCAGTGTGCGGTCTATGGTCTGAGCACTGACAGGCTAACCCACCACCCCTTCAACCTCTGCAGCAATGCTGGCAACACTCATACGTCTATTTCCCAAAGTCAACCTCTGGATATGACGCTGAGCATGTGCAATCAACTTCTTCAGTTGACCATGGTGAGGCCTGTTCTGAGTGGAACCTGTCCAGTGTGGTGTAGTGGGGAAGAGCATGGGGCTGGGACTCAGACGATCCGAGTTCGAGTCCCCGCTCGGCCATGGAGCCAACTGGGTGACTTCGGGCCAGTTAAGACTCTCAGCCCAACCTACCTCACAGGGTTGTTGTTGTGGGGATAAGATGGAGGAGGAGAATAATGTAAGCTGCCTTGAGCCTTTTGTAGGAAAAAGGCAGGATATAAATCGAAAAAAATAAATAAATAAACTGTGCTGCAGCTCAGTTTCAGGGTCTTGGCAATCTTCTTATAGCCTAGACCATCTTTATGTAGAGCAACAATTCTTTTTTTCAGATCCTCAGAGAGTTCTTTGCCATGAGGTGCCATGTTGAACTTCCAGTAACCAGTATGAGTGAGAGCGATAACACAAAATTTAACACACCTCTCCCCATTCACACCTGAGACCTTGTAACACTAAGTCACATGACACCGGAGAGGGAAAATGGCTAATAATGCCCAATTTGGACAGTTTCACTTAGGGGTGTACTCACTTTTGTTGCCAGCAGTTTAGACATTAATGGCTGTGTGTTGAGTTATTTTGAGGGGACAGCAAATTTACACTGTTATACAGCTTGTATAACAGTGTAAATTT